GTATTTCAGTCCTTTGGGGTAGTCTATGTTGAGGCAATAAAGCAGACCCATAATTGTTGGGAAGGCATTAGCAACATCTCTTAGATCGTGCAGAACAGCAACATCAACAGCCTCTTTTGCCAGCAACTCCTGCTTGCTTCCACCTTCCTCTGAAACAATCAGAAGCCCAATGTCCACTCCTTTTGTGACCTCCTCTTCTGAACTGCCAGGCTGAAGCACATAATAAAGATAAGTCAGAAATCAAGCATATACAATCAATTTACCAATTCACTATTTCAATTTGGTAAATGTGTATAAATGTATACATTTATTTGTATAATGTAAATGATCATTTTAACAGAAGAAAAACATGAAGTCTCAGGTCTGCGATTTTTTATTTTGTAGATATAAAAGGCTCACTTTAAGCCATTTTCATGTGATTATACACTAATGAAAACATAGTTATGAATATTATAATTAATTTCTGCCATATTCTGTAAATAGAGTCCCCTAAATCTGACATACCTTTAACATGTGTAAATATCAATGTTTGTTGTTGTTTTTCGCCATAATTAGAGTTTTCCATGCCAATGAAATTAATTCACACACCTCGCAGACACAGACGAAACTTGAAGGATCAAAATGACACTTTAAGATGTTTAACTGTTTACATGACATTGTAGCATTATAAAGCCTCATATGTCCTAACACAATGTAGTAAAAATCTTTACTGTCCTTACTTGTATGTCAAGGGGCTGAAGCAGTGTACGCAGGGTCTGCACTGGTGCTACTTCGCACTCTGTACATTTCGAGCAGTCTCGGGACATTTTTGTCCAGTCCATCAAAGAAAGACCGGTGGAGTTCAGTCGAAACCAGTCGCATAAACTCTGCACTGATCTGTAAGGACAAAAACTATTGTGAGTCTTATCAGTGGTTTCTTTACAACATAAAATACATTGAGAGCAAAGAGATCAGCTTTGGCTCTCACAGGCCAAAAACTCAAATCTAGCAAATCCTGATTAGTTTAAGAAAAATAAAAATGAAAAGAATAATTACCTGTCTTTCTGAGAACAGTGCTGGCCATCTATCTTTAATTTCGGAGACAGGAGGCTCACCATCAACAATCCCCTTCCTTCGCAATTCAAAGGTGCTCTCCATCAGAGTATCCATCATTTTCACAATGCTTTACTTTTGACGGAGGTTACCCAGTGAGGCAGTACCATCCATGGGAAGAACCTCGCTCTCTCAAACAGGGATGCTTTTCAACTAGGGCTTTAGCAACATATTGTTATTAGCGCTGAAGCAGTCAATCAGTGTATCTGCCCAACCTCATTGTCTGAACTCTGTGTTACTCACCGATCCTGCCCAAATAATATTTCACTTTCACACACTTTTTACTGGCTTATGTAGCAGGATGTGGGATGAAATCAAAAAGAGTGAGACATCATCTTTCTAGTGTATCTCATTTGTCTTTAGCACTGATACAGGACAACTGAATAAGCTTAATGATTAAGAATTGGACATACATTTTATACTGTAAACTCATTCAACCATACTAGGCTGAAAAAAAATGATGTGCACTGTCTAGCTATAACATGGCTCATGACTTATTTAGCTACTTGCAAAAAATAAATTTCTGTTCTTAAAATCACACATTACGGAAGCCCTAAGAAGTCATGCATTCATACATTTTATTTATTTCGTTTTATTGTGATTACGAGTTAATTTAATTTGTTTTCTTGAGATAACGGGATAATTGTCCAGCGATCTTGGGATAATAAGACTTTGCTTTTCTGGTGTTAAACTTTGCTGCTAGGCTGCCAGACTTTGAAACACTGTAGCTTTTTATTTACTTGTATTGCAACATACTGTACATTTCTTTCTAACCGAACTCCTACTGCTAACTTGCTCTGTTGCTTCGCCATACACACACATTCACTCCACACTCTGAGGCCTATTATATCTGATTTGTTATCTCGAGATCTCGAATTAATTATCTTCTTATTTTAGTTTTTTATAAAACAAAGTCAAATTAACCTGTTATCATGAGAAAATGGAGGAAATAAAATGTATGAATGCATGACTGCTTACGGCTTCCGTAACACACTCAGATATGGTGCACAAATATAAATCCATAGTTGAGCTACTGTTACTACTACTGTTAATGTTACTACCTACAGCAACTAAAAATTACACAAATTCTAAAATTCACGGTAAATAATCTTATGTTACTAAAAACTGCTCCTGCCAGGTTTAAGTTGACAATCCAGTGTAACATTTATCTAATTTATCTATCTAACAATACTTAACCAAGCATTAAACAAGCATTCTGATAAATACAAGCAGGCTAAAAGTGTGTTCTTACCTTGATCCTCCTCCTCCTGATCCGAAAAGGAAGTTTATTGTGGCACATGGAGGTGTATAGCCCTTGTTGGCTGTGTGGGGTTGCATATGCACTTTTGCAGGGGCCACACGTACATAAGTTAAGTCAACTAAGAAATGTATGTTGCCTGAACGACTCTGATTGAACTGATTAGTTGGGCGCAGAAAAACTTGATATTTCAAGTACCCCACTCATTTTAGTTGAACTGACTGAAGGAAATTAGCTGAGGTAACTAAAACCTCATATCCTTTTTTACAGTATAGGGCGACATCATAAAACCCCAAACTTATCTTAGCCCAGCTTCAACCTGTGCAGAGATCTCTTCAGCCAAAATAACTGGAGACAGTGTATGGGTGTGCAGGCCCTTTAAAATGTGTTGTTTTTAATCTTGCACTGAAGTACAAAAGAAGAACTGTCCATGGTGCTGAAGATTCACCTTGACGTGTTTTTGTGCTTTGTAATTTCTTCAGTTCAAGTACTCTGTGGGCTGAAATAGGTTGAAATATGGGATATATGTATATCCCATATACATTCATATATTGTATGTTGGTAGCTTTGTTGCAAGGTATTTGTGTAAAACAATACATAAGCCATGTATGATACATCATTGTTATAGAATGTGGCATCTGGGGTTTGAATATCTCACTGGTAAACTACAGTGAAGTCTGCTTGACTGGCACATTGAGGAGAGAAAAGATGTGGTCCAGTTATATCGGTCAGGTGATGTAAAGTTCCCTCAGGCCCAAAGAATCAGAATCAGAATCAGAATCAGAATCACTTTATTGGCCCGGTGCACACATACAAGGAATTCCAATTTGAGTGCGGTTTATGTTGCTCTCAATGTACATACACAGACTAAATCAACACATTTGTAGACAGACAATAGTGCAATGGTGCAGACTGCAAAGGATACTGAAATCTGAAATGATATTGATTGTGATCTGAAAAGCTATTAATTATTATTTCCAAGAGGAAGATGATGGCAAAATGAAATGTGACCCATTTATGCTTGTTTTTCTGTGTGGTTTTCTGGACCCACAGACTGACACAGACTAACCCGCCCCTCCCCACGAGAGCTTCAGCAGTCAAACGTGCACAGCGGCTCTCTCCTCATGGGGGTGTGTTGTTGCTGAGTTGTTGTCACTTGGGTGTTTATCTGCCAGACAGCCTTCATCTGAGGTGTCACAAAACCCCACACACATTCCCTCCTGTCTAACATAGCTGCAGTTTTCACATTTTATCACGGTGCCTATATTTGAGCTCTAGGTGTATTTTTAAAAACAGCCAGTGAGCCGTCTGTCCGCACGGAAATGTTATCTGTTGGTCAGGGAGGAATGGACCAGTCAGTCGGCTTCTTGTGTCAACTGCCCCTTATGTTAGACCAGATTTGATAGGGCAACCAATGTGACAAGGTTTTCATAGGTACATAGTTACATGGAGTAAGTCAGTAAGTGCGAATGTTACAATGTTTTATGCTCCACACTTCAGTATGAAGGAAATCTGTTAAATGTGATTATTTACCAGCAGGGCAGGAAGAAGTATTCAGATGATTTACTTAAGTAAATCTACGGAAGCCCTGAGAAGCAAGTGAGAGAAAAAAATCGAGTGATCCACTTTTCTTAGTCTCAGAACAAGGTGTTCTAAATAGGACTGGACTCTCAGTCTCTAAACGCTTCGCTCAGTTGATACTGAGGACTTCCTCTCAGCTTTTGTTGCTAAAACTGGTTGTAAACAAATAGTGTTTAAAAAAAAAAAATACCTGCATTGCAGAACCAATCCAAAGTCTTAAGGGTGGTGACACATGTTTAACATCTGTTAGCAGTTGCTCTTGCTGCCATTAAAACAAGTATCTTGAATTTTAAATTTTAAGGGAGATCTCCAATTGTCTGTATCTCAAGACTGTATCAAAAACCATATAGAATATTCTTCATGCACTGATTATTTGACTTTTCCAAAGAAAACAATAGGACAACAGAGACTCAGTTGCAGACTAAAGTAGCTTGAAAATACGTTTTTTAAGAAGCTGATCACATGTTGCCAAGCTGTCAGATAAATGTTATGGAGTAGAGCATAACATGGGAGCACTCCAAGTGCAAGTAGCTCCATTGTACTGACATACAGCAAACGTACTTACTAGTAGTTATTTTCTATCACCGGTTTTCACTAATAACGTTTATTTTAAGTCAGAAATGAAATGACTGCAATTATTTTATTAATATGTAAACCCAATAATGTAAAGTAAGTGGATTTATGCACCTCCGTAGTTGTGATCTTTCTTGGGGGAGTATTAATAATGATATTTAATAACCCACAACCTTAATAGCCTAACTCATTTTGCAGGGCAGTCCTCTCAACGACCGCTATTGGTCCCTCAACCGCAGCTTGAGAACCATGTGGCCTAGACAGTAGTTAGTAATGTCTCTGGTCCTTTTTAGATCCTCGGCTTTAGGCTTCATCTCGCGGTGAACTGGAATGCCTGGAGCGTTTCCGTGTCATCAGACTGTCTGTCTAACCGGACACGGAGCTTTGCGCGCAGGACCATCTCAGCCTGAAGGATTGGGGACTCCTGGGGGGCTCCATCTCTGCCGTTTCTTTCCTGCCAAGCACCTAATGTAAACTTAAACCTGCCGGTTCAGCTATGAAGTCTGAGCAAAGCTGTGTGGAGACACCGGTTACTCTCCGGTGGGTCAAAGATCTGCTCCAAAAACTGGCGCACGGAGAAGAGGATGCCCCGGAGAAGCAAGACGAGAGCAACTATGTCGATTTGGAGTTAGTGGACGTGAACACAGGCGCAAAACCGGAGAAAGACTGTCGCTTTGGTGACAGAAAGCAAATGTCTGTGCTTATCAACAGTAGCGCACCCGGAGCTCCGCGCGCAGCGGAACCAAAACAAGAGTTGGCAATTAAAACTGAGACTGAAACTAAAAAGAAAGAGGATTCTGGAGTTGGTAAATATACAGAATATGTCAAGGAGGGTCCCTCTGATCCACCTTCGTCCTCAGATCGCCCTCGTCTTAACGCAAAGTCAGATGATCGCCCGAAACCAGGAGATAACAGCGAGCGCGTCATAACGCTGCCCGAGGTGCCCAAAAAAGAAGACAACAAAAACACACCAGGAGACGAGGAATTACACAGCAGTGATAATTACTGGAGCGGGAGAAGTGAGTCGGATGATTATGAGGAGGATGATAATGATAGTTTGGTGCTTTGCGGCGACTACGCCCAGTGCGTAACGGAGGACGAGTCCCATTACATTACGACGCACGAGATCCAGCTCTCGGAGCTTTCCGATCATGAAGGGGACTACGACCTCGGGGCGGGCTCCTCCACCAGCTGGGACATTGAGGATGACAACCAGGTGTACTCTTTTGTCGATTACGCGTCTTTTGACGCTGATGGAGCGGCGGGGGAGAGGGGGGACGGCCGCCAGCCGCGCTCTCAGGGCGCAGCAGCAGTCAGCACTCTGCTTGAAAGTGATCTGTGCGACGCGGCCAAGTTCACCAGCTCAGATGAGAGTGTGTCAAAGCCACAGCAGCAGCAGTGCAGTGGCAACAGTGCGGGGCAGATCCACCTGTCAATCAGAACCACTTCTCGAGCTATAAATGACCCTATCCAAGAACAGGGAAATATTCTTTATCATGCCAGGCGCTCCGGAGACATGAGCCGCTATGTGTTTAGGGGAGTTGATGGGAAGGCAGAGACGTTGTGTGACAGGGCGAAGTGTTTCATAGCCGCGCCCGGACGCTTACACTTTGGCCGCAAATTGAGGGGAAAAGAGGTCACCGGGTACTCCAGCGGTGCGTCCAGCGCTGTCAGCGAGCTGGACGACGCTGACAAGGAGGTGCGCAACCTGACAGCCAAAGCCTTCAAGAGCCTGGCTTACCCTTACTTTGATGCCATTAATTTCAGCACCTCCAGTGAGTCCTCTGCATCAGAGCATGGGATAGGCATAAACAGGTGGTCCACGTTTGTCGACCTGAAGTATGGCAATATGAATGTGTCACAGGGACTGGACCAAAGTGTGGTTTCCCATCAAAACTCAACGGCCTCATTTGAAATCGCCAAAAATGTAGACAATAGAGGTTATAAGGGCATTGCACTGGCAAGCATCAAACCGCCCACCAGCAAGATCTTCACTCTGAGTGGCAATCCCCACGGCGCATCATCATCTACAAATAAAATAGAGTTGATGGGGAAATTCAGTCCAGGTCACAGTGGGGTGATCAGACTCACAGAAACTCTGAATTTTCGTTGCAATGTCAAATCAGGGATGTCTGAGGGAGAAAGACGCACTAACTTTGCACAAAACGCCGCAGGATCACGTTCCACGGATGAAGTTACCAACAGTTTGCCAAGCGACCAGAGGAGAGGGGCCAGCCAGCCGCCCTCCAAAACCATGGAAGACACACACAAGAAAGCCATATTCGCCTCGAGCCTGATCAAAAATGTGATTTCTAAGAAGATGCAGTTCGAGCAGGAGCGCAAGATGGAACGAGGGGAGATAAGTGAGCCGCATCAAACACCTTCTCCGTGCTTTCTGCACCAGGAGAGCGACAGGGGGAAGGGGAGCAGGGAGCTGCACAGACAGAGCTCCAAGTTTTCCGAGAGCAGCTCTGACTACACTATAATGTGCTTGGATGAATTAGGGGACATTGTGGACAGCGGCTCATGTGATACCAAGAGCGACACTCGGAGACAAGACACGGCCGCTCCCGCACCAGAAACTAATTTGGAACCGGCAAATGAAGCTGGAATCGATACTAAAAAGGGCACATTGGAAGCGTCCAAAAGCACGCTGCTTCGCAGCCAAAATAGCGCATTCAGATGCTGGAAGGACGGGGAGATAGAGTTTCAAAAGGATAATAAAAACGATCAAACTCCAGAGGAGAAGCCGCTTTCAGCTTACGACAAAGAGGGCGAGGGGGATCAGTACTCATCGTGCAGCGGCAATTTGACTAAAATGTCCCATTTGTTTGTGCCAAGTATCCAACTGCTGCCCAGTGACGGAGAGTTCGGACAGCAGCTGCAGAACAGGAATTATTCTCCATGTGGAGACGGAGGAGGGATACAACTGCGCTCTGACAACACTTTATACATCGCAGACTCCAGGAGCGTGACTACATCTAAATCTCCGGAAATTAAAATTAACTTACGGAGTGTCAGAGACAATAAAACAGAGGCTTTTGGCGTCTCCAAACTGCGCGCTCCTAATATAGGCTGTAACACATCCAACCTCATCAGAACAGATGACTTCAAATGCCAGGCGCTGGCTGCAGCTTTGAAGGGTGAGTGCTCAGATAAAGTGCCGCATTTCATGGTTAGAGACATTAGAGATAATAAAGGAAAACTGCAGACGCCCATACACCAAGTGAGAGACGTGCGTAAATTGGTTAAAAGTTCCTATCACTTTGTGTCTTTGGATAACAACGAAAATAAATCCATCTTTGCCTCTGCTGACAACTATTCAGAGCAAAAGAAGCAAATGCCCAATCGAAATCCTAACTCTGTGTCCCCTATAGTGATCAAATGTCAGTCTGTCAATACAAATAGTAACGGTAAACAATCTGGAAATCCTATGGAGTTATCTAAACCGGAGCCGTTTGACACAGACAGATCATCTCCAGAGGGCGCCAAAAGCACTCCACTGCAAAGGGCAACAGACAAAGCACCCATAGCTAACTCAAATAATTCCTCAGAAGGAGACAGTGGATTGAGAAGTGAAAGCAGAACAGCTTCAAAGAGGCAGGAAAAAATGTCAGACATCACAGATAAGAAACCTGAATCAAAGATGGCGAACCAGGGGGCTTTGGAAAAACTCCAGGCTGCTGTGAAAACCATGGAGCAGCTCTATATATTTGAAAGAAATGAATGGAAAAGGAAGAATAAGCCCGAGCCACTGACAGACAGCCACGTGCTCTCACTGATAACCAGCGAGCAGCACGCAGAACCTGAGGAGGAAGGAGCGAGGGGGTCCAATGTGGACAAGATGCCACCAGCGGTAGCAGCGTCCCCCGGCACTGACAGCCTGCTGAGGCGAGAGGACAAGCTCTTTCAGACTGCCGGCAGCCGTGATGAAAGGCGGGTTGCTAAGTCAGTGCAAACCACCAGCACCACAGGGAACAAAAACATGTTCAACATCAGCTCTAGCCTGAAGGCCTCCGCAAGCGCAAGGACGCCCCAGCCAAATGCTGTCACACAAACACCCTTCAGCACCAAAAGCTTCGTCCCAAAGTCCCCAAAATTGCCAGCGTCCTTAAAAATCAATCATACAAAGCTAAGTGCACATGAGGGAGCTGAATCAAAGGAGCTAGAGAGGTCCATGCAGGAGCTCTGGAGCACCTCAGCTGACAACGAGAACTACCTGACCCTTCCGGTCAAGTCTCACGCCAGCAGCAACCAGCAAGCCTCATCTGCTGATAAAACACCAGTGTACACCTTTACCACCCAGACAAACCCAGCCACACCTTCAGCACAGTTTGGACCCAGCTTCAGGAGCCGGGAAGACCATAACCAATCCCCTAAACGCTCCAGCATTGTGATGGAGACACGCTCGCCAGAGATCCCTCCTGCCACCATCTACCACTCCTTGCCGTTGGGCATGTCCACCAATCAGCCTCAGGTGTACTGTTTCTCCCCGGCAATCACCCCCGCTCCCACCCTGGACCCCTACCAGGCCACCCAGAGGAAGATGCTCCTGGATCCCACCACTGGAAACTACTACTTGGTGGACACTCCCGTGCTGCCGGCCACCAAGCGTCTCTTCGACCCTGAAACAGGCCAGTATGTGGATGTGCCCATGCCGCAACCTCCTATGACCCCAGTGCCCATGCCAATGTCACCGTTGGCCCTCAGTCCAGGGGCATATGGACACACCTACATGTTCTACCCGGGCTTCATGCCAACACCATCCGTGATCCCGGCTAGAACGCTGGTGCAGTCACAGATGTCGATGCAGTCAGAGGCTGAGAGCATGGAGAAAGCCTCGTCGCAGCAGGCTGAGGGCATGTACATGGAGAGTCCCTTCTACATGGCCACTGGGAAGTCTCCCCAGGCCTCCGGGGTTCAACAGCAGGCTGCCGCCAACAGGCCAATGCAGGGCTTCTCCAGCGTCAAGCAGCCGGTTATCAGCATTACCTCCCAACAGGGACCCCGGATCATCGCCCCGCCCTCGTTTGACGGCACCACCATGAGCTTCGTGGTGGAGCACAGATGAACGGCAGCTTACCTGGACAGGTGAGTACCTCTGACCATTTAACAGTTTGTATCAGGTTTGAGTGGATTAAGTGATAATGTGCCACATTGCGTTAGATTGATGTGTTGTTGGTAGTTTAAAGAATAAGCATTTGTTTTCATTTTAATAGCTACTTTAATACATTCACCAATCTAAATATGATGTGTAAGGGATCACAGCTAATTTCTGCACTTTCTTGATTTGTAATTTGAACTTTTGATAACCAAGACGGTAACTGCATGAACAGTAGTAGTGTAAAAACAATTACAACAGTATATGATCGAGTATACAGAATGAATAGCCATGGATGTGGGGATGGGCCCATAGTTGCGCCCTTGTACAGGGTCCAGAATTTTGTGCTTGATTGATTGATTTGTGTGCACACAGGGAGGATGTTTAGGGGGCACCTTTTATTTTGAAATGCTTTAATATAGCACTGGGATGGGCTGACTGGATGTTTCATTAGATGACCTATTTTTAGAAAAGGCTGAATTGAAGTGTTTTATTTATCAAGGCACACAGGTAATCATTTTAGTGTTGTCATACGGTATTGTTGCTGAATACCTCTCCATCATGGACTGGATTGTTTCTTGAAATGTAACAGATGGTGGTCATGACTGACAACATGTTGCATACTTCAAAGGGTGTGGTGATGAATAGCACACTCCATTATCAAGGGATATGATAGGCTGTCAGTGAGCCAGGATGTATTCATTATGTGCTTCTATGGCAGTTTGCATTTAATGCATTTCAGTTTTCTTATTGCTATTGATAAGGTGTATTTTGCTGTTGTTTTGTTGTCTAGGCTTACTTTATGTCACACAAGAGTATAAGACTTGAGCATCCCAAGTACCTTTCCCCTCCAACTGTCAGACTGTCCTGTTAGCATCAAGTGCCATTCTGCTGTGACCATAGGGCAAAAATGAAGCCTAACCCTGTGTTTGAAAGAGGTGTCTCTTTTCATTCCTGCCTCTTAGGAAGTCTTAGCACACAACAGGACACCACTACCGCTAGGGCTATGGCACAAGCTCTGCTGTGTGTTGGTTGTTCCTCCCATGCACTCATTTACAGGATTAATTTGCATTTCTTATTATAATAGTCTAGTATGAGCTCTAAATCAAAGTGTCAGTGTGAAAGTATGGAATGTTACAGCTCCACGAGGTAACTTTTATAAAAATACCTTTTTATCATATTTATGGACCAACTTTATCCTGACAGCAGTACATGTGACGGATTATTGCAAATGTAAATGTTGAACACTAGGAGGAGCCAGAGGAACCTGATTTTTAATCAGATTTTCCAGAAAACGTAGTCAAATATGACCAGAAGTTATTTTTGGTAAAATTACCTACTGCAGCTTGAAAAATGTTAAATTAGTTCAAATTAAATAAGGTGTTATAAAGTCAATAATCATATGAATAAATGCAGACAAAATATATAACATAGCCATGTAATTGTAAAATAATCCAGCTCATTATTATAAAAATGTATTTCACCCTGCCTCTTTTCACAATAAAATCTATATTTCAAGTCATTTTTATTTCATTTTAGCAGTGTAGTGAAAATGTTATTTCACACTAAAATGTTCAAAATTAAGTAAATAAATACTACATTTTGATACATATGAATAGATACGGACAAAATGGCCCTGCCCTCTTTGTCTTCACTGACACAGTGATGAAAAGTGGTGAAAAAAGTGGCATTACGTAAAAATTACGTAAAAATTAAAAAAAATTACTTGCAGCAAACTCTGTTGTTGAAAAAAAGGAGGATGAAATAAGAATAATAATTATTTTAGAATTTCATTGTTTATATTGTGTCTGTATTTATTTGTATGATTATTTATTTTAGTTTTTTTAAACACTTGCCTCCATAGTGCCCCCATTCATCTAACCTGGATTGGCGGCACACTCTCAATCTGACAGTTTAACATCTAGCCTACAGGAAACTTAGGCAACAACAACAACAAATCTACAAATTTTGCAACCAACATGCATAAAAAAGGAAGACATGAAGTGATTGTAAAGTTTGCAACTGAGCACTTCAGCAGGCGCTAGCACTCACAAGCTGTGAATTGTGATATCAGAGCAGTGATACAGACGATTAGGCTGATAAAAGATTCTTCCGAGGTGTTTGAATGTGTGTGTGTGGCGTTGGGGATGTAGCATGTGCAGTGGAGTAAAAGGTCAGGCGATGGCAGGCGTTGGTTATGTGTATACACGGACTGCTTCAGCTGCTGCTGGATGTCAAGAGGCTGCCTGGCAGGTCAGAGTCGCTGTGGGGTCAGCCGGCTTTTTATAGGAGCAGTCATTTAAAGACAGAGAGAGTGAGAAGCCAGGTTCACATGGCCACTGATCAGCAATTACATAAACACAACACGCAGCATAGCAGCAGATAGCCTCGTCTGCAATGTGGGTGAACTTTTGGAGTTCCCCTTCATCTGAGAATGACAGCCGCATACTGGAGGGCTCAGTTATGTTTATACAGTAAACAGATAGTCTGTGGTCTACAGGTTGCAGAAATGAGCTATTGAGTGAAAGGTAGTTTAAATCCTGCGTGCAAAAAAATCCTGGTGTGTGAGGAAAGTCAATGAGCAATGATCATGTACCTCAACAACTATTGTCATGGGGCCTTTAAACCCATTAATGTTAAGGAAAAGTTTTTTCTGTTAGAGGTGGAAATACAAAATTAAGGACACGTACACATGACAAAATCAACATTTTTTGATTTTGCATATTTATCATGCTTTAATTGGTAGATAAAGTTGATTTTCTTTTAAAAAATGCTAAACACATTGTATCACACAGGAATACATTATAAAATGTCTGTAAGGTCTGTAATGGCAATGCTGGACCAAGAAACAAGCTACAGATTAACAGTCCAGAATATGTGTGTATCAGAAATTATGAAGACCTTAACTTTCTAACCTGTTGCTGAGGTTTTTTTCCTGGAAAATAAAAGAATAACCCTGAGTGACCAACGATCAAAAAAAGTATGTTAACAACTTGTTACTTGCACTGTATAGTCTCATGCTTTTACCAGTTTGAAACAATAGATTTGTGCTTTACTCAGCTTGTACTTTAAGTGCTGTATAGGAAATTATACATTTCCAGTGTGGACATTAGTTAATGGGTTTAGGCTGCCACGATTAGGTCAACCTTGATTTTGCTGTCATTGTCCTTTCTTAGAACAGATAATGCTTCACCTACCAGGACTGTTTGCAAGAATACAAAATGTTGAAACTATAGATATGAGAGAACATGTTGCTGGTTTTGTGTTATGGAAGTTCATTCATGTGAAAACTAAGTAAGCAGTGATTAGTCCACATGGGCAAAATCTAAGAGTGTAAATAGATATATTACAGAACAATGTTTTGATCTTTCAGAAATTATGTGACACAGTGTAATCAAACTGCAGTTGTATGACGACCTAAAACGGCTCAAAAACATAAAAGAAACTATACATTTTTTGCCATGTTAGCGATGTAGCTCTGAGGAAGGTGGTCTGTTGGAAGGTCCACCAGACAGAAATATCTCAACAAAGATCAATTTTGTATAGACGTTAATGGTTTCACCAGAGGATGAGTCCTCCAGACTTTAGTGATCTTCTGACTTTCCGACCAGGTCAAAGTTTTAATTTGTCCAATACTTTGGTTTTTGACCACATGCCTGCATAACTAATGATATTCCCATCATCCTCAGCTGTACTTTGTTTTTAGTGGCAGTTACCAAATGGTAGCATGTTAACGTGCTAAACTGACATGGTAAAAAAATATACCTGCTAGACGTCAGCATGTTAGCATTATAAGCATGTTAGCATATGGATGTTTGCATTTAGCCAGAGAGAATAGGCAGCGCTATTAAGAGGCTAGGGGAAGCTTAAAATGATCACTGAAAAAAGTGAGTCCCTTCACCAGCTACCTCACGTAGGTTTAGTGCTGTCAGCATCGCACTACATTGAATCTGCCATTCAGTACCCACACACTGGTATTCAACATAGACCAGGGAGTTTGTCCACCAGTGGGGAAGCTTCTCTGTTTCACGTCACTCACGTGAGCACACCTTTCCCATTATTTTTTGTAATGTAAAATTAGCTAAGTTGTGAAATTATGGATGGATTTGTTTTGAAACCTACTTGGACAGAAGTTGGATGAAAACGTTTTAAAGCAACAACCCGCAGATTTGAAAATGTCAATAGTGACTTTAAATATATTTTTAATAATTGGGTCGATATGTCTGTTTTGTGTGACCTCTGCTGTGTTACGCTCTTTTAAGTTGCATATTTGCTGATTTTTAAAAAACAAATATGTTTTGGGGGGGGAGGGGGGGGGGGGGGGGGAGAGGAAGAGAGAGAGAGAGAGAGGGGATGGGAAACAGCAAAGGACCACAGGTTGGATTCAAACCCATGGATGCTCTAGCAAGGACTCAGCCTTGGTACATGAGGCACCAGCTCCAACAGGTGAGCTACCATGGCGTCCCCTACTGCTGATCTGTTCTGCCTCTGAAGCTGTTGTGGTCTGGGTAGACTAATGTGCTGTTTTAGGCTGTTTTGTGCTGTGTTTTTTGGGGTGGTCAAGTTGGCCTTGACCCACCCTTTTCTGGTGAAATATAATTACGGGGTTGAGTCTAACTCTAATGAATGTTAATTTGAATGAATTTGTTTGTGTGAAGAACGATAACATAAAATTTGATTGTAACTTAGAGTTGAATGTTCACAGTTGAGGTCCATGATGAAGTTTGTATTTGTCATCAGTAGCCCAACACCTTATATCACTAGAGCCACCTATGGCTGGAAGCATTATTGTGCCTGAGTACAAAAGTATCAAAAAGGGTTCATCTGTCTGTCAAGACTAACATGTCCAATTATCTGATTGGTTGTTTCCTAGTTGAAAGAATTTTAATTTGATGTGATCTGACTTAACTTGACAAAGACAGACAAGAATGTTCTGACTACTGTTATAAACATTGTTCAATCCAAGAGTGCAACCACCATGCACTAGCTTGATGTTTGATCATTCATTAAACTGGATTTGCTGAGTCATAATACATCATCTTCTTCCAGTAACCTGTAGCCACACACCCATACCAACACCTTCCTTTGCTTTGCTGTAGTGTTGCTGTCCGTCTGAAGGAACCCTCCCTTCTGCAACTACACAGTAGTGAGGGCTGACAGTTAAAATGGGTTTCCACTTGGTAGTGATGCATTTTTAAACATTAAATAATGGTGATAGTGTGACTCATTTTAAAATTCACTTTTTATTTGATTCAAAAATGTTTGATATGTTTAGCCCAGAACTTCCGCAGCATACAGATTGGTTACCAAATACGAATTATGGGCTGTCGATTCTAAAACCACACATGTAAATAAGGGAGTCCCATCAGGTTTAATAAAGAGAGTTTTAGAAGAAAGGTGATTCAGAGTAAAAGCCATAAACTAATTATCTTAACTAAGTATCTGCCTGCTGTGTTCTCAGTAATAAATACTCTGCTCAGGTTTTTCAAGCCGAGATGGATTTCTCTTGTCCTGCTGTCATGCAGACACAGCTTCTGTAAAGCCTGCCTGCAGAGCTGGTGGGCAAAGAAACCGATTCACGAGTGTCCAGTTTGTAAAAGAAGATCTTCGAGAAGTGACCCACCCAGTAACTTGGCATTAAAGAACCTGTGTGAAGGACCATCAGCAGCCAGTGTGTGTTGTCTGTCGAGACTCAAGAACACACACCAACCACAGATTCAGACCCCTTGATGAAGCTGCAAGGGATTACAAGGAGGAGCTCAGGAAATCCCTGAAGCCCTTACAGGAGAAACTGGAGACCTTTAATCAAGTTAAAGTTAACTGGGATCAAACAGCAGAACACGTCAAGGTCCAGGCTCAAAACACAGAGGAGCAGATTAAAGATGAGTTTAAGAAGCTTCACCAGTTTCTACTAGAAGAAGAGGAAGCCAGGATCACTGTGCTGAGCGACAAAGAGGCACAAAAGAGTGGCATGATCAAGCAGAGGATTGTGGCTCTGGGTAAAGACATAGCAGCTCTCTTAGACACAGTCAGAGCCACAGAGAAGGAAGTGTCTTATTCCTGCAGAGCTACAAGACTGCAGTGAAAAGAGTCCAGCAGCAACCCCTGCTAGATGATCCACAGCTGGCCTCAGGAGCTTTGATAGATGTGGCCAAACACCTGGGCGACCTGGCCTACAACATCTGGAACAAGATGAAGGAGATGGTCTCTTACACTCCTGTGATTCTGGATCCAAACACAGCAGAATACAGTCTCTTTGTGTCTGAAGGTCTGAAAAGTGTGAGATTTGGAGAGAGAGATACACAGCTTCAGAGAAACCCAGAAAGATTTGAAGACTACATCAGAGTCCTGGGATCTGAGGGACTCACAGCTGGGATGTTGATGTTAGAGATGATGCAAACTGGGCAGTGAGTGTAGCAGCAGTCTGTTCTAACGAAGGGAGAGGTTCTGACTAGGTGCTAGTCAATATGGTCTGTGATGGTAAATACAGAGCGTACTCTCAACCATCTACAGACAAAGCTTTCTCAGTGAGGAACCTGTTTAGGAGGCTCAGAGTGAGTCTGTCATTCTCTGACCCAGATACAAACATTTACTCATACACTTTCCACTGAGAGGCTGTTTCCCTTCATTGACACTCTAAATACAATGCCACTGAGAATCTTACCAATGAAAGTCACTTGAAGGATGTAGTTGAAGATGTAGATGATTATGCATATGATGGTGATGCTGGTTACCAGGATGATGGTGAGATGTATTTTTCTTGAACATGAATACAATTTATTTTGCTATAGATATTTTATTGAATTACTATATTTACAGTATGTCCACTATTCTATTTATATAAATGAACAGATATGTGTGTGTGTGTTTATTTGTGTGATAAGAACAGACAACAAATGCATGACAGGCAGCTTACACAAAGAGTGTGTGTCTGACTAACACCCTGAATTGTTGTTGTCATTTTTTCCTCCAAAATAATCCTAATGTACTGAGTCACATTAGTGCCCAAAGTATGTTGGCAATGTTCAGTCTGCAAGGTGAAAATCAGAGAGTGTACAGGTAAACATTTGTAAGTGCAGAACATGTCTAGCACAAGCAAAGGCAGGTTTGTAAATAGAAAAGATAATTTGCTTCCATCAAATCAACCTGCAGTCATGTTCAATTTATACACAATCAAGAAAGTTTTGAAGTGTTGTTATGGAAATCTAATGCTAACAAAATTTCATTTAAATGATGAAACACAATTATAATTGTTTTTTATTTGGGTTTGTATGTTTTAGGACAAAGTCCTTGCATAAACACATATGCAACGAAAGTGTAAAATTCAATTATCCAAATTTCATTTTTATTTCTAGATCTAAAAATGCATCACGACTGTCAAAATAAAAAATGTCCTTGCAAGTTGTTTGCTGTTTTGCTTCCTCGCTCTGATGCCTGACAGTATGGGTCAGAGAGATATGGGTGACTTTGGCAGGCCAGTGGAGTAGAACTGATGTATTTTCAAACATGGAAATCATAATGAAAGATTCATTTAACTGTTGTCCCACAGAAATATGGGTCATTAATTCAAATTTTATACACAGCTATATTATATTCTATCCTACACTTTTAAACTCTTCTTTTATATTTTAAAGACAGTTAATAAAACAGCATATTAGCATACTGGACTGTTAACCAGCAGTTCAGGGGAAGTTAAGTCCATAAGAATACAATGCCCAATGTACAGTGAGAGCAGTGGTTTTGAATGCAACAAACCCCTTGTTGGCACACTTCATGGCTTAGCAATTGAAGAAGTGTGCTGACAAGCTCCACCCATTCATACAAACCAGGAAAAACTGTGTTGGCTGAGGACAGAGTCTCACACCGAGAGACAGACAACAGGATACAAAGTCCAAAACATCCCCTGACAAAGAAGAAATAAGGAGTGAAGGAGTTACTTGGAATACTGGAATACTGCTGTCCCCACTGGTTGCTGACTGCACATCTTTAACAGAGAGTTTTAAAAGATTCACAACTCAAAGTGAAAGCAACTTTCTAGAGCCACAACTTACCGACTGACTTCCTGTTTGTATCTGCAAGTATCTGCTTGCTCGGGTTTTTCAAGCAGAGATGGATTTCTGTTGTCCAATCTGTCACGACATCTTCAAAGATCCTGTTTTGCTGTCATGTAGCCACAGCTTTTGTAAAGACTGCCTGCAGAGCTGGTGGGCTGAAAAAACGATTCACGAGTGTCCAGTTTGTAAAAGAAGATCTTCGAGAAGTGACCCACCTAGTAACTTGGCATTAAAGAACCTGTGTGAAGCCTTCTTACAGGAACTTTCTCTGGAAGAGAAAGCTGCTGCAAGGTCTGAGGCTCTCTGCAGTCTGCACTCTGAGAAACTAAAGCTCTTCTGTCTGGACCATCAGCAGCCAGTGTGTGTTGTCTGTCGAGACTCAAGAACACACACCAACCACCGATTCAGACCCCTTGATGAAGCTGCACAGGATTACAAGGAGGAGCTCAGGAAATCCCTGAAGCCCTTACAGGATAAATTGGAGACCTTTAATCAAGTTAAAGTTAACTGGGATCAAACAGCAGAACACGTCAAGGTCCAGGCTCAAAACACAGAGAAGCAGATTAAAGATGAGTTTAAGAAGCTTCACCAGTTTCTACTAGAAGAAGAGGAGGCCAGGATCACTGCGCTGAGGGATGAAGAGGCACAAAAGAGCGGCATGATGAAGCAAAGGATTGTGGCTCTGAGTAAAGAGATTGCAGTTCTTTCAGACACAGTCAGAGCCACAGAGAAGGAGCTGAGAGCTGGAAGTGTCTTATTCCTGCAGAGCTACAAGACTGCAGTGAAAAGAGTCCAGAAGCAACCTCTGCTGGATGATCCACAGCTGGGCAAAGGAGCCCTCCTAGATGTGGCCAAACACCTGGGCAACCTGACCTACAACATCTGGAACAAGATGAAGGACATGGTTACATATTCTCCTGTGATTTTGGATCCAAACACTGCAAAATCTAGTCTCTTTGTGTCTGAAGATCTGACAAGTGTGAGAAACACAGGAAGAGACACACAGCTTCTGAAAAACCCAGAAAGATTTGAAGACTACTTCACAGTCCTGGGATCTGAGGGCTTTAACTCAGGGACTCACTGCTGGGATGTTGAAGTTAGAGATAATGCAAACTGGGCAGTGGGTGTGATAGCTGAGTATGTTCCAAGGAAGGGAGAGATTCTGGCTGGATACTGGGAAATATGGTTCCGCGATGATAAATACAAAGCATACTCTCCATCACTTACAGATAAAGCTCTTTCAGTGAGGAATCCAATCAGGAGGATCAGAGTGCATCTGGACTGGAATAGAGGAAAGCTGTCATTCTCTGATTCAGATACTAAGACAAACATTTATACTTTCTCACACACTTTCAGTGAGAGGCTGTTTCCCTTCATTAACACTCTAAATACAATGCCACTGAGGATCTTACCAATGAAAGTCACTGCAAAGCTGGAGATGTAGATTATTAAGATGTTCATGTTGGTTATCAGGATGATAGTGAGATGTCTTTTTCTTTAATATTAATACCACTTATTTTGGTATGCATGTTTTATTGAATCACTATATTCACAATATGTCCATTATTCTATTCTTATAAATGAACAGATATATGTGTTTATATGTGTGATTAGAACAGACAAAATGTTTGTGCCGAGACAGACACTCAAATGCTAGAGTGTATAGTGTAACATTTCCTCCAAAATAATCAAAATGTATGGAGGCACATACAAAAGTGGCAAAAGTATGTGAGCAGTGATCAATCTGCAATGTATGAGTGCACAGGTAAATAGAAGGCAAGTTTGTAAATATAAAAGATTGTGTGTCAAATCAACCTGCATTAATGTTTTGAAATGTTGTTATGGAAGTCTAATGCTAACAATATTAAATTGAAACCATTCAGTGAATTTCATGACCTGTTTTTTAGGGGGTTGCATGTTGTAGGACAAAATCCATGCATAAACACATTTGCAACCAAAAGTAAAATCCATTAAAACAAATTTCATTATTATTTCCAGATTTAAAAATACATCACTGCTGTCAAAATAAAGACAAGGGAAATTAATTTCTATTCAAATTGAATACATACATACATCAAATGCCAAATTTGGTTATTGTTTTGTATGAGTTTCTTACTGGAGAGCCCTTGTGTTATTTAATTTAATTACTTTAAAAATAATTCTTGCTGGAGAGAAAATATCTGTTAAAATAAAATATAAATTACAAAGAAAATTCAACTGGCTACCAAACAGACCTTTCATTTATAAATTGACTGACTGCTAAACCAGAAAATTAAAATTTGAAAATAAACTTCAGCTTTTGCATTTGTTTTCTATTTATGTCACAATGTATTTATAGGTCATATATGAAAACAAATTCAACTGCTGGTTTGCATTTTTATATTTAGTGATGGTGGCCTCAGCCTAGGCTTGGTTCCTGAAATGTGTCAATGTTAATCTAAACACATAGGGTTCCTCATTCCTGGCAATGAAATCATTGTGTTGGCACATAAGCCATAAATGGCACCGCTACAGGGGACTCTTAGAGAGAATGTTAATCCTGACTCTGATATTGCTGCAGTACAATGCAATGCTTTAGTATGAAACACACCCCTGATCAGTAAAATGTCTTTGTTTAGCATTTACAGGACACATCCCGACAAACTTGATTTGTGACTATCAAGCAGGGTGTAAACAACAAAGGAACCAGTCTTATTAAGGCATAAGCTCCTCTGAAAACACGATTTGTGAAACTTTGGGCGGTCTATGAAATATTGACAATATGCTATTTTCCATGCACTACCAGTTTTCACATGTAAAATTTGGCTATTATTGATGTATGACTCATACATGAGGGTGATTCATCTGTGATCATTAATTCATAATTCTTCTATATTATTTAATAAAGATACCGGCATGCATGCTATTCTTGCTATCACCAAGTGTGTATCATAGACTTTACTCGCTTTAACTCAAAGGGTTAGGTATTTGACGCTTGCGTTTGATCTCTCAATTACACTGATTATTCAGTATCAGATGTCCTGACTTAAAGCAGCTATGAATGTTAGCAACAGTCACAGTCAGTCCTCTCCTTTTGGCACGTACAAGCACACTGCTATCATGATCTAAACCAGGAAACACAGATTGTTATTATATGGACAGAGACACACACCCATATCTATGGATTGCAACACACCCCTGATCTCTTCAAAGATTAAAGAGTTTAAGAAGCTTCACCAGTTTCTACTAGAAGAAGAGGAGGCCAGGATCACTGCGCTGAGGGAGGAAGAGGCACAGAATAGTGGCATGATGAAGCAAAGGATTGTGGCTCTGAGTAAAGACATAGCAGCTCTCTCAGACATAGTCAGATCCACAGAGAAGGAGCTGAGAGCTGGAAGTGTCTCAGTCCTGCAAAGCTACAACCTGACCTACAACATCTGGAACAAGATGAAGAACATTGACTGCTGTACTCCTGTGATTCTGGATCCAAACACTGCTAATACAAACCTCATTCCATCTAAAATCTGACTACTGCAAGACACACAACAACAGAAAGAGAGACACAGCTTCCAAGTAACCCAGAAAGATTTGAAAACCTCACCACAGTCCTGGGATCTGAGGGCTTTAACTCAGGGACTCACTGCTGGGATGTTGAGGTTAGAGGTGATGCAGACGGCAGTGGGTGTGATAGCAGAGACTGTTCCAAGGAAGGGAGAGATTCTGACTGGGTGCTGGTCGATGGTAAATACAGAGCATACTCTCCACCATCTTCAGACAAAGCTCTCTCTGTAAAGAAGCCACCCCAGAAGATCAGAGTGCATCTGGACTGGAGCAGAGGAAAGCTGTCATTCTCTGATACTAACACATACGTACACGCCTTCTCACAGACTTTCACAGACTTTCACACAGCAAAGTGTGTTCACATTACGTACATTTGTATTGTTGTATTATGTAATGCTCCTCAGGACTTTCGTGACCTATACTTTGATTTATGAGAAAAATGCCTGCAATTATATAATAATATTCCCATCAGCCTCAGTTGTATTTTGTTTTTAGTGCTAATAACAAATGTCACTACACTACTTTGAGTGAAGACAACAGTAACTCCAGAAAAGCTGAAGTTGAGAAAGAATTGTTTTCAGCTCACTGGTTAAACTGTAACAGATGCATAGGATGTAATTCTTAATTTATAAAATTTGTTTCTGAGCTTTCTATTTACTCAAATTTTTAAAATGATACTCATAATAATGACCTTAAAATGAATATAATACACCTTAATACAGCAAATTCTACTATGGAGTCTAAACATGATCTTGCAGTTACTGCTACTCTGCTAAGCAAACACTGGGCTTTTTACCTGGACGAGTTTAGTTGTTATTTATTATTCATGACTGTATTTAGCTTCTGCTTTATATTTGTGGGATAACAAACTAAATAATAAAAATGTTAGTTCACCAAAATCCATATTTATCAGTTTATTTAACAGTTAGTGGGCAAGTAAAGTCAGTCGAGGCTAGCTGTGGTTATCTCTAGCTATAGCTTTAACAGGATTTGACTCTCTGGCTTCACGTAGGTGTGTAATTGAGCATTTGGTTTGGTTTTTAGCTGTGTTTTGGAATTATAGATTTCTATGGGATTAAAAAATGTAACTCAAAGCACTTCAATTCTTGGTTTGGCCTATAAATTAAAAAAATGATTCTGGCATGGTATGCCTTCTTTTATTTCTTTCAGGAAAACATTTATTATGTTTATTTTGAGTCTTGTAATATAGTCAAAATGCCAAATTCAAACTAGCATAGATCCTGTATTACAGTTTATAGTTGTTCTTGACTTTAAGGATCCATCATGATATTTGTGTGTTATACATAATGTAAGTTAAATATGTGTCAGTCAAGTTTTATTGCATATCTGATGTTTATTTTAGCTCATTAGCTTAATGCTAACACTTTTCTTATGGGTTTTTTTGTTGTATTGATATGTTGCTATACAGTACATTACAGAATCAGAATCAGAAAATACTTTATTGATCCCCAAGGGGAAATTTGTTAACTGCAACAGGCAGCATGCACTGTCGGCGCATGCACACTTCATTGAAATAGATGATGAATAGATGATTACAGGCTAAGCACTGACCAGCTCCTATTCACTCACTATACCTGGTCTATTTGCAATTAGAATTAATAATTAAGCTGTTAACAGACTAAAGAGGTTTTGGGAGAAATTACATTTTCTATCCTTTGAATTTTATTTGGTTGACAGGCTTTGTACTTGGATATCTCTGGGAAATAATTTTGAGACGAAAAACCTCAAGCATAGTGTAAATAAAGACTGATGGAAGCAAATTCTGCAGTTGTCCTTTTTATTATTATTCTGTCTTGCAGCAAAAATATCTAATATTAGTCCAGGAACTTGTTAAATCAACTTTACTTCAGTTTAACTGACTACTTTTGGTAAAACCGATCATAATATTCTTTCAGGTTACCTGAAGAAGTGAGTTAGTATAGCTGGTATACCTGTATTATATGCTCCCTTTTACATTATCCATATCCACATTTTGCTATGTCTCTTTGCTCTGCTGATGCCCAGATTTTTATATTTGTTAAACATGGGCAATAAAAATCACAACAAAAACTGAAAATCTGATTTGGGACAAAGACCAGAACTTTGTCCAAATCAGACCTGCATCCCTTCTTATCTTTCTGACAGCTCGAAGAAATTATAATTTTTTGTCTCTACATTGTAATTAAGTATATTCTTTTTGAAGCCAAGAAGCTGTAACACATCTGCTTCAACATTACCAACTATAACAGCATTCTTGTATAACCCTGGAGCTGGAGCTACTGGCTTCTGGGAAGTGCTATATAAGTAAATATAAAATATAAAATAATATATAATAAGAATGACATATGACAATATTAACATAAAACATAAACGCACCTGTATATAATTAACAACTCTTAAATATGCATATTTCTTTGCTCATATGACAAATTGTGGAGTATGTGTTTATAGCCTTTACCAGACTTTGGTTCAGATATTTGGTTGGGACAAACTAATGCCCCTTCCAAGCAGAAAACGACTAACATGAACATGATGTCAGAAAGAACAATAAAGTAAAAATGAAATGGCAAATTAGTCTAATTATCAGGCTAATTATAAACAAATCACTAATCTGCACTCAAAACAGAATTGCAAATTGCTCTCAGGGCCTTCCTAAATCTTAAATTAAATATTGCTTGACTGATTGTTTAATATTTTTGTCACTATTAAGCTTCCGTACTCCTCTAATGTAGCTGTTTAGGGAGCAACAGGGTCATGGAAAGGAGTCAAAGCAGGCTGTTTGTTATTTTAATGTGTTTTGTTTTCTTGGTTCCCAACAGGGCTGAACTCTGAATGGATGCTGGACTGCTCTGGGTTTTGGCCTCTTCGTTGTGCTATGTGTATTTTATTGGCTGGAGGTGACGGGTCAGCGCCCTTGTATAAGAGGGCTAATTTACATCCAGTTTCTCCTTTTCTAACTTGTACAAGATGTGTATAAAGTATGTATTTGTTGCTGCGTTTTATAAAATCATAGGCCTATATTGACTTTTCTAGGGTAGTAATCAATCACACCCTAAAGTGATCAGGGTTTCATTCTAAAAAATCTTTATTTTTAAGATCATGTAGTTTTTGTAATGTAATTTTACAACACATTATTGCATAATTATTTTTATGATGTGTTGGATTGGTGTCACTACTATTGCTTCAAAATGCATGAAAGTCCGCATTTACCACCACGTGTTTTGACATACCTGGAAATGTTATAATTGTATAATGAACCTATACAGTGATTGACATCCTAGAGATCTCTCATCATGCACTTCTCCTGCATTGTTCATTTCTGAACATGTTATATCACATTAGAAAATTTCATCTAATGACCACCTATAGACAGTTTTTATACAGTATATGGAAGCCCTGAGTGGCAAGTCAGAAAAAATATTCTGTTGATCCATTTTTTAAGCCTGATCTCAATTGGTTTCTTTCCTGTGTTTATGACTTAACACAGTTGACTAATCAACTTGCCAGATGATTTTCTTTTTGTCAGATCAGTGTTTGTTGTTTTGTTGTACTCATTTGTACTTAGTGCACAACTAGCCCTTGTTCTAAATAGGACTCAAAGCATTCATGTTTTCTTTCAGGTATGTTTTAATTTATCTTAGCGCCAATTAAAATACATTTCTAACCATAATAGAGACACCTATAGCACATAACTTGATAACATACAATAAATGTACCATGAGTGCATGGAGAAATAAAATTCACCTTGAAGAAAACATGAAAGAAAACTTGCCAATACTCTTTTCTTACTGGAATATAAAAATAAAAAAAAAAAATATTAAAAAGGTTTAATAAGGGAGCTTTCTACCATAGCAGGCAGGGCAAAGAGGGACTTCTAGGATAACTCCACTGTGTGACCTGTTTGACATGTATTTCTATGTGTATCACTGTTAGTAAGTCATTATTTTGACACTGATTTATTGTTTTGTACTTAAAATTGTTCACAGACTGCGGATCTGCTGGCCAGTCCAACCTACCCTTCATTTTAAATCACCTGTTGGAAATATGTTACTTTTCTGTCTTTATGCTAAGAAACTAGAAAGTCCAGTCTAACCCAACATCAAGCATTCTTTTATAATAAGTGCAGTAACAATGATGCTACTGTTATAAAGAATACCCTATTGAAAAGATCGTTGTGAATTGAAAAGTCTATAAGAAGTGTTCATGTATTCAGATATTGTACTATATTTAAAGAGATAAACCACATGGATTTTAAAGACTGTGTTGTTGTTTTAGTTTGAATTATGATTATGGAAGTCAGTTTTCTGCCTTCTGAGCTGCTGAAATGTTGTAATGTAGAAACTGCTAAGCTGTGATCACTGTTTTGGATTGAAATGTTGCTCCATCACTTCTCTGACCACAGTCAATATATTTATTATGACTGTCAAAAAGTCTAAAATGCAAGGGCTAATTTGCCCACATTACAAAAAACTAAACAAAAAACAATCTGATTTGCTCTTACTGGGAGATTGATTTTTTTGTGAGCTGAATTTTAAGGTTCAGTGTGTAACATTTAAGAGTACCTATTGGCATAAATGGAATATAATATTTATTACCTGAATATGGGAATCGTTGTGTTTTTGTTACCTTAGAATCAATCTTTTATATCTACCGACACTGCAGGTCGCCTTCCATGGAGTCTGCTATGTTGAACTGCCATGTTTCTAAACTTTAGAAATGTACTTACTTTAGAATCTAAAGTAGCCTTAAAGGGACAAACTAAACACTGGCTCTAGATGGAGGCACTTGCATTTGTTTGCCCTTCACGCTTGGAAGTGAGGGAGTTGTGATCTGCAAATGCCACTAAATCCTATACACTAGTCTTTCAAAAGAAGCCAACAACACAACACAACAAAAAAAAAAAAAAATAAATTATGTGGAAAATGGATTGCTATAAAGATTGCTAATCCAAGTGCATGGATTAATATACCAAACAACTCCTAAACTGAGTGAACAGCATAATCTGAGATTGAGAATTAATATTTTTTTAAAAAAACTGAAAAACGTGTAAGTGTTATGGTAATGTGATTTGTTATTTACAGTAAAGTATGTTTGCTACAGTTGTTAGCCTTTGTTTTCATTTAGCTGATATGACAATTTATTATGTTATGTTATGTGACTTCAAAGCAGTTTTTTTCAAAGATAATTCCTGCTCTTACTCTTAATGCCAGATCCCCGAACCTGTATAAAAGAAATTACCCAAACTATGTGCCCAGTTTATAGCAATTTGTTTATAAAGTTTATCAGTCTGTCCACTTGGTTCGTCAATCTGTCTGCACAGAGGCCAATATGTTCTTCTACAACATGACCCCTGGCAAACTGAAGATGAAGGTTTTTATTTTCAATGCTGTGGGCACAACAAATAAAATGCCACTCACCTCCTCTGTGTTGGGCTGGAGGCAGAAATCTCAGTGACAGATATCTCTACACCCAGACAATATAAAATCAAACTGAGTGTATGAGACAACTAGAAGTAAAGGAGAAAAGTGTTTTTTTCTGATTTGGGTGAATGAACCCTTTAAATGTGGTGTTCATAGATTCACTAGATTCACTCACTTCCTGTATGTTAACTACCAAAATAAAATGATCACATTATATAGTAGAGGTGTGCAATCCAAGGAAAAAATAACATCCTAATATTTTCTGGCAAGTTGACAATAACCTTTTTTATTATTATTATTCTGTTTCTACCAATTGAATGTGATGTTAATCTTCCAAAACTGTGTATGTACAATTATGAATTGATCCACAAATAATCTACTCCAATGTGCACTTTTCCTTTTATCACATTTTAATAGTTGGTCCCACTGATGAAGCTAGGTCTCTTGAATTATTTATTCAGACAAATCCTCCGTTGCCTTGGTTTGTGACTGCAGCAATACTTTTGTTGATACAGTTTTTGAGTGTGCATGGGTAAAAACTTTATTTTCTTTTACTTCTGCGCAATCAAGTAAAAATACAGCTTGTTGTTTAGAGAAATTAAAATCTGTGTGTGTAAGTGTAAACACTTTTTTCACAGGGCAAGGCCTGATTTGATTCGGGTACTTGCGCAAGGACACTGAAAAGGTTGGTTTGAAGTAAAACAGATGGTAAATTCTGTGAAGGTAAAAGAAAGTAGAATTGTTATGAAGAGAAAAAGTAAGGACATTTGTGACTTTTGGAATGAGGGGACTTTTATGTGGAATGAAATGGTGAATGCACATCAGGGACAGGTAGGTTTAGATGGATAGAGAGAAATGATCTTGTCCAAAGAGAAATTAAAGCTCAAATAAAGGCCTATTTTAGGTTTTTAACTTTGATGTGTTTTGCCTTCATGTACAGTGTTGGTTCAAAATTGTGTCATATAAGAGATGATTTATCAGATGCTGATGTTAAATGTTTATTGTGAAAATGTAATAAATATGAAACCATTTTGCAGACCTCTCTATTATATTTTTCATTCACTCTTGATGTGAAAACATGACGCGTAGAATGAAGCACAGACACAGTTCGTCCATTCCACATCCAAAACAATAATGTTAGAGATTTCATACTAGTTAACAGGATTTTTGCAAAAAACCACACAGAAACACAATGGAGGTATCAGATGTCTGGTTATCTTTAAGTGCTCAGTCCCTCGATCCTGCGTGGCACCGTTGAGACAAGTTGCCATAGACAGCATCAGGTGAGTTGGTAGGATCTGTATGAACATATAAAAGAAACAAATCTTCCAAAATAAGGACCAAGACAGTTCTTTATGGAAGCCTTTTCAGGGACATGAGAAAATAAAATCTGGTAAATGTACCATGGTTTGATGTAAAAATTGTTTTCTCTTGTGTGTTTATGTAAAAAGGTTTGCCAGATGAATTTTTTTTTTTTTGTCAGGATCATTTATGTGTTTCTAAATCCACTTTTGCCTCTTGTGGCTGAAATAAGTATTACAACAACCATCACTATGAAAAAGGATCCTGACCAGAAATGAAAGAACATAAAAAGGATTATCCTGAAAAAAGATTTTGACAAGAAAAAACATTTTTCCACCTGTTTAAGTCATAAAATACCAGAATTTTGGATCAGACTAAGTCTAATGGATGACCAGAATTTTCTTTTCACTTGCCTCTCAGGGGTTCTGTAGTTCTTAAAATAGGTATCAGGATTATTTGAATTAATTTAAAATAACATCTTTGGGAATAGGATTTGCATCAATCTCATGTCTGTATGTTAAATACAGAGCTAGTGTTTAGGTTAGCTTACCATAATATCATCTCACTCAAATAAAGCAAATAATCATTTGAATTAACCATTCTTTTAACTCAATAAATGAGCCTGGAAATGGAATAAACTCTTCAGAGAAAGAGGTTGTACTTGGATGCTCCTCAAATATGATAATGTCCAATCTGTCCTGTTGAGGAGTTGAGGTAGTCTGTCTAGCATCAGTTGTTTCAGGCAGCTGATGACTATAGACATTTATATTTTCCATCTTCTGAAAACTCAGCACTGACAAATTACCGGCACGTTTGCAAAGGCCAAAAACCGGCTTAGCACCGTTGAGGCTGGAATGTGTGCTAAATAAGCAGCCTGGCTGTGGGTCCATATAGAAACTGGGTTAGGAGGGGATGTAGGTGGATGGATGCAGGATCATGTTGCAGAGCCCTAACTGTATACACACAGAGGCATTTAATGCCAGTGTACATGCAGCGCATTCCATTACAGAGCCAGGACACACACACACACACACACACACACACACACACACACACACACACACACACACACACACACAGAGCCATATGTTGCATCAGAAATTATGAGGAATATAGCTGGGTGACACAAGATTTTTCAAGGGATTTGAATTTAAATTAACAAATGAACTATTAACAATAACATCAAACCACAGAACATAATTCACATATTACACAAAATGTAATATGTTGGGCACCTGGTTGGCTCACCTGTTAGAGCTGACGACCATGGATCGACCTGCGGCCTTTTGCTGCGTGTCATCCCCTCTCTCTACCCCCCTTTCCTGAATTGATATAATATTTATTAATATTGTTTATACTTTATTTAATACAAGTATTTTCAGTTAGGTTTTACCCCCTTTCCTGAATTGATATAATATGTTTATTAATTACTTTAAACCTTTAATACCTTTAAAAATAATCCGATACATTCTTTGGTTAAAAAGTTCTAATTACTCTGTTACGAATGGCATAGTCATGGGTAAGATTCCATTCATTAATCAGTAAGTAAACCTGAGGGGGAATATGACAAATGCAGATGCTTCCATATAGGTTAGAAGATTTTATGGATGGTTTGGGTCATTTTTCCGTTTAGGGGGGGGGGTCATTACCTTATACTTGGAAACATTTCAACCCTGACAAAATAAAAATAACAAAATGATGTCAAACACGGCTCTTACATTCAGGGGGGTTACCTTTAAAAATAATCCGATACACTTACTAATTACCTGTTAAATATAGTCAGTAACCTAATCTAAGTAAACCTGAGTATGACAATATAACCTAACTTGATTACCTTCCGTTACTTTTGGAGTACCTCAAGACCAAATATGTATTAATAAAAAACTGTTGCTCCCAAGCCTGTTTACATTGTACAAAGAAGTCTATATTTCAGTTTATTATACTGATAATATCATTTTACCAAATGCAATGTTCCAATTCAATGTATGAAACATTAATTAACATAATTAAAAGAGAGAGCATCATTTGTATAGTACAGAATTTATTCATTTTATTAAAATGCACTTTGACAATCTTTTGAGAGTTTTTAATGACTGTACATCCATCATATCCATCATATTCATCATATCCATCATATCCATCACATCCATCATATTCATCACATCCATCATATTCATCATATCCATCATATTCATCATATCCACGAGCCATTCCCAAAACTCCCTGATTCTACAGCAGTGAATGCATCTGGCGCAGTCATATGACGTCACATAAGCGCCAACATAACATACATGTGGAAGTGTGTGGCTGAGTTAAAGAGCCCTGGTTCAGTTCCTTTTCTTGTTTAGTCGGTGTCTGTATGTCTGTGGGTGTCTGTATGTCTGTGGGTGTCTGTATGTCACAGCGATGGCGTCCTTTTAAAAGCTGTCGTTCCTCGTGAAGCTCTACAGGGACGAGCTGTGATTGGCTGTTCAATGCCGCCAGTTAGCGTTCTGAGCTAACATCAACAGCTAGTTGACACAGCGGCGTTAGCGAGCAGACATTAGCCAACTCTGCTCTTCACAAATGGCTGAAGATACTGTGAAAAGCGACCCTTCTTCCACCCGGCAGGGGGACGATAATCCAAATTCTAAGAGCAATAATGGCGACGCAGCGGCAGAAAACCAAACTCTGTCCAAAAGGCAAAGGAAGAAGCTTCTGAAGCAACAGAAATGGGAAGAGGAGAGGGAGCTACGAAAGTAAGTATGGTGATCAGTCATTCATTCTACTACAGAGGGGCCACAACAGTTGCCTAATGGTGTAACATGTGCTGTTTGTGCTTTTTAAAGTGTTATTTTGCATGGAAGCCCATGTGCTTCCTCCATGCCAAACTCCATTCAAACATTTGTCAATTTAAGGTTGTATAGCTTAGCTTGTAGGGGCTATTTGTCTATAACCTAAAGTAAATAAGGTGCCACTGATGCTCCTCCGAAACTCTATGTTGACAAAAGAAGACACAAGTATATAAACCCCATTATTAGGAAGTAAAACCATAATATGACCAAAATTGCTCTTAAAACTGGGATGTGCAGAGGTGTGTCCTGTTAAATTAATATATATTAAATATGTACCATGATGCAGTAGTCTGCAGCGTGGGGTCCTATTATTGCCCACATGTGCTGTATCTGTCCTGTGCTTTCTGCTGCAGGCAGAGACGGAAGGACAGAAAGCAACAGCGTCGGATGCAGAGGCAAAATCATCAGGAGGAGGAGGGAGAGGCCCAGGGTGTGAGGAAGCGTCCGCGCAGAGAGGTGACGCCCAGCTCCCTAAGGCTGGTGGTGGATTGCGGCTTCGACGACCTCATGCTGATCAAGGTAAGCAGCACCCATCATGTCCATATTGAGATATGAACTGAGGCACTGCTGACTCTCCTGACTGATAATGTTGTGTCCTCAGGATGTCCGGAAGCTTCACAAACAGATCCAGCGGTGCTATGCTGAGAACAGACGAGCCCTGCATCCAGTGCAGGTTAGTGGCTGCCGACTGACATGAAGCAGTAGAGACAGTTCTGTCTGATCTACTGAATAACCTCTCCTCTCACTCCTCCAGTTTTATCTGACGAGCCTGGGTGGACAGCTGAAACAGAGCATGGATGAAAAGGACAAAGGATGGGTCAACTGGAAGGTAAACATGATCCATGACTGATTTTTAGATTTTACATTAAAGCAGTTTCTCTTTTCACTCTTTGCAGTCTGGCAACTGTTTGGGACACTTAAGCAGGCTGTTATAATGTCATACTATGCATAGTCAGTCATCCCTATATTTGAGAGGCTGAAAAACGTTGTGATGTTCTGCCATGTTTACATGAAATATTGCTTCAACGGTGGATCGATTATCAAAATAGCAGTGAAATTTAGAGAGTCATTTTCTGACGATTAATCGAGTAATGGACTAATAGTTGCAGCTCTATGGTATTTACATGAATGCACTCAAAGAGACATACTTGAGTAACCATTGTTAAAAGCAGAAATCCTCATAGTTTATTTCTAAATAGAATCAAGTTACTTGAAGACAAACATTTTATCATAAAGTAATCAAAATGTACTACTTCAGTTGGTATTCATGTTATGATTCTATGTGAATACACACATTTTGTCTGTGTACTGTTACCTCTGCTTTTAGACTGCGGTGGTCCTTGCTTTGTTTAATATCAGTGTACAGTAGCGCTGCAAGCAACCGTTATTTTCATTATCATTTAATATGTCGACCATGCTGCTGCTGTTGTGTGCAGGACATTAACATAAAAACGGAGCACTACAGTGAAGTGGTGGCCAAGGAGGAGCTGGTTTACCTGACGTCAGACTCTCCCAACGTGCTGGAGGAGCTGGACCAAAAAAAGGCCTATGTGATAGGAGGCCTGGTGGACCACAACCATCATAAGGTACGTCTGGCAGCAATAACACCATGCCGGATGTGATCCCTACTCACTGATTTGGTCTTTAGATTTCTGTCCTGGTTTTGTTCACAGGGCATCACCTTTGAGAGGGCGAAGGAGCTGGGGATCGATCACGCGCAGCTCCCTCTGAGCAGTTTTGTTAAGATGAACAGTCGGAAGGTTCTGGCAGTCAACCATGGTAAGGACCGGTATCAGACCAATATATGAGACAAGTTTTAAGTCACGGCACAAATGGCTTTAGTATTTGCTGTTTATATCTTTAGAGTAAAATTGCCCACTTTACTCTGTTCTAAAGTTAGCTGAAAATGTTAGCATATGTGGCTAACTAGCATACCACCTACATCTGCAACCTAGCATTACCAAGGCCAGGAGAAAGGTATCATTAGCTAACTGTTTTGCGGAGTACCAGTTTGTTATAAAAAGGCCTATTCAGAACTACCACAGTATGGGAGCCATTTGACTATATCAGGTTAATGTTAGCTTTAGTGGCTTTAGTGGTCCTGCTCTCTATTATATTTGGGAAAGTTTACCAGAGATAACGGCTCATTGGTTTGTTCTCATTGATTGCTTTTTGTCAGTGAAGTCTACTGATTGAAAATACTATCCTTAAAGCATAAATGTAACCTTTGTGTTGCTCGTATCTTTTTCTTCAGTAAACATCTAAATGGGGTTATGCTAGGCAGAAATGTTATCTAAAATGTTTGAAATATATTCACTTCTAAATACTATTTGGCTCTGCTCCAATAACAGTTGTTAACACTTATCTACAGCAACCATTAGCAAGCTTGTTAGCTAGTAAACTTAAGATATCACTATATATGTCGCTTTTATCTTTTAACCATGTTCATAATTCTGAGATATATTGTCATGCCAAAAGAAATCTGTTTTCTGAGTTAATGACCTATTATGTCATAATTATAATGAAAAACAAATTCTGTATTGAATTCATTTTTTTCTTTAAGTGAATGCAACGTTTCCATAAGGTTCTGACTGAGGCTTGCTAAACTGTTATTGGAGCACAGAGTAAAAAGGGGCAGGGCCAGGAACAATCCAATCTGAATTATTCTCTGTGAAGAAGTTAGTTAATTCTTTCTCCCACTACTTACATTTGGTTTTAAAATCATCCTTTGGTCTTTCCTGCAGTGTTTGAGATCATCCTCGCGTACCTGGAGAAGGGCAGCTGGCAGGAGGCCTTCTTCACAGTCTTGCCTCAAAGGAAAGGAGCGGTGGCTGTCGACCAGGACGAAACAACAGCTCAGGAAAAAGAGGAGGAAGATTCAGACTCTGACTCTGACCCCGACACGCCAGAGCAAACTGAGAAAAAAGTCTAAGACTTAGTTCAAATGGACAACTTCAGACAAAGTCCAGACATCTCATGTCTGGATATATTGATGCTAAGGTTAAGTTTGAAAGATTGACATTCTGTCAACAAAAATATGTTTCTTTCAATTTTTTTTTTTTTTTTTAAACAGCTATTTATTGAATGTTTTACTTTGTGCCTCTTGTAATGGCTAATAACTTAGTTGAACATCTAATGGAAATACAAAATTTCAGTTTTGCTTAAAAAAATTGCAGAATATAGAGTGAAGATAATGATTTATACCTGAATTTTTATTCCTGTCTTTTATTGTTTAGCTCCAAGCTAAAGCTGTCAGACCTGTGCCAAATAGACTTGAAACATTTAAAGCAGTATGCAGTCAACACAACATGATTGTCACTGACCCTGGAATTCCTCAAATATTTTGTAATTTTTCAGAATGTAGTCAGAGTTTGGGGAATCTGAAGCCCATTTTCAAAAGTTTTTTTTCATATTAATGTAATGCAGGATAATGTCACCCAAAATGAAAAGAGAACTTATATTATTCTTACTATGCTTTTGGGAGATCATGGAAGCAGAGAACTTGCAATTATTATTATTTTTTTAATGCCTTTTTTCTTTTTTAATGCCATTATCACAAGACAATCATCCCCTTATAACCTGATACATTATGTTGTTATCTTGAGAACCTCCTGATCTCAAGAGAATGTCATTATAAAAAGATTGTCAGTATGGCCATTCTTTCCTTCCGTAGAAGACAGTCATTTGTTGAATATATGAATATAAATATAACCAGAAAATGGCATTAAAATGATGGAACAGATCATGAAATGCCAGGTTAAAATGCACAGTGGACATCGATGAAAGTGAAAATTGCATTTACAAAGAATGTTACAGTGTGATGCAGCAGAGATAATGCAAAGAGGTCATTTTGATTTGATAGACCACCCATATCTTCCTTCCAGGAAAGGCCAAGGTTCCAGACTGTTTGTTAGTTTACCTGTGCGGTAGTGCCTGAATGCACCGAAGCAAACTGCTACGTGAGTCAGGTGCTGAGTTGTTGTTGCACTGTTCGGAAATGAATGCATGGTTTTGCTACCCAAACTGAACATCTCTATATTTAAGGTACTATTGCTGTGGTCTGAAATGCACCCATGGATAAGACCCATTTCAACTTGCACCCAAGAACAATCAGACCCATTAGCTTTGACCCTATTGCACCTGACTTATGTGTGACACAGGTGAGGCCAATGCTACATATGATCAAGATAAGAGGAGGTTATGACTCTGAGCAGTGACATTAGTAGCTTTAATTCTGACTTGATGAAATGTAATGGGTGAACAGTGTATAGGCTCCTGTTCCTAAGGGCCTTAAGACAACACCTGCATTATTACTTGAGCTCGAGGCCCTGTCTTGAGAAGTAAGACACCATGTTTAAGGCACTCCATTATTTCAGTTTATCTTATGCTTACATTGGACATAACTAACAGATAATTACACAGCTCAGGGCCCCCTAGTGGGTTAACAGGACAGTGACAGATTTGGGGAAATATTTTACATTAAATTTACGTTGAGATTCATGGTTATTTTAGAAAGAATTTTTTTAGAATTGGGACAGTTATTAAGTTTGCTAGGAATCTCCAAGGGCCCATATCTCAAACTGAGAACCTCACAGGAGCTGTGCCCCAGGAGAAGAGGAAGAGGCGGGAAACCACGTGACCATATAAGTTACTAATAAGGTAGTAGGCTGCAATTATTTACGTTAGGTGTTTAATGGTTTCTGTTATAGAAAGATTGGTAATGGCAAATAACAATGTCCTGGAGTGGAGAGTCCTGGTTGCTGTAGCAACTAAACCCGGAAGCTGTAGTGTCCATGGTAACAAGGTAAGGTGACGCTAAACTTGAGGAGTACCAGAGAATGTCTAATAAGGAGACGTAGACGGGCTCTGGGAGTACGGTTTATTGTGTTGAGGCTGTAGCTAGTCCGTCTTACCACCTTCCATAGAAGAGTCCAATGTCCCGTAAAGCACTGAAGGTGGTGGTTGAGTTACAGTTCAGAGCGGTAAGAGTCTTCATTCATCTGTTAGGAGAGAACGGCACAGCATACACCAGTCTACGTCCTAGTGTTTGTCTTTTTCTCTCTCTTACCAACAAAGGGACGCGTTTGTTTAACTTACAGTGCTAACGTAAATGAACTGGGCGAGCTACTGCACCAGATACAGCTTACATTTCAACGTTTAAACTCGGTTCACCTGTCCTCTCCACCAAGTGCGTCTACACTGTAGCTGCTGCCTAGTAGTGTTTGTTGTAAATGAGGCTCAGATATTCAATGCAACTGGTGGTAATTCAGTAATATTTAATGTTCCATTTCTTTCTGAAAACCTGCCATGAAGGTCAATTTTAATATCCAATATGGCGTCTGCCTGTTAGAGTAGCACTGATCATTTTAATAGTGGCTAGTGACTAAAACATAAGTAATTTAGTAATTACTAATTACTCTTTTCAAAAGAAATTAGTTACACTAATAGTTATATTACATTTCCCCCCCCAACATTCAGACTTACAACAATTGAAATCCAGTTTGTTAAAATCAAATAATGGGAATAGTTCCAGCTGCTGAATATAAGTGTTTTCATCTTCCAAACTAGTTTCCTCCATGATTACCAAACTTAATCAAAGGATGTGATTGGATTGTTGGATTTCAGATCAGTAGGGTTGCCAACAAAAGTAATATTGTAACTAACATTTTTTGGGGTGGTAACGTATTTATTGGGGTAGTAATATTATTACTGAAATCTATTAGTAATTAGTTTAATATTACTAATAATGAGTTACAGCATTTGAAGGGAGTGAGACATCTTTATAAGGAGTACTTTACTTAAGTGTGTTTTGCTACTAAATAATTTTTTAACTGTAATTAAATGTTTTAAATATTTTAAAGTAAAGCCACTTTTACTCAAAGCCAAGCATACCTTTGTCCCTGATGCCTGCAGGACTGAACACTACATGGATTATGATTATATATAATATATAATTGTATATGCAAGTGATTGCAACCTTTTTTTTTATCCCTGATTAAGTGACATCTTCTATGGATATTTCATATTATATTCAAAATACAGTACAATGAAGCCAAATAGAAAACTCACTAACTGTACCCACCCCCCCAGTGCTCCTATGGCATTTGCAAGAATCCACCAGGCCAGAACGAAAACAACCAATCAGAGTTAGGTTGGGTTTAGCTGGCTGAAAAACTGTCTCCAGCTGACATTTTAATGTCCTTAATGGTCTTGAATACCAACGTGGAGGCTACATACACAACTTCATGCTAATAGCATGCGGCTAATGCCGAGTTCTTATCATATCGGTGTTGTCGCTATTACTTTTCAATCTCCTCATCTTTCTGAAAGGTCCAATATGTCCAACTAGGTGCTTAATATTACAGAAAATCAAACTAACATGGATGCCTCATATTACTCCACTGTTCTCAGGTTTCTTGTCCTGGAGTTCATCTGCCAGCCAAGGATGATATCTACCTCAGCATGTGCTTCATGGGCCAGTACCGTCAGTCTGAATGTCTCCCTGCCGTCTTTCCTCTGCTGTTCCATGAGAAGATGACCTTTGAAAAGGCAGGTCTTCACTTATGATCCATGTGGGAGACAGACAGCTATGATGAAGGGAGGTTTGAATAATGTGAATGAGAACAATAGCTGTGTGTAGTATGTAAAACGTGTTTTTAAAGGTATTTATCAGTAACTAGTTAGATCAAGTTATTCTCATTCTCTGTAATGTTAGTCGAGACATGCCTGTATTGAATTATATAAACTTAACATGGCTGTACAGTACTTACCAACAAGATGTCCACTCCTGTAGATACAGTCATAATAATATTAACTTTATATAGCACCTTTCAAAAACAAATTTACAAAGTGTTCTGAACATGATAAGCTTTCATTTTAGAGAAGAAAAAATGAGAGAAATGAATAAAGATTGCTATTAGCTATCAGGTGTGATTAAAAAACATAAAAATAAATCACATTAGATTTCCACTCATTTATTCTATCAAGTTACCTGAAGTCTTTAATGTAAATGGTAAATGGACTTCTATAGCATCTTTCTAGTCTTCTGATCACTCAAGGTTTTCCACTACATGCCACATTCACCCATTCACACACATTCATACTCCAAAGCACAGCAATTTGGCATTCAGTTTCTTGCTCAGCATGTCAAAGTGTCATGCAGCAGGAGGAGCTGCTTTATCTCCTGAGACCCAGCTGCTCAGTCCACTTTGTCCAAATCCGGACAAAAAAATGTTTTTTGGGGACTTTGAGGGAGAATACAGTTGAGTACATTCAAATTCATATATAACGTAAAATAAGAAAGATAAATAAACATGAATATTTTGTTTCTATTCAGATTTTCAGGCATGCAGTTGACCCTGGAGACATCGCTGTAATGCTTGAATGTAAGTTACATAATATTTGGTTGTATGCAGTATACCTCTTTCTTATAATTTAGCCCATTTAATCTCTTCAGCATTTTTTTTCTCAGTATGTGTACTTAGAAATTGTACTGAACAAAACTGCAATAAAGCCTAAAACATTCCTATAATATATCTCTATAGGAACTTATATAGGACATAACTTATAGGTTGCTGTGGATCTTTCTCAACTTGATACCATTTCTCTTTAGATGAGACGGCCAGAGTTGAACTGGTGCAGCTGATTCCTCCAGGTGAGGTTGTTTATTTTTCATTTAAATTTTTCTTTCTTTCACTGGTTATAATTACACATATTACCACAGACAACCTCTTTCCCATTTGCTTTGTCGCAGTGTAGCAGAAGTGTGTTTGTGTTTGCAGTGGGGGACACTCTGGCCTGCTTTGAAGAAGACGCTCGACGTTTCTTGTTCCCGGAGCCCAAACTGGTTCCCTCCTTCTCTGGAGTGGATCGAGAGGTTCTGATGACCCGAGCGCCACACTTTCCAGTAGGTCCAACCCTCTTACACATTGCCTTACAGTGTACAAAAATATTGTTCAAAAGGTTTTATATAAGGAATTCACTTCCAACTACACTGAACAAAATTATAAACGCAACACTTTTGTTTTTGCCCCCATTCATCATGAGCTGAACTCAAAGATCTAAGACTTTCTCTATGTATACAAAAGGCCTATTTCTCTCAAATATTGTTCACAAATCTGTCAAAATCTGTGTTAGTGAGCACTTCTCCTTTGCCGAGATAATCCATCCACCTCACAGGTGTGGCATATCAAGATGCTGATCAGACAGCATGGGTATTGCACAGGTGTGCCTTAGGCTGGCCACAATAAAAGGCCACTCAAAAATGTGCAGTTTCACTGTATTCGGGGGGTCCGGGGGGTCCGGGGGGGTCCGGAAACCAGTCAGTATCTGGTGTGACCACCATTTGTTCAGTGTACATACACAAATTAATGCATTTTCTGGACTGTCGTAGGAGAAAAATATTAAAAATGATGACTGACTATGAATGTGATCTTAATCTCATTATGGTATAAATATTTCCTCTCCTCTTTTTCCCAGGGTATCGCACCAAGGTTGGAGTTCTCCACCAAAACAACCATCATTGAGTGCTCAGCTGATGCAGAGATCAATATTTACCCCAATGTACCCATGGTAAAGATGATGTTATGTGGCTCAAAATGTATGTAGATGAGGTATAATGAATTAATCAAACTGCATCATATCTCAGGTCACATTAACTGGACCAGATTAGGTGTTTGTCAGCAGCAGACCTGTCCACTTCCAGTGTCCTAATGGATTCCTTGAATTCAAAGTGTTTTAATTTTAATATAAAACACAAGATCAATACATACAGTATAGTAATGCAATTTGTTTTTAATATATATATTTTGTACATTTTGGCAAAATGGCACCATTAAAAGTATGCTGATTTATCTATTAGCAGTTCCTGTTAGCAATGTATCCATGGATATACAGACAACTAGTTATAAGTTAAAAGGAACCTCTTTTTTCTGTGATTTCTAGGCCAGTTTATGGACATTTATTCACAATGAACATCAGTAATAATGATGTCCTTGAAAAGTGTAAATCCCACAGAATCTAAAAAAATGTGTAGCATGTCTGTGTGTTCATATTTGACTGAGGTATGACTCAGACAATAAGGGCTATGATTTTTGGCACAATTTGAAGCTATCGGATTAATCTACTTTCACTGCCTCATGAGCTGTGTGTCACAGCCACTGCTGCTGCAGCTGCTAACTGTAGTGAAAAACAGGCCAAACCAGCCGGTTCCTTTCACCTCACACAGTGTCTTTTCCTCTGAGGACCCACCTCAACTCCAAGATTAGGCCAAAAGCATGTTAAAAGAGTTGTTTTCTGGAGCCGAAGCAGTGCTTAGAAGCAAGTCCCACATTTATTTATAAGAAGCCAATGCTAGCACAATGCTTGGACACGTGTGATATGGTCACTTTTTATGCCCTTTTAAAGCCTGGATGGCTGATTTTTAAATTTGATTTTTCTTTTCATTTTCTCAACACAAATAACAAAAACTAATAGTAGACATGACCACAATGACCAGGTGAGGTCGAGGAAGGCCGAAGACAAAGGCCAAAAAACTGACAACCTGGTGGATACAGTACAGTTAGTTCCCAGATTGACCCCTCTCCCTCCTAATATGCTCAATGAAGGGCCCCCAGATCTTAAGAAATGTGGGATTTGGACCGAGTATGTTCAGGGTTCCCACGCATCCTGGTTACGGTTTGTGAGCAAGTGTTAACCTGTATTGTCAAGAAAACTCATAAGAGCTTGTAATGTTATTAACCAGAGAAAGCGTGATTGGACAACTACTTTTACCTGCAATTCAAAATTCCTAGAAATATAATATAAAATATATATGAAACAAATGTAAAGCTTTAACATAGGAAAGCCCGACTGATAGTGCTATTTTTAGCCTGTAGATAGGTTTGAGATATCAACTCTTTTGTTTTCAGAGGCCAGCGATAAAGAGGAACAGGAAACACCCCAGCAGACCCAGGACCTGCTCTCCTCAGAGGAAACAACCTCAGAACCTCGGAAGGAGACGAAGTCACAGACCTGGCAGCACCAGGTCACCGTCATACATCCCCAGGTCCCAGTCCCTGTCCCCTCTGAGAGCTGGAAACGCCCAGCGTCTGGCCCGACTCAGCCTGGACTCTGCAGCTCCCGACCCCACTGACTGGGACACGACCAGCACCTCCCAGCCAGTAAGCGCAAACAACACATTTATTTAATTTCCAGCCAGCAGGTGGCAGGGAAGAGCTAATTTAAGTACTGCTCCACTTTTTTACTGAGTGTACTCACACCTCTCTGATCTAATATGTCCTCTCCTGTGTTTTCACCAGTGAGAAAGTTTGAGAATCAGTTGTAGTATAGTGTCACAGTGACTCAGTCAGTAAAAGTACAATAAGAAAGTATTTAGTTCTGACACAATCTGAGGGCATGAGGAGGATACTAACAGGATATAAAGCAAGTCAATGTATCACTGACATGGTATAGTTTAATATAATATGGTACAAAATGATATAGTATAGGATATGAGATATAGTATGATATAGTACAGTATAGTACATATTTTATGTATATATGTCATATTCAATACGTAACAGTACAGAACAACAGATAAACTGTAAAATGAACCCAAATAGTGAACACAATAACTGCAGGTTAGCTGTACAGTAAAACAAGTGATTTGGATGAATTTGGAGCAGATTCGTCCCTGTGACTATTGATCAGGGATTAGTTTTCCTGATATTTTAGGAACTTTTTATACAAATATCTGTCTGTATTTATGTATTTAAATAATTTAAAAAATATCTAAAGGTGGCATTTGAAATCATTAAATTGTTTTATTTCCAAATCTTCAGACATTTTTCCATATACATGTCTTTTTACATTGAACTTAAGCCTGCCACTGAGTCTCAAATGTGGCCATAACACAGCATTAAACTAATTTCCATTTTTTGTTATTTTTTAAATATATCTAAATTTGACAGCATTTGACACCAAAGTGGGGGGGCAGCTGGGGTGACCAGGCTTGCTACACATCTAGATCCACCCCTGATTATATACCAATATTAAAATCAGGGAGTTTATAGTCATAATAATAATAATCAACTTTGTTTTGTTGAGAGAAAATGCTTTTTCTGCTACTCTCCATTTGTATCATATCGTAACTATCATAAGCTAGTCACTAACTATTTGTTGTTTGGAACACCTACTGCATGAATTGTTTCCTTCTCACAATACAATGATCCAGCTCACTGTGTCATTGTCCTGTGCATAGATTCTGGCCTCATGGCCTGGAGCCAGTCGATCTGCCTCGCCCCACCGCTCTACAGTGTTTACCAACTCCTCATCACCTTTGACCAGGTCTTCATCCACAGGTAGAAATCCTCATATAAAGCTGCTTTGTTGTTCCTAAGTATGGTTTACAGTCTCAATTTACCATCCCAGCTTGTGACATTTACTATTATTGTTATACTGCTCTGTTGACTTGACCTTATTCACTGGAACAAGCTGTTAGTTTGATGACGAAGGCCTACTATAAGTTTTCTATTGCACGACAACCTACTTACAGTCAGGTTCCCATCATCAAAGAAATTCTGTTGTGACTCAAAACATTTTTCCCCCTTTTTGCTGTTTTAGTGAGATTTTCTCCAACTGGCAGAAGAAAATCTTTATCCAATGGTTTGGTAGGAACATTTTTTTTCCCTCCTCTTCAAATCAAGCAAATGGTATACAGTGTGTTAATTAGTGAGCTTACGCGGTGTTAGACAGTGTATTTTGAAACTTAGGACAGAACCAAGCTAGCTGGGTTTCCCCCTGCTCCAGTCTTCATGCTAAGCTAGGCTAGCCACAGCTTGACTCCAACTCCATACTTAAAGTCACAGACAAAACATTGATATCCATCCTCTCATCTCATTTTCAGAAAGAAAGATGAAAACCCAAAACATGTTGAATTGTTCCTTTAAAGGTACAACCTGGGATTTATTTGAGTTTTACATTAGTAATGTTTGTATACACCTCAAATTGGACTCCAGTCAGTTGAGTAACAAACTAAAATGTAGATTTACCATATGTATATTAAAGTCTTCAATTAAGTGTCTAAATATACCATCGTTTTAGATTCACTGACTGAGCCTTTAATTAAATGCAACAGACCAGCATTGGACATAATGAATTGCACAGGTGCAGATGCATAAATAGGATGTTTATCCGATAGTGTAAGAAACTGTTTCCTTTGACAGGTTGGACGGATATCAGGAGACGACTCCAGCTCTTCAGAAACACACGACCCCCTTGACTACCACCAAGGTCCTGACGCTTCAAGACAGCAGCAGTCTTACAGGGACGAGGCCAGGCACAGCAGGTCCGTTTCGTGACTAGGTTTAAAATTTATTTGACGTGTGCTTCACTTTTTTTGGTGGCCTATGTCCCATCTGTTAAAATAATATTTAGATGTTGATATTTTTGTAATGTGCCAAGCAAAAAGCTTAAACTTGCTTCATTTAATATAAATGCCATACTCAATCCAATTAAGAGGGGGAACATTTTATCGAAACTAAAGGAAAAAAAAGTCCAAATTGCATACTTGCAGGAAACTCATCTTGATGACTCTCTAAACTGAACAAAATGGGGTTTAAACATGTCTACTTTTCTTCCTATAAATCAGGGAGGGGGAGAGGAGTGGCAATTTTGATATCCAGAACAGTAAACCATGAACATTTATGTGAATATAAAGATAAAGAAGGCAGATTTGTTATGATCACAGGCAAATTAGACGGTAAGTTGATGAGCCTCCTTAACATCTATGTTCCTCCTGGTAGTGACTGGTCCTTCTATAAATACATATTCGAAACAATTACATCAAAAATTCAAGGGATCCTACAAATGAACAATGATCAACAAATAGATACCTTCCTATCATCAATCCATTTACCAAAGGTCACAGATGAACAAAATGAACTGCCAAAATAGCAAAAGAAGAACTACAATCAGCAATAGGAAAACTAAAGGGAGGAAAAACCCTGGGAACAGATGGCTTCACACCAGAATGGTACAAAATAATGAAAGACCAATTAGTTCCAACACTACTGAAAACATTTAACTGGGTGCTGGAAAATGAAAACAATCCCCCCATCATGGAGAGAAGCAATTCCGAAGGACAGGAGGGACAGACTGGACTGTGGGAATTATCTCCCAGTTAGTATTCTAAATATTGACTACAAACTGTTCACCTCCATACTATCTAAAAAGAATGGAACAGATATTACCAGAGCTAATACACAAGGACCAGACGGGATTCATTAAACAGAGACAGACCCAAGACAACATCGGGAGGACACTTCATATAATGAGGCAAGTCATGTAAGGTGGACTTTCTTATATAAAGAACTGGCTAAATTTGGCCTCCACACAACCATAATTAAGATATTTGCAGCACTGTACAACAGTCCCACAGCTAGAATTTAAATTAATGGTGACCTCACCAACCCATTTACTTTGGAAAAAGGTAGAGACAAGGGTGCTGTGCATCGCCACTCCTCTTTGCCTTGTTCATAGAACCCCTGAGCCAATGGCTACATAAGAGGCCAGATATTAAGGGGGTAACAATGTCCACAGGGGAACAGAAATTGGCTTTATTTGCGGACGATATATTGATAACTTTAACGCAGCCTACACACACACTCCCAAAATTAATGAACATGCTAAATGAATTCGGCCTACTTTCGGGCTATAAAATCAACATTAACAAAACCCAGGTACTAGCCCTTAATTATGTGATAAAGACCCTTTACATGGAACTGGGATGCAGAATGTATCAAATATCTGGGAGTAACACTGCCAAAAAACCTTTCCAAGATATTTGATCTCAAGTATGGACCTCTAAATTCAAGAATAAAAGCAGACATGCAAAGATGAAACGTTATCCCTTTCCTGAGTTTAAGTTCCAGGATCGAGTCAATTAGGATGAATATCCTTCCACAATGACTTTATCTTTTTCAATGCCTGCCTGTGGAAACACCACCAAAACAATTTTCAATTTGGGACAGGTTAATATCAAGATACATATGGCAAGGGAAAAGGGCTAGAGTAAAATATTGGCTTGCCTATGCTCACCAACTTACTCAACAGAATGGAAAGACATAGAAGGCACAATGGTAGAAGATATACCAATAACAGCCCTATTGGCAGATAATAAACTACAGGATGAACTGGTGGTCTCAGATTATCCAATGCTTGCTGTTCTTTTGAAGTCCTGGCAGGAAACAGCCAAACTCTGCAGACTGGGCGATTCATCCAAACTCCTGAGGTGGTGTGCCTATGACTCAGACTTTGCAGCCAATAAAAACGAGGTAGATTTAAGACCTGGACCTCTAAGGGGTTAACTACATATTATTAATTTATCCCCAAGGGGGCATTTTAGAACTTTGAAGATCTACAGAACAAACATGGTCTGGGATAGATGATTTTTATAGATACTTACAAGTTGACAGCAAGCAAAAAAACAATAACGGTTATTAATAAAAATGGTTAAGGGCAGAACCACCCAACATTGAGGAATGGATCGATATTGTATACGAGATATACATTGTGGAAAAATCATATATATATCATATCATTTTCTCTTAAAGTGCAAACAGAAAAGTTTTATCAGATCTGGACTAAATGGACGGAGTATGTAAAACCTATACAACCGGACTTCATATAACTGCATCTGTAATGAAGGATAACCTACCCCCTTTAATTGATTCAGCCATTTATGTTACTCATTTTTATAGTGTAAGCCTATTCACCAAAGTGTCAATTTATCCCTAGCTTTTACCTTTTTTGTGTATATAATGTGTGTGTCATTAATTATTCAGTAAGCTCCCCAGTTCAACTCTGTTCTGTTGATTGTTAACATCAACTTAAAAATGGAAAACGGGAAAAGCAAAAGACCTAATGTTGTAGTAAATTGTTTGCAACTGTACTTGTAATGTTTTGCTTTTTCAAATAAAGAGAGAAAAAAAAGCTTAAACTTAACTAGCAGGCCGCAAAGCCAATAGCTCTCACACTTTCAATGTGTACTATAAATATAAATAGTATTTGTCTCAAAAAGACATTTGAGTTATGGTTATATTTAAAGGGCACTAGCAAAGTATTAAGCTTTAGCTAAGAAAGTATGTTATTAGTTAGTATTATGTTGGACTCATTGTCTCAGCATATCAGAAATACATTGAGCAGCAACATGTCTGTCTTGCCTGTCTTGGCTCAACCTGGTCAGAAGATGGCAGCACGCATTATGAACCAATGCAAATAAATGAAATGCTTTTTAATGTTTTAACTTATTAAGCTCACTTTAAATGTATTTAACTAATAACTTAAATTACTAACCTAACTCTAAAGGCACTCTCGGCAATTACACTGTCACTTAGCAAAATCAGGATGTGCAGATATTGCACGTCTCACCTGACTGACTGCAATCAAATGCAGATGACACTGGAAATGTTATGTTTAAAAGTAATGATGACTAATAAGAATGCCACTCAAGCTAAGATTTCCCTGACTATTGGTATAATGACTAGGTCTCAGTCCAGCTTTCACAGAGAATGGGAAGAGGTTCAAGAGCGTGTCCGAGGACTCCTTACGACACCAAAAGCTGTACGCCGACTTGTCTATGTAAGTAATACATGACATTAGGCTCTGTGTTAGATATCACAGCATCAGTATCTGTTTCAGTCTGGTGTTAGACTTGTTGCCATTCATACAGGCCAAAATATTGGTTCAGTTGTTGCAACATTGTAGTTGTAGATGTCTAATAGGATAGTCACTCCTTCTTTCAGTGGGCTGTACCCATGTGTTATTTGTTATCTGAATAGGAACTGCCTTCAAAATTTACTCTTCTTAGAAACTGTAATTGTTTTTTTTTTTAAACTATCCAAATTTCTTAAATAAATTGACCTCAACTGCAGAGGGAACCAGGCCTTTATTTGAAACAGGCTTGTATTAGAGACATTCCTTTATTTTTATATATTCAAATATATTTTTTCATAAATATGTATTTTTTCTGATTTGCTTTTACTTTTTACTTTTCAAGTTGATGTTGATCATGTGTCATTCCCTCCCATTCTTAGTAGACTTTTGTTTTGAAACAGCTGAAGGAAATGTTGAGTTTGAATGTACCAAACATCACAGATGAAAGATGTAATGATGGAAGAATATGACTGCAATTGTGTTTTAGGGGGCCACACACTCCGAAATAGACAAGGTTTTAGCCAGGAGATCCATCTCTCCAGGTCCACCATGACGAGCAGGCCAGGCTGTGGATAGGTGAGGTTGACCTGCTCTGTGTCTCCACTTTTGTCTTTAAAAAATTCTGCCCTCTTGGGGCAACCAGGTGACCTCGTGGTTAAGATACATGTTATCATGTAATATCTTGTTCTTAAATGTTGTCCTAGGAAGATATATTTTATATTATTATAACTGTGTTGCTACCTCCTCTTATATAACTTATAGTTGTTTAAAAATACACCAATTAACAAGTATATTGGCTTACAAGTACATTATAGTGGGTTATAGACCATTTAGTTAATATAGTGGCTCTAAATGCTAAATAGTAGGAAAAATGGTGTTTGATTTGACAAAAATTGTAAGGAGAGCAGTAACAAGACTTATTTACATATTAAGTGACTCACCACCCCGAATGTCTGTATGTGCTAAACTGTCCCACAAATGCCAAGTTAGGACAACCTTTCTGAGGCAGTAAAGCAAAGTTGTGTTATTGTTAAAGGTGCGTGATGTCACATATGTCTTTTTCCTCACCTTCAGGGAGAGAGACCATCACCTTGCCAATGAAGTCTTCAGATCTCAAGACTCTCCTGATATTTGTGTGTGTGCAAAACATAGAGGTATTTCACTGCAGTGGTTTGATACATGTCCATACACCCTGTATTAATGACTGGCAAAATAAGTTGTCTTATGTTAAAATAAAGTTTTTAGAATTGAAACTCATCTCATTTTGAACACAGCCAGGAGGCAGTTTGACGTCATAAGTACCCATCCCGTTAATCTATCAAGCTGACATTGTCGAGTCCTATGATAAATCAACCAAAAGCCATTAAAAGCTAATTGTGTCTATGGCGATGCAGCTCTGTGTGAACTACTGCCATATATCAGAGAAATAGCTGCTCACGACTGTATGACTGTGAGGCATTAAGCACCGGCTCTATCAGGAACATTGAGATCTACTGCAGAATGGCTGCTGAAACAGAACTCTATTTTGGTGTAATAAGCAGTCAAACTATAGGCCTTAGAAGCAGTGCTGATTTTTTTAGTGGTTTGCTTGTTCAGTTTTAACTGAAGTCTTTAAATAATGCTATAAATAACAGACAGTTCCGAACCATCGGGAGACCATAGTTTATGAGGTTTTTCCAAAAAAGGTCGCCAAGCACCAAGAGCTCCATGTTGAACATGAGGAGAAATGCTTTGCTCTGATCAGGTGAGGCGCTAGAAAGTCACCGCACACCATGAGCAAGGTAGACAATGCCTTTACTGCGCTGCCGCATTGTAATGGAAAAAAACTGTTGAATTGTGCTCACGGCTCTTCATAGAATGGCTCGGCCCCTGCCAAGTACAATGGAAAAACCCTTTTAGTCCAATTTCAGGTGACTACTTCTTTGAAGCAAGCAAGAAGGTGAAGCCTTTGGAGAACTGAAAGCTGAAACAGCACCCCCTCCCTAGTGCGATGGTCTGCACAGAACCATAGCGATGACCATATTCTGGCAGAAGAAAAGCATGCTGTCATAAAGAGGTACGAGATGCGATAAATGATTCAAATGGCTATAACGATACACATTTTCAGACAGTACCTCCTTGAATGCATTTATGGTGTTACACTCTGGAGTAGTTCTGTGAATAATGACGAAAACAAGCGAGAAGTTAAAACCCTGCCTTCTTTCATCTCCACACACCAAGCAAAACGCTTCTTATAGTGACCGTGATAATCAGGCTGTCTGTTTCAGCAAATTTTGGCAGAAATTGTAAGATGCAGTACACTGTGCACTGTACATACATTATATATGTAAGTGGCTATTCACCTGCATCAGGTATACTAAGATAATGAAGAACTGATGAAAACATCAACAAATTTAAGCGTAAACCCTATTGCATAATGTTCATCTAATTTTTTATGGTTGTTTAAATGAACATCATGTTGTATGGAAGACTTGAAACTAGAGATGGAGGCCATAAACTCAGTAGGAAACTGTTTATTGAGCTAATAATTTAAGTCAGAAGTCGGCGCATTTCTCCACAAGACTATATGGTATTTTAATGCAGCCAATGGAGCTGCTCCCTGCTGGCCATTACATAGAATGCAGGTCCAGACAGTTCCACATCGGCTTCACTTTATACTGTAAATGGTCAATTTTGGTATGCCCCCATTGATAATGACCCTTGGACATCATATGAAAACCATCTGAGAGGTTGTGATGCCAGGCTATTGAGTTAAGTCAAACTACTTTTTCCAAGAATCAACTGTCATGATTAAACAGATAAGCCAAATTGGATAAGAAGTACTCAAAGTGTGATGGATGAATTCATAACAGCTATTTAGCATGAACCAATCAACAGATCCATTTTCTAGAATCAAAAGTCATGTTTTTTATATTAGTGCGACTATGTCTGACTATACACTGACCTGTATTTCTAAAGCATAATATTTTTTTTCAGGACTTTTCACACGAGAAACTTGGTTTTTACCATAACTTCTGTATTCCTTTAAAGAAAATTGGTGTTAAATGACAGTGAACCATATCATTATCCATACTGTGGTGGATAATGTAATCAAAAATACAAACAACAAACTCAGACAAAAAATGAGCAACTTTCTTTTATTTGCTTGCAGTTACACACAATTTAGTACATGTTGATTCACATACTATAGGTACTCAAGTAGTTGTCTGTACAGAGAAGGGGTTGGTTGATGCCAGTGTGCTTCTGAAATGTAGAATACAACCTGATTTACGAGGGCTTATCTCAGTATAGAATTACAAACTAGTGGCCCTTTTGGCAGTGTAGGGACGACTAATATGGAGACACTGAGACTTGGACTACAATGGATTTGAACATTTTGACTTCTTGGGAAGAGTAAAGGAATGACCTTTTAACACGAAAGCCCAAGATAAGGAACTTAGGCAAGATATGTTATCCCCAAGGATATAGTCATGTGGAATCTCACTAAACCTGTCAGCACTCTGTAAACACCATTACTTTATTGAACATTTTTGTTATTCTGAAAATAGACAAAGTTTGAATTTTCAACACTTCATAACCTCTATCAAAATCATACTTGGTTAAGGATCAAGCTGCAAGATAAAGTAGCATTTGCACTTGCTGTTTTTTTCTATGCTAGGTAGCTAACATTGCAAAGTACTGACACATTAGCTGTTGCTTAAGAACAGTATTTTAGATCAAGCAAAGAAAATCTCTTCTGTGATAGTTTCAAGCTGGACCACTGAAATCAGCTTAATTACCATGCAAGGAATTTTTAAGAGCAGCGTTTACAGTGGCTAATTTTTAATGCTAGCTACTAGCATTGTTAAGTCTTTTAGAAGCAAACAAAAGAAAATATTTACTTGATTTTTTTCCAAATTAGCTTGTCTTAACTAGCGGGGAATTTGCAGCTTCAAATGGAACACATTGTACAGTACGATATTGTGCTGTAAGCTACTCTGGCAGTTTAATTTCTACCACAATCTGAGAAAAAAAAGTAGTGTAAAGCTTGTAGTTGTTTTTTAATGAATGTAAATCCCTTAGCATGTGATAGATAACATGTCAATGTCATTGAGTTGCAATGGATTATTGTATTTTCTGCCAGGAGATTGGAAAGGTATTTGGCTCAGACTCTAGCGATGGTGGAAAGTAAGCAAAGAGGACCGCTTTTGATAAATGATATTGATTATCATGCTGGGATTATCATTATAGCACCAGCACTGGGAACACTTGCTGCATACATTCAAACATATGAATAGCATAAATAGTACCAAAGATAAACCTCAGCTCCCATGTCACGTCTTTTTCAAGTTGACTTCACCATTTAAACAACTCCACACTGCCTATTCCAGGGTTTAGTACTGTATGTGCATGTGCATCATAGTATGCAGCTGCTGCATGGAGTCAAACCCAGCTCTCAGTTACAGACATGGACATACATTTTATAAAAAAGCATAAGACCACAAGCATCACAAGCTGTGAGCATCACAAGCAACAGTGCAGCCAGGGGTCTGACATAAGTACAAGCATTCATATCATTTGTGGCATTTGCGTCAAAGCATTAACCTTCGTTGACGTTTTAAGGAAGGCGAGGCATGTTTGTTGGTCTCTCTGCCTGGACGGAACAAGAGTATTTAAATAAAAGGACATTGCTGCTCCCTTATTTTGGATCTTTCCTCTTTCACCATCCACTGCCTAAATGTCAGCTTAACATATACCATAATTACATTGGTAACTAATAATTATTTTTTGTCAATTTTGTATTAATCTTTTGGTCTATGTAATATCCAAAATTATGTCATCACAATTCAATAGCCATTAAATACTAAATGTTTTAGCACAAAGCCCAGAGAGATAACATTTTTGATGATATAAAGCTGACAAAAGCAGCAAATCCTCAATTTTGGAAGTTGGAACCAGCAAAGTTTTTTCCTTGATAAATCTACAAATCAAATATTAATCAGTTATCTTTCTATCCACCAATTGATCAAATGATGTTTTACTACACACACAATTGTTCTCCCAAGTTTAGACTTACAGCCTTGTTTGTGGCTATGATGTGTTTGCAGAATTGGAAACAAATGTCAATCATGGTTGACACTTTGACTTGCAGGTCTCCTCTGCATCACATTTAGCTAGTGAGAAGCTAACAAGGCATCTAGGTTGGAAGTAGCAAAAGCACATTTTAGCATCAAAAAGAACAAAAAAACAGATCGGTGTGTAGTACCTTGAAATAGTTATAGTTTTGCTATTTCACTGTTAGTTTCTCTCATAGTTCTTCAATCCCTGTGGGAGCAGTTCCCAACCCTTTTTTTAAAATATATTTTAAATATTGCAATATTGTTGCGAACTAGCTAACAAAAGTTTTGAACTAACGTTTGGATATAATAACACACAAGTTAGGTCTTTTATCTCCACTCCCTCCACAGAAGAAAATCTCAGACTCTCAAAATGTTTACTCATGCTAACTAGCAAGTTGCAAATGAAACAGAAATATGGCACATGTATGCTGAATGGCTACATCTGTGATGGCAGGCAGATTACCTCATGTACTGATGACTTACTTTAAGTTGTTCAAATTCATGAGCATGACATAAAACCTGATGCAGCTAAGTAACTATGTAAAATTTACTATAAAGTTCTGTAATTGTTAGGGTTAACTGCCCAGGTTGTAAGGTTTGCAGCCCTATAAGCAATGGCTATAAACACACATTGTCAAGGATTGGCTCATTTTTAAGGGTTGTTATAAATAACACTGCTGCTCTGAACTTTCTAATCCTGGTCAACGTTGGGTTTTAATGTAAAGGTTGCCTCGGAAACTACCAAAGACAAAGCTGTTGTAGCTAACTGTTAGCTTGTTTCTTTACTGCTGCATTTGAACCTACTTTTTTGCGGCTTGTATCAAAGAAGTAACTCAACGTTTTGGTAAATCGATACCTTTCCCATGTCTGTGCAGTAAGTACTTAAAGCTGGCGGCCCCTGTGGACAAAAACAGTTGTGTTTCCACCTCCTCGTTTAATTGATATCAAAGGGGAATCCGAACCGGTGGCAGGCATTAAGAATAACTATAATAGACTATAAACAGAAATCTAAAAAACCACAATTGAACATCACTTCAGTTCCAGTCTTTACAACCCAAGCTAACCTCTTCCTGGCTTTAGCTCCATACTTAACGCACAGACATGAGATTGATGTGGACCTTTTCATCTCACTCTCTACAAGAAAGCAGAAAGTGTATTTCCCAAAATGTCAAACTAATCCTTACTGACAAATGTGCCCAAGGGTTTTCGTGTCTTCTTTAAACAAAAATTCCTACAACATGCAAAATGTTGTTTACTAGATGAAAGCTTACCACACGGCATTGGTTTAAGAGCATTTGAACATATTTTACCTCTACACCACAGTGAAAATAGAGTAGGGAAATTATAATTATTATCATTGACACATACATTCATTAAGTGACAATTCAAATAGTTTGATAATCTAATGTACTGTCATCCCCCCTTGCTTCCTAAACACGACACTATTTATGATCATTATACTTTGCAATAAATCAATACGAGTTAGTGATTTGGTTCTGAAAAAATGTCCTCAAATTTCACAGTGTTCAATGACTTCATGTTAACCATCTCCAGTCTTTGTGAAGTGTCCATTAGAAAATCAGTCTGCAGCCCGCGGTTAGCATTTGTTTAACATATTGCTTCATGCAACTCGGTGAAAAACCTCTTCATATGTTTGGCACAGTTTAAATATACAGATAGATATACAAGCAGTGCATTATGGGACATAGAAGTTACAACAGCCACACACAAAAAAAAAAACATTCACACATTTAGAGAGTTACTGTCTAACCCAGGAGTAAATAAAGTAGGGTTGTTGAAGTTTCACATTTAGATTATGGTTTTGTTTTTGCTTGTGTTCAATTGATATTTTCTTTTTTGCAAAATACATACACACACCTCAAATACATCCAAAACGAATGTCCTCACACATACACACAAACAGCTCTTCTTTTGAATGCATCTTTGCTTCTTTGAAAGAACACACTCTTATTCAAAAGAAAACAGACTTTTCTTAATCTTGGCACAATTTGAGTGTAAGAAGGAAGCACTTTAATCTAGTCGTGGCTGTAAATGTCCGACATGAAGGGTGATCATCTTGGATAAGCTTAATGGAGGCTGCTATTGCTGATGTCTGAGCTTGGATGGGTCTGGCTGGATAGTTTTCCTCTCTCGTCATGGTGCTGATACATGATGGAAGGTTTTCCATTTGACATCCATAGCAGCGTGGCACTTTCTCTGCTCCTCTGAGCCAGCCAGAGGCTAAAACTGGGAGGTTTCAGTAAAGGAGATCGCATCTGTCTTGTCGACAGTGAAGCCTCCATTGACGTAGGATTTCTTCTCGCACTCTTCGTCATCCAAAGTGGCTTCCAGGGCAAAGGGGTTGGCGACGTCCACATCTGATGTCAGATCCATCCTCTCCAGTTCCCTCTTGGAGAGTTTCTGGACGATTCCGGCTCCGTAAGCATCGCCAAGAACGTTGATCATAGTACGGAACCGGTCCCTGAAACACAACACAAAGTCAATCTACAGCATCGCTCTTAGGTTAGAATTTAGTAGGAAAGATAATACAGAAGGTCAACGGATAAACTTACAGCAGCCAATCCACAGCCACAATCAGAGTGACATCACTTGCAGGTAGTCCAACAGCTGTTAAGACTATTACCATGGTGACAAGCCCAGCATTAGGGACTCCTGCTGCTCCAATACTGGCAACTGTTGCAGTTATACTGAAACAAAGAGACACAATTTTGCACATCAGTGGCCCCAAATGGCAGCAGATGGTAACGGTTTGAAACACTCAAGACCAACTATGAACTAAGTGTGAGCCAGAAGAACCTTTGGTACTGAGATATCTGCAGTATAAATGTACCAAAACAGTAGCTTTTAATAATGCAAAGGGCACAGTATCTGCTTTGTAAACACTGATCTCAGTTTTTACATTTACAGAGGACATCTCTAGGTATACCGATGTGCATAGTCCTACCCTCAAAAGTCAGGAGACTGCCCTCCCTGATGAAGCCCTCTAGGTTATTACGGTTGTCGGTCAGGAGCAAAAGCAGAACTTGTGAAGAGGTTGTGGTGGACGGATGGGTTGGCAAAATGTAAGGGCAAACACTGGTAATGGAGAATAGACTGTTGCAATATAGCTTTCGATGAGCGACAAAAATATAATATGTTAGCTCTGATGCATGAATTGAAGGTTTCTACATTCAAACGATCTCGAAGGTCTCCTATGGCAGTAAGCAGTAAGTGCAAGGGTGTTTCTGGACCTCATTCCAAGAGATCCAAACAGTTTGGCCCATGTGACGTCAGTCAGTTGGCAGTTGGCAACTTTTCCATTGTTTGTAGTCATTGATCTTTTCTTTGTTCAGCCATAGTGACCAGGCTAGCAGTGACCGGACAAAAAGAGGATACCACTTCACACACAGGTCAGTTGAAGAGCAAGTCTGTGGTGATAAACTCTTACTGAAGTCAGTCAGTGGAAGAGCAAAAACTCTTTTCCAATGAGAAAAGCCTTCAGTGCTGTTCTTTGCTATTCAGATATAACTGATGCTAGCAGCATCTACGCTAACCGCTTTAGCAGCCACCATTGTTGTTTAATGAAGAGTGTGTTAAAACAGACATTTACTTTAATGAAAATCTTTGAGATTATTACTTTTAAGGTCTGAATTACTCATCAGACACCAAAGTTAGTTAGTTAGTTAGTTAGTTAGTTAGTTAGTTAGTCAGTTATAACTTCCTTGGTACATGCTCTTGATGTGTTTTTCATGTTGTTAATGTTTGTTGTTTTACAAGTTGTCTTCAGTTTTATGTTTTTATGTTTCCGAGACAAGGTATAATTGGAGTGAGCAAGAAACTTCCACCTTGGTCAACCACATTCGTATTTTATAGTATTATAAATAGTATTTTATTTTAGTATCAGAAGTTGTATTTTGTGCCTCTGAGTAACTACGATGTACCTGATAGTAACAATCTGGCCCACATCCAGAGCATAGTCATTCAGCTGCGCTATGAAGATAGCGGCCACCGCCTCATAGAGCGCTGTGCCGTCCATGTTAATGGTGGCACCCACTGGGAGGACAAAGCGGGTGATCCGTTTGTCGATGCGATTGTTCTCCTCGGCACATCGGAAGGTGACAGGCAGGGTGGCAGAACTGGAAGATAAGACATTGACTGGCTTCATTATTGTGACCTTATGGATATGAAAATGTGGAGGTTAGTGTTAATATACAGAATAGGATTCAGCTTTACAAGCAGAGTGAGTAGCTCAGTGGATTCTGACCTGGAGGAGATCATGAGTGCTGTCACCAGGGCCTGAGCCATTCCCAGTGTGAATGTGTATGGGTTCTTCCTCACAATAACAAAGAAGATGAGTGGCAGGCAGATGGTGGCATGGATAGCTAGACTGAGGGACAAAACAGAGACACATTATAGAACAATGTAGAGAGTTGTAAGGGGAATTCTCTATTTCTAATCATCACGCGAAAAAGTAGTTTTAGTTAAATATAATTGTATTTACTATTCAGTTGCCCCATTAAAGCTGCAGTAGGTCATTTTTTATGAAAATACCTTTTTGTCATAAAATCATAAAACAATTCGTACCAGCACCAATCTTGGTACTTTTCTGTTTATGTACAGATAAAACAAAGATACAGCGAGTAAATCAGTAGGCTTTAGAGGCTAGCAGTTTTCCCCTGCTTCCAGTCTTTATGCTAAGTTAGGCTAACAGCCTTCCACAGAGACAGACTTGAAAGATCAAAATGACCTAGGCATAAAGTGATGAAGGTAGTACAAGCTGAAATGTCAGTGAAATGACTTTTAAATTGATTTCACTGGTTTTATAATTGCACATTTGCAGATATATGACTTTACTTTGACATTAAAGAGTAATTTCCTGTTGATCGTGTCAGACACTCTTAATTACATAGACTGTAATTCAAAGTTGGAAAGCAGTAATGCATGAGCAAGTTTTTTTATAGACACTAAATGCTGCATTCAGAACATCGACAACAAAGTGTGAACATTGCGTGCACATGTCGTCACAGGAGCACTCAGAGCCTTGGACTAACCCTGTGACCCAACTGGAAGGGATTTACAGTACAGTCTTTAATGGTGTCACTTAGATTTAGAGGCACGCGCCAAGCTTTCATTACTGCATCTGCAGGTTGAGCAGTTTTAAATGTCCTTGGCCCTTATCAGTGCCCACACAGTGCTCAGCTTTTACTGTATCACTGGAGGGAGAATCGCCCCAAATGTCAACCATAAATCCCAGCGTCTGGAACAGGCGGATACAGAGTAATGGGACAGCTTACCCACTCAGCACCGTCACCATATAAAGACCCATCTTCTTGAAGATCTCCCAGTCTTCCACCTCGATGATCTTAGCAGCAATAAGGAACAGGATCCCTACTGGCATGTAGCTGAAAAAAACACAGTATGTTTTGGGGTATAGAATCTAAAATTACAGCAAATAGTGCATTTGGACTACAACTGAAATTATAATTGATTAGTAAATCCATTATAATACTAAATTATAGATGAAAATTTTAATGATTGATTATCATTTATGCCATTTTTATATTCTACCTTCTCAAATGTTAATATTTGCTGGTTTGATAGTTAAATCAATGTCCTTGGGGTTTAAACTGTTGATTGGACAAATAAAGCGGTCTGTCAACACAACGCTGTAAAAATGTCTGAATATTGTAACAACCAAAAAGCCCAAATATTCTGCTACCTGTTATAAGGTTTCCAGTCAGGTTTGGGCTGTTTTATAGCTCTTATTCAGCTTCAAACTTGGGATGGATTTTTGGTTTCTTTTTGACTATGCCAAATCCAAATGTGTCACAAGAACAAACATCCCAGTGGGAAGAGGGAGAGACGTAGTGTTGCCAATGCATTTCTTACTCTGGCAAGCTAACGGTCAGTATTATGTTGGGGGAACTACTTTGAAACTGTTGCTGGAGAAGCAAGCAAGGCTACTCCACTACCTAGTGTCTTCAAAAAGCTTGTTACTGGAAATATGAATGATTTTGAAAATAGCTATGCTAACACCGTCACAAGCTTAGCTAGATGGGAACATCTTAAAACGGCCTCCTCTAGAAACATTGTTTTGATAGCTGCTAAAAAAAAATCCCACTGGCCACAAACAATGTAGAAAATGTAATACTAATCTGACATACAGTAGCCACACAATTGGCAACTGCATCATGCGTGATAAACAACATATTAAATTGCAGTGCTATATTCTGGTAGTCACAGAAATGTTAGTGCCATTTGACAAAAATATCATAACTCAAAGTACAATTTCCCTAAAACTCTCAGTCAGGGCATGGAATTTGCAGCCCCAAGCTGATAACCCCATTAGGTGAGGAAGATCACACAATGACATTTAAAAACCCTGGAAAAAGCTAGTAAGTGAACCTTGACTTACGACTTTGTTTTGCTAAACTACTGTTTCCAAGATCAAAAGGCCTTTTTGTCAGTCTAAAGCAAAGACTTTAATAAGGAAAAGCATGGGGCCAAAGCACTTCACCCAGTCTTTTATACATACCACATAATGATCTGGACTAGTCTCATGGTTGCTTCATTCAGGGCATCAAAAAATTCCAGGAGGATACGGCCCTTTTCGCCCATCTTCCCGATGACGAGGCCAAAAGCAACACAGAACACGATAAGCCCCAATACGTTGATTCCATCCGAATATGTCCCGATGATTTTATAGTCCTTGGTTATATTCTGCCAAGAGACGAAACAAGGAGGCGATTCATTCAGCTAACCAAGACCAGGACAGGAAGCTGCTTTCACAACCACATTAGCCGACTCTAAAGACCCATTGATGAGCTGTGCAAATGTTTTCTACAGGATCACAGCCCAATGACCCATAGCTACTTATGACTCATTATTGGGTCTTCTGATGCATTTATATCAGACACTGGCTGCCAGGTGCAGAAACATGAAACGTTAAGTGCAGCAGATGGATCAACAAGGATGCACTGTTGTCATGTCAGGATCAAAACCCCAACAGTCATATAAATGGATGTTTGCTACAGAAAACGCTGGTGCAAATATAGCTTTGCCTGCTTGACAAACAAGTAATCTGTACACCTACCTGTAGCACCTCCATGACGGTAGTTGTCAAAGGTGGAATTGTAGTAGTGTCTTCCGAAACTTTTGGAGGCTCCAGCTCTTTGCGCTTGGTCTTGTACTACAGTATTGGTCATATTTTACAACATCAGTTATATTCACGTGGGTACTATATACACACCAGACCCTAATTTAGGCTTACATGACACTTGAAACATGGGTAGAAAGTGTTAGAAGAATGAATGATGGACGGGCAAAGCCTCTTACCTGCTGAAAACAAGCCTGCACCAGATTTTCTGGAAACATGTTTCTGTTGATGGAAAAGGCAAGATTAGGGGTGAATGAAAGACACAGAAGATAATGACGTGTACGACAATCATTCCTTGACAGATGGGTCATTGTAATGACTCCTGATGTAAGTCAAAATCCAGCAGAAAATGATTTTCATATTGTTAAAGAAGCTGGGAAACTGGTTAGGTACTTCAGAGGTAATGGAGTTAAAACATCAGTTCTTTGCAAACACCTTCCCCAGGAATGCCAAGATTTGTCAATTGAAAGTTGTAGTGTAACCTTTCATTGTTTAGTTGTTCAGTTAATTAGAAAAAACTGATAACTTGGATATGTGAACCACAGAGCTCTGGAATTAAAGGCAACAGTATGTACCGTTTGAGTTGAGTTAATGTAAAGTTTCGAGTTGACATAACTGCCTGAGTTGATGTAATGTTTCGAGTTGGCTTAAGTTTCCGAGTTAATGCAACTTTCTGAGTTGATGTAACATTTCGAGGAGTGTTGGGCGGTTACAGTAATAATATTACAGTATTATTACTATAACGAGTAGTGTAAGTGAATTACTAATAAAGTTTCAGTAACAATATTCCAGTCACCCCCCATAAAAATAAGTCGTTACAGCCTTACTTTTTTTTGTCACTCCCCTGTTGACAACAATCCAATCACATCCCTTGATTAATTTTCCATTCAGAACAAGTCTGAACACTTTTGAAATGGTTGAACGATGCATATTTCGGTTTTATAAGACCTGCAGTCTTTCACTTCAGCATCTGAGTGAGTGGACACTTCAGGGTGATGAGAAATTTGAGAAATTGTCTCGTGGTTGGGAGGTCACCTGAGGAGGTCCAAGAGTGTGTCAACTGTTGTGACGTTGGGCGTGGTTCCGGCTCTGTCAATGTGCTCAGCCGTCTGAGAGACTCCCGGTTTGATGGTCATTACCAGAATAATGCCTACAAAGGATGACACCGCTCAGTACGCTACAATGACAACAATGTAACTGAAATGAACAGGATAATTTAAATACAGTGAGAGAGGTAAAGAAAGGGGGGCGAGAGAGGGGAAATATCAACTTACCAAGTATAACTGCAATGATGGTTGTTGAGAAGTAGTAAATAACAGCTCGCAGGCCTATCTTTCCTGAGACCTCAGAGTCCAGCGCTGCGACACCTGTGGATAAAAAGCACAATCAAAAAGCAAATAACCAAAATCTAAGCAAAAACCTTGTCCCACCAAGTAACAAAAAACAAGACTAGAGATTCTGAAGTCTGATCACTTGAAAATTGTGCAAGAATTTAGAAATGATCGAGCTCCAACTGAAAGTGTTCACATTTATATGTGAGTATATAATCATTTATCTGATCAAAATGTACAGTGTGGGCCTTTAACACTTCAACCAGCAACACAACGTTTTAGCCTAGAAGCTACACTGTGATAGCAGGCCAGTGGGTTTATTGTGAAGGTGGCTAAATGAAAGTAGCAGATGTGAAGCTATGCATTTTATTTTGTAGATTGTTAAAATGTATGATTTTACAAATATAATGTGCTGGGTTTGTTCCTTCATGACTTGGGGACTTGTTCCTGACACTAATCGCTAATTATGTTGCTCAATGGGAGGATCTCTCAGTAACATGTTATATTCCTTTAGTTTTATTGCTTTATTGTTTAAACTAAACTAAACAATCAGTCATTATATTGTGCTTGAACTGGAATCATTTTTTAGAATTCACTTAATTGTGAAGCTTAAATCACCTCCAGGATGCTAACACCATCCTGACTGCTACTTTGTAACAATACATGATTATGAACGTGTAATACAGATATCCATTGATAGACTTTTATTTTTGGTCATTATTGTGGTAATTTCCCAAAAGAACTTCCTATAATGAGAATAATCCAGGTACAGTGCACAGCAGAGTATCTGAAACCTTAAAGATATAAAGTCTCTCTACCATCAAAGCACTCTGACAGTACATACTAAATCCTTGAAGGCCTTCAGTTCTAAAGATTAAAAAATACTACAGGCAGAACAGGTGTGGGTAGATTTGGTTAAACACATTAATGTTATTGTTTATTTATGTATATTGACATTCATGTTGATATGAACACTTTCTGTACATTCGTTTGTAGATGCTTTCCTTTGCAAAAAAGGCTTTGGAAGTAGTAGTTTTACAAAGTACACTGACTAACTTTTTAACTGAGCTTTAAACTGCAAACTTCCATTAGTTCAGCCATCACTTCATGAAAATGAAGTTATTTTTACACTTCAAGCCTTTATTTGATCACTGACAGTGCAAAGGGAATACAGAAGTTGGGAATGTCGTTCACCAAAGGTCCCTTGCTGGACATGAACGTTGTGGTTCACGGTTGGAACTTCAAACCGTGGGAATCCATAAATTATGTGACTTAAAACATGGGAAAAATTAAATGTGCCAATTCTAGAAATATTGGTAGTCTTCATAATTATAACATGTATCAATAACCAAGAAAGCTTGAATTAAAGTGAAAGCTGAATAAACTGTTGGGTGAGTGCAACCAGGCATTCTCATTCATACAGGCCTGCCTGTATTTTTGAGTAAGTTGTGAAACGCAGGTGGGGAAATCTCCAGGGAAATGCAGGTGGGAAAAACAAATCCTGAACAAATAAATTGGGAACAGCTGCCACAGACAAACAATGGAACAAAATGCTCAACACAACCAACAAACATCACGTTTGTGATTGATAAGCAAGATCAATCTATTTGCTTCAATTTGCAGCGGTAAGACTGAACTGTAGGCCTAATTCCATTTCAGCAGGGAGCCTTGGTGTGCTGCTGTGGATGAGGTGAAGGGATTAGTTAGAGAAGATGTAATGCAGCTCCTAAATGACATTTTTCAACATTCACCCGTGAGTATCCGTTATCCCACTGTGGATGGTAATCCCCAGTGTATCCTATCTCTAGACAGCAGAACAGAGGCAGAGATGGTTATCATTGCATACAGACTGGAGGCAAACAAACTGCACAGCCCGACACGCTCCGATTGCATCTCATTAGCAGAGCTATTGCTGTCAGCTATACATTTCTCAAAATTTGTGACTGTCCAGTAGGACTGAAACTAATTACTTATTGTCAGTTCATCTCTCTGTGACAATTGATTGATGAATTCTTTTGTCATTGTTGGAAAATGTTCATGTCCAAACCCAAGATATTCAGTTAAATATCTTGAAAAATGACTTCCAATATGAATCGATTATCAAAATGGTTGATAATATACCAAGACATAATATGCCCCTTAAAATAAGTAATAAAATATTCTAAATCTAATTCTTATGTGCATTAAGAACAATAGCTATTTCTCAGTATTGATCAACGAATTATAGGGATAAATATGGCATGACTACCTTTAGGTAATTGTGATTTGAAGGCGCAGCATTGGAAAGCAAAAGGAGCTAGGAAATATTGTCATTCCAAATTGACAGACGTTTTAAATCCTTATCCACACAGTTTTTAAAAATTCAGTCAAAATCTAATGTTTTAGGAAATAATTACAGAGGTCCGGACCTCATTGCTGGCTAAGGCCATGCACACCCCCACCTTCTCAACCTCTAGGCATGCACTTTCACACTGCCTTCTCCACTGGGGCTGAACACTGCCATTGTACTTAAAAAATATTGTTCTTTACAATTGTCCAGAATTAATGTAATTCCTGGGCTGCTGCTCACCTCTACAGGAAATGAATGAACTTCTAGTCACTTTGTTGATTGTGTTGTCTTGGATCATCATACCTTCAGTATGGACCTGTCTACCTGAACTCAATTCACACTTCTAAGACTTACTTATTCACATTTATTTTAATGCACTTGGTGGTCCAATTTTGCGTGGATATGTTATGCTAATCCTTCCCATTAACTTCTGTGGATTTTGGACGCACAGGAAAGAAAGAAGATGACCTTCATGGCTGTGGTCAGGTGACCTTTGTTGTCATGGTAACGTAAAACGGTCGCACTTTGGTTTGGTTTAGGCACAAAATGACTTAGTTAGGTTTAGTAAAAGTTAAAGGTCCTGTGTGAAGGACTAGGATTACTGTAGAATTCTTACATTCAGGTGATTATACACTAATGAAAACATACCTATGAATATTATATTCCATTTCTGCCAATACATTTTCCTAAATGTTAGACACTGGACCTTTTAATATGTTGCGTAAGTTAAAATAAGTCAGCGCTGACTTTTGGTTTCAAACGGGACATGAATTGCAGTCTTCCGGGTGAAAGTCCTGTGTTTCAGCCTCCTCCATATGTGGACTCTTAACACAAAGTCTCGTCACAGAAGTTAGGTTTGGCAAATGCACTGCACACAGTTTGAAAGTCTAAGGTTGTGTTATTCATGTGCCATTTGGTGAGACTATGACTACAACCAGAAATCATACTCCAGTTACCTGTTATCATGCTTGAAATGATGAGCGGGAGGATGACAAGCTTCAGCATTCGCATGAGGATCTCTCCTGGGAAGCCAAAATACTGCTTGTGGAGGTGGGAGAGGGACGCATACTCTCTGACCACGACGCCCAAACTGATCCCTGAAAGACGGGGAGAAAGAAGTCTTGGGTTCAGCTGAAGAAAGTGCTTGGATCACAGAGCACACAGCAGTGATGGCTGCATATATACATGGCTCAAACAGGATGGACAAACATAATCCAACTTCACTATAAAGAACATTAGAATTAGTAATATGTCAATTAAACGAATGCAGAATTTGCTCTGCATAAGAAACTGTCACATTATTTCACGCATCAGTGAGGCTTCATGAGGCACAACACACTGGTCTATATTTTCCAGCTATAAACCCCACATGTATCCCACTCAATGATTTTAGTAATGCACTCCAAACCTCCATCTGTTATCACGCATACCAGACCACCATTAAAGATGCCTGTAAAACACTGTGATGACACAGCAAACTGTACGTGGATGCCTATACTTTGGCATCTGTAGATCTGAAGCACCTGGTGCAGCTGGCCTGGAGCTCACTCAATCTTTCACATTTAGCAAACTGCAGGTTGTCCTCAAAGTGGAGCTGTTTGGTCCTTTTTCTACCCCGCTGCAGGAGTGAGTCCTGAAAGGCACTAGCACTTCCGGTTCCCTCTCCTCAAAGTCACTGGGTGCTTTTGAATGGGTTTTTGGTTAGATGCCTGAAAAAGGTCTGTGGTTAACAGCATTTTGTTCTACGACTTGAAATATGCCAGTAAATACCCCACTTGTGAATTCCGAAGCTTTTGCGTGTCTTAAAAAAGGCGGTTGCTAAATAAGACTACAGAACAGTTGCTACAATTTTAACACTTGTGCCACCTGCAGGCCTTGAGTGTTACAGCCGCAGTTTTCTGTTTTTAGAGCTGCTGTTTTCTTTGACGCTTTGTTTGTAACACATAAATTATACACCTCCTCAGTGAAGCTAAAGATTTGCCATTTTTGGCTAATTATTTGTATGGGATTGTTTTTCCATGTGAATTTCAGTAACCATCATCCAGTTCATGATGGTAATATCTCATTTACCACTTCAGGTTAACAAGGAACATTAGGAAAATATAGACAAATCCATCAACTGAGCGGTAACTCGAGCACTGCCGCCATTACTGCAGTGTCAACTGAACACTTCAGCGCTGACTGTGAAAGTGAAGGTACTCTGTTTGAAGTTAGTCATTCTCAAATCCAAAGAAGTGTATCATTTAATAAAAATGAGAAGTTCATGATTTTGTAAAAATAGAGTTTTGGCCAGGAAACGCAGGAACAAGACATATCACCATGTTTGTCTCCTTCTGCCTGATGTGATTACTTTGCATTCCTCAATAAAAATGCCATTGATAGACATTAAAAATGTGTTCTTAGTTGAAATGAGGCAGTAATGACATTGAAAGAGTCTGATTAGTCAACTGACAAACCTGCTGGGCCTTTTAAGCTGTGTTTCCACTGCATGTTGCAGTACGACTCGACTCGACTTGCTTTCGGTACCTCTACTTTTTTGAAGGAATAAAACATTGAAAAATGCATTGTTTGTGCAGAATGTATCGTGTCACAGGACCGATCAGTCATCTGTAGTGGTTTCATGTAACCTTTTAGAATAAACTCAGATTGCTTGCAGCCTAGACTGAGGTGGTACCAAAAGTCCTTGATGATAGCAGAATAGCAGAGTCTGAATTTTACATTCAGGTCCCAATTTTTATTTGTCCAACAGTTTAACTAAAAGAGTTAATAAATTGTTCAATTTAATTTCAGTAAACTTCAATGTCATATAGCTGGTGAAGGTATATTCATTATTTGATGACCCTCAACATTTTCAAAGTTTTTATTGTAATAAACAAAGCCCAAAAAATAAATACAACATTTACAATTCTCCTATCTGTGTATTTTAATAGACCTTTTTCACAGCAGCCATTTTGACATGAAATAGTACCGTTAGCACAGGTGTTACCAATGACAGTTCCATTTAGTGCAGCAAGTATTAGCCAACATGCACACAACATCTTCACTCTGTTCGACTTGATCAGAACATTAATTAATACCATTGGTAACACCTGTGTTTACCCTACTATTACTATAAAAAGGTCTATACTTTTGGATCTAATAGGGCTTCATTTATCCTCAAGCCTATTACCACTTCATGAAGTTAAACTGCTGCATGCACTCCTGTCCTTGTAATAAAGCCCTAATAGACCTTTTTCATTTTGACATAAAACAGTAGGGTAAACACAGGCTTTACCAATGACAGTAATGAAGGCTCTGTCTTATTTACTGTAGGAAGTCTGAACCAACATGTAGCACCCTGATTGAATTCAATTCATTCATTACTAACACCTGCCTTCTTTCCCCTCCTATTTTATGTCAAAATGGCTGCTGTGAAAAAGTCTATTATGTTTGGCCTTTTAAAACACAGTATAAATTGCAATTAATGGAATTACCCAAACCTACTGATGTGTACAGAACCTGGGACTTTTGGGACTTTTAGGGTCCCTTGAAACATGGGGTCATTGCCTACTTTGCCCACTTGGTAGTCCAGCCTGCAGATGCATGCTAATGCTATTCTTTTTCTTTTATTTCCACAAAAAACATTACAAAACTGATTATTCTTTTTAATACTAGGTAGGTTAAAAATAAAATGTGTATGGGTACAAAGTACAAAGTCTGTGGCTCTTGTTGTGGCTGCTGTCTGGCTGTTAGTCACTGTGACTGTTGACGTTGGTACTTTAGGCAGATACAGTTTAGGAATAAAGGATCTGATGGTTATACATTATAAAAAGAGGAGAACACAGGACAAGAGAGCCGAGTTCAACTGGACTTACGTTATAAAAGTATTCTTAATGTTACCTAGAAATGCAACTACCGACACACAGAACTCCACACACAAAAACAGGAAAATACTGATCTCAGGTCTGTAATTTGTGTAATTACTTTAGGGCAGAGTAAAACAGTAAAGTAATTTAGTTAAAGGAAAAGTTTTATTTGCTTTCTTTCTGAGAATGAGATAAGACAGTCCATATCATATCACATAGCCTGGCTTAGTCACAAGTTCAAAAATACACCTACCAACACCTCTAAAGCTCGCTAGTTAAGAGTTCAATCCATCTCAAACACATGTAAAAATTACAATTTTAGTAGACGCTGATGCTGTGCATAAGGACTGGGCAGATAGATAGATACACATTAGGCATGTGTTGCATGGCTTTTTTTTTTTTTTACTTTGCACAGAGCCAGGCTGGCTGTTTCCACCTGCTTTCAGTTTTTATGCTAAGCTAGGCTAATTGCCCCCTGATACAGGCATGAGATTGACATTGATACTCGATTCAGTCAAAGATATGAAAAGACAATTTGTCTAATGACTCAATCACAAACATTTGAAGCCCATATGTGTGAAGCACCTGATGATACTGTATACCCTCAATGCACTGTGCTGCCTCAGTGCTGGGACTCCTCACATAGACCCATCAGCTGTCCCCTCAGTCTGGTCACGTTTGACTGAGACACGTCCAGACACAGGGGGGGAAGACAGAAGCTATGTCTCCCACAACACCACCACTCAACTCAGTGCCCATCCTCCTTCCTTTAATGAAAGCTAATGATGAAACACAAATGCCTGTGCTCCTTAACACACATCTCAGCCTTTACTGTTGCTCTTTAGTCAAGCAGCAGCCAGCTGATGCAAAAGAGGTTGATTTATTTCAGTGACAGCAGCTGAAAGCAAGACTGAAACAAAGAAGGAGGCATGGAGATAAACAACAATGAAGATAAGGAAAAAAATGGCATCAGTGAAGATGAAAGCGTCTCATTCTCTCAGCACACATGAGCAGACATTAAGGGGGCTTCCACATACCGAGCAGCACTGATAAAACCGTGGCAATCAGGAGCCAATTCCTCCTCAGCAAGCCTTTGAAATTCACGCCTCGTCGCTCTCTGTTACCCATCATGTCCATGGTGTTCTTCTTTCTCTAAAAAAGGGAGGAACAACAATGGCCCCCGTGGAGACACAAAAGGCTCCTGCGGTCGGGATGTCAGATGCAGACGACGCAGGAGGAGGATGGAGGGAGCCGCGTTGCTACAGCAAAGGGATGCAGCCGTCAGACGCTGCTGCTGATGGCCAGTGATGGTGTGAGGGAGGGAGTGTGTGTTACTGGGGAGAGAGAGAGAGAGGGAGAGAAGGAGGGAGGGAGCCACCCTTCCCCCACACAAGGTGTCTCTGACATTTTCTCCTTTTTAAGAGTGACACCAGCCTGTGTTGAAGGCAGAGGAATTAAAGCAAAATGAGCCATTTGGAAGTTCAATATTAAAGAATGATTTCAAGATTTTCTGTGATCTAGTCTGACCTTTATCACCTAGAGCCGTTCAAGCTGAAACTTTATCTTGTACGTTTATGCAAACAGACTCTGTGTGAGTTTTAAAGCTGCAGTATGTAACTTTTATAAAAATAACTGATCATTCTGTTTATGTCCCAAATATCCTCTTTTTTTAATGTTTTAATGAGAATGTGAGTTCTCCTAAAGTCATAGGGAACTTTGAATTGCAGCACGGGCGTAGCCAAAAAGGACATTGTAGGAAGGTCCCTAATGTTCTGTGAAAGTTTGTCACCTTTAGAGAAGTGTTGTGCAAGGTCCCCAGAACGTCCTCCTCTACGTGGTCCCTCTGTTCCTTTCACTGCAACACAGGTGTCGCCTTAAATCATCTGTTCTGTTCTGTGATTATGGTGCCATCTACTGGAGCACCTTGGGACTTTTATGTGTGACCAATAACCTGAGGTCTGAGTCTCCTATGGAGCTTATTTTGAGTTTTCAGCCTCCTAAAACATGGATAATGAAGCTGAAATACTATGTGAAAGCACAATTACTATCATGAAAACAATGTTAAAATGAAATGAAATGAACAAAAATGTGAATAGCAATAGTTATATAAAATAAACAGATAATGCAATAGATAAATGTAATGGAATGATATATACAGTGCGTAAGTAATAAAGGTATTATGAGTAACATTTCAATGTGAAAACAGAAGAAAAGCCGTCAAACAAATGGAGATGTGACAGTACGTAGAATATTATAATGTATATTTATAAATGTCTGTCCATATATAGCTATGTTCCACTGGTTGTCTTTTTTTGTGGCAGGAAGTGACATATTTGGCAGACACAGACACTGCACATTCTTTCTTTTACCCTAGAATCAGGGTTCATTTCTCCCTTTCTGCTCAACTTTGGAATTCAGGTAAACTTTTTTTCAAATTTCCTCCCTAATATTTCTATATTTTTAACATAGTGTGGGAAAGTGTAATTCTTTGTTTCTGTAATATCTGCACGGCTAGAGTAAAGCTAGGCAACTACAGCATTTGGTTCATGTTAGCAAGAAAGCATGGTTACTGTTGATTTCTTTGCAAACACGAGTTGCAGGTCTGTGATGAGACGCAGTCCCCTGCACGAAAGTCAGAAATGTTACACGCCCTTCCTCCACCCGACCCTCATGCCCTTACCATCTGTCTGGCTGCATAAAAGGCACACTGCTGCCTCCACTGGCGCCGTACCTCCATCATGAGCTGCAGAATGTGGGCATAATTACTAGGGATGCTGCTCGGCTGTTCTTTCAGCCAGTGGAACTGACTCAGATGTCATTACATGACCTGCATAAGTGTTGGACGTCAGTCATATGATTGTTGTGTGTGGGGAGATGGTAACTTCTGTCTCTGTTCAAAGATGGTCTCTGGGTCAGATGTGAATGTCCTCCTTGATGTCAGCTCCTGGTGGATGCTGTGCGTGGACTTGGTCTGGTGTTCACAGACCATATGACTCAAGTTCATATATCAGATCTAACTTACCTAACCCTTTGAGTTATAATTAGTGAAGTTATTGCTACACTTCAATGGTGATGGCAAGAATAGCATGGATGCCTGTATCTTTAATAAAGTGAATTAGTGATGAATCACCCTCATGCATGAACATACATCAATAATTGCCTAATTTTCCATGACGGAGATACAGACCCACCAAAATGTATCTCATTGTGGCTCCCCTGTAGTTGGCAACCTGTTCATAGTCCCCAGATGCTGAATCCTGAAACTTTATGTGACCTGTAACTTTCCAGTAACGCCACCATCAGGTCAATTTCAGTGGTGCACAAGAAAAACCAGAATCTTATAGATGGATGCATTGTCAGGAATTCTAGCCATCAGCAGATTCTTATTACTCAGAAGATGAGCCTCTTCCACTGGATTTTCACACAGGATATCTAACAATCAGATGTGGACATTGCTGGGGAATTTGCTGCGCACATTCATGTTCTCTAGAGAAAGAAACCTTTGAATTTTAACATCCCCATGACCTGTCTTTTAACACCACCCTTAGGATAAACTTGACATTTTTACCCCTACTAGTGTTATGGCTCTAAGAATAGCAAAACCTTTGTATGTCGCACTGTCATGTTGTGTGCTGTGCTGAACAGCTTAGCTGGTTGCTATGGAGCCGTGTTTCCTCTGAGGACTGGCTGCTGCTGACCTGGACCTGGTAGCACCTGCATGCATCACTGACAGAGTGTACACTGTTGGTACCAGCCTCCCTGGTAAGTTATAACACATTAAATAAACATGTACAAATGTACATAAACTTTTTTTCTTTTCCATTCTGAAAGATTACAAACACTAACCATGGCAGGCACATTACAAATGACTTATTGGTCTAACAAAATTCAAAACTGTTTTTTACATTTTATTTTACAATAAAATGTTAGTATGTGCCCAACTGGATGACCTGCTTCATCAGCAAGATACCAGTATATTACCATCATGGACACAGTTTAATTCCAACCTGTGGCCTTTTGCTGCATTTCAACCACCCTACCCTGCTTTCCTGTCTATCTCCACCTATCCTATCAAAAAAAGGTTTTTAAAAAGCCCGGGAAGGTTTCAGGGTGAGTCCGGAGCTGATGGCTAATCCCGGACCAATTCTTCCAGTTTCAACAACCAAAGAACCAGCCATAAAAGCTGGTTCCAATGTGGCACCGAAACTTTGTTGGTCTAGAACCAAGAACCACTTACATTAAGAGGTGGGGGCACCTTGTGGCTAGCCAGATATGTATTTATTAGCTACAAATTTCTCACATTGATATTACGAACATGACAGATGTTATGAAAATAACATTAAGCTAGCCGCCCATCCTCTTCCATTAATAACTGATGTGTATTAGAGCACCTAATGTTTCATACATATGAGGATCAGGATCATGCAGTAGTAAGGTTAGGGTCCAGTCATTCTTGACTGTGGCAGCATCAGCTGACAAAAAGCTGTTATGGAACTCTTAATCTTATCCACCAAACATCTTCCTCTTCTTTCCCCTTCTGCTAAGTTTAACTCCAGGATATGAACACTTTTTAAACATATTAGAATGAAAAATGCATGGATGAACTCTTTTTCAATTAGGTTACAGACTGACATCTTGTAACCAACAGCAATGTATTTCAAACTCTCCAGTGGTTTAACTTGCTGCAGTGAAGTAAGGGTGGACTCCAGGACACTGTGACATCACTGTTGGGTAGAGGTATAAGCAAATATTGATACTCTTGAGTATAGCTATATTTTGTTTTATGATATTGCATCAACTCTCAGAAACACTGTGGTTTTCATGATATGAAGATAGCAGTGTTGTTCTGATTGCATAAAAAAGTTAACTGCTTTAAATCATATTTTATGCTTTATACTATGACAGTTTTCCCTAATATAAGATAGGTCAAGTACATAGCTAATTGTTGAGTCTCATTCCCAGGTCCTAAAATACCAATGCTGCAAATGAAACACAACAATCAATTATCTTCATGCCACCAACACAAAACGTCTTTCTAGCTTTCTCTGCTCTGATTGGTTGTTTTTGTTCAGGCCTGGTGGATTCTTGCAAATACCATTAGGAGCACTAGGTAGAGCCAGAGGAACCTGATTTTTTACATTACATTTTTTACATTACTGTCACGATATAGTGAAAGTTTCAGCAAATAAGACAAATTTTTTTTTTTTCTAAAATTTCCTACTGCAGCTTTAAATAGTGATATTGCTTGCGCTTTCAGATATGTGTTAGGCTGCCACTTTCCAGCGATGTGTCCCATAAACCTTAAATCAAAGATTTTATTTTGAAGGTTGTACCGGAAGTCTTACTCTTAATTCCGTTTTGCCGGCTTGACTGGGGCATGTCAGACTGAGCCAGTCGTCCAGGGGAGCGCCAGCAAGCAGGTCCCGACTGTTGGTGTGGATATGAGAGGAAGTCAGATGTGTTAACGTGGTAGTAAGCCGGTGTACAGGCCGCTGTACAGCAGCATCCATCTGAGCGGGACTGCCCGACCGGCCCGGTGGCTGCTGTCGCTACCTAACTGGCTAGTTCGCTAGCTAACCTAAACCCGCTAACTTCACCAGTTTAAGGCGGTTTAAGGGACGAACAGTGTGGAGAAAGCGGGGCCTCCGGCTAGTTCGACTCGGTTTCCAGCTGACCCGGAGAGCTTAACACCCCGGTTTATTTTCCGTAGCAACATACTGCTGAGATGGGTGAGTAAACGGCTAACGTTAGGTTAGCTAACCAGCTCACTCTGAGCCGAGTTAGCTAACAAGAAGTGAGTGTTTTTTTTTTTTTTTTTTTGACGGTTTAGTTAAAGCGTAAAATGTTTTTTTTTTAATGAAAACGCCTGCAAGCAGCCACGTAGGGTATGTGGTTGGCGTTATTTATCCTGCGTTAATGCCACTCTCCCGGTGTGTTTACGCTCGTAGCTCTCTGTTTCCTCACTGTAACGTTATCGTTAGTGAGTCAGATGAAAAGCTGACTGTAGCTAAACCGTGTGTACGTGCGTGTGCGTGTCAGCCTCAGTACTCGGGTGGGGTAGCTGCCCTGACTCTCCATCCACTCTCCGCTCGGGATTTTTCCCCTTTCAGCAGTGCTTGCTCTGAAAATATTATGCATTGGCTTCGCCCTCGCCCGATGTAATTCAGCTGGGACCTGAAATGGCTTGAAGGTCCCAGTTGCTAAATGAGTGTGCATCCCCTGAAATGGCAGTGCTGTTGGTGGTGTAGATGGCACTCCTCCATCTCCACAGCTGTTATGCAATAGGATCCAGCAGCCCACTTTGTGTTGCTGTTTATACTGCACTGCTCTCCATAATGTCACTGTTTCTGCTGGTTATTGATGGCAGGTATACACTGGTAACTTACTGTTTGAGCACAGGCCTGACTACTGTAGCAGGCTCTGAATGCAATTTATTACGAACTGACATTAAAGCATGCAGAGTCACTAAATAGCACCTCTCCAAAAACCAGTGCTCACATGAGCCACTGGCATCCCTGAATGGCATCTAGAGCAGTGTTTGTTTGACAGTTTATGAGGTATTTCACAAGGTCTAATCCCAGGATGGATCACTTATGTTGTCATTTGATGTAGGACAGCTATCGTGGGGGATGGATGTGTGGGTTGTGTAGTGCAACAACCAGGTCACTGCAACAGTGCCTGCAATCCTTATGCAATCTATCATTATTACCTGGTTTGTAGGCACAATGCTGGAATGACAGTTGAGAAAAATTCCCAATTTGGATGTTTGAGCATCCCTGCACAGAATGATGTATGCGCAGAGTTTGACACTAGAAGGATGTTTTCACATTCATCTGCTGAAAGTGGAGAGTTTCTCTGTGATCATTGAAAATCAGATTTTAAGGGGTGGGGCCTACCACCATTATTTGTGACATCACAATTAGTTAGGAAGTCAGTCCTGGTCCAGTATCAACTTGTACAGTGTGATGTAGAAACTTGAATCCACCAGTGCACATCCACTGAGAATGGACTTCACAGTGAAGGAGGAGACATCTTGTGTCCAGCAGAGATTGTGGATTTTTTTATGAGCTAGAAGGAGTAGATGAGTTTTTAGGATTTTAAAAGTAGACTTTCTTTTGTGTAAAAGTGTGTATTTGTCGGCATACATCTCTGGAAGGGATCTTTAAAATAAATTGTATTCTCTATCCAGGATCAATAAAATATAAGACAAAATGGCGTGTCAGCCTCTGGAGTAACTAGAGTGAATTCTAGTTGCCGTGCTCTAGTAAAATCAGACTGTAAATAGGTGTGTGTATATAGACTCAGTGAAGAGATATCACTGGATCTCTGTCTAATATCACAAAATGCAGCTCTGTTAAACGTGTGTGAATAGGGCCCAGAGTAGTCACTACCATATGATGTTAGGAGGAAAAAGTAGACAACCTGTGATTTGTTTCTTTCACTGATTAATAAGAATAACAGGGACGATAACCTAATCGTTTTTAGCATGTGATGGATGTGCAGCACTTATAAATCATTGATTGGGTTTCTGCGGTGAACATGGCTGGCAGTGCAGCAGATTGATAGTGCTCATAATGGAGTAAAGAGAAGAAGAAAGACAAACACTTGAGCAGAGATATACAGTAGAAGAGCTGGCCATAAACTCAAGGAGAGAAGGTGTTTTAGCTACAGTTGGCTTGCAGGTTCTTTATATTATCGGTTGCTTTTAAGAAGCTAGCTCGGTAGCCCCATCACACAGGTTGAAAAATCCAGTCGTAGGTAGCAATTAGTAGGGATTAAGTAAGTTCCATGTTTGAGTACGTGCAAAAAAAAAAAAAATCGAATGTAAGAACAGGGTCTGTATTGAACACCCAAGAGACAATGTGGGGTCAGGGTACCTTTCTGAACAGACTCTAGAGGTTAGCCAACATGAAGAAAACCACCACAGACATTACGATATTTTAGTATTGTAATAATTTGGCTGGTAAAAAAGCTGTGGCTGGCTTACTTTTCCATCTGCAGCCACATTGGCCCGTAGGCTATAGCTAAACAGTTGATTTCGTTCGGCACTTTGCAGGTCAGCTCTGAATTTCACCACACCTTCCTCATACATCTTTTCCACTAGCTCGTACTCCGGTGGCTAACATTAGCAAATGAGGTGGTGAGAAGTTGCCTGTTATCTGTCTCTGCTGTTTTCTCCTTGTGCTCAGTCAGCAAATAGCTAATGAACCAACCGGCTGTCGCACATGCATGTTGTCTATTTTTCTGAAATTCCTCCAAACAGCACATTAAATGTTGTGTCTGTAATGTCAGATGAGTGATGTATGACAGAAAGCGTTGAATGTTATCTGCTGCTGTGTGTGTGTACAGATCTAAATGTACGCGATACGTTGAAGGAATACAGACGTCCAGGCAAGTACTCGAGTACTCACTCCCATCCCTAGCAGTCAGTGTTTATGCGGTTCGGGGAAAATATCAGTCGTGCAGCTGATAAAGAAACTGAGTGAATTTCTGGACAAGAGAGGAAGACAGATGAAACCATTTGCAGAGTGAAGCCGAGATCAGGAAGTGGTTGATGGTATGCAACTCTCGTTTTAGTGTCATTTGCTGATTCTTAGTGCTATGCCACTTTGATTATAGTATGCTGCTCGACTGGCATATGTTACATAAAAAAGGTGCACTATATGTTTTAACTAATTGTAACCAGTGAACTGTCACTCGCCTCTTTGTAACACTGAATGTTAGGCCTTCTCTAAGATTGTGATGAAATGGCTGTTTTTCATCACAAAGGAATGAGTTTTTTTTGTTCTAGGAAAGGAGTGCTAATTTATGTGTAACTAGCTGCCATTATCACAGAAATCAGCCGTGTAGAGGCTATTTCCACAGATCTCTGACATACTTATAGTTGGGTGTAAAGACTACAGAGAGGCGGATGCGGAACCAACTCTTGAGAATCAGATTTCAATCTGTTTTGAATGCAACTTGGATGCATTTACCCATAGCTTTTTTGAGATGGGCTAGCTATCCCAGGGTTCTCACTTTCAGGACATTTTCCATGAGTTTATGGTCTCAATCTCTAGTTTAAAGTCTTTTTCCAAACATTATAATGTTCATTTAATAAATAATGGTTCAATTTAGAGTAAAATAGACGATAAAGCCGAAGTATGCTTTTGGGTGTGGCTACCTTATGAAATAAATGAACTAAATATTCAGTGTCCTTGGTGGTTGTTCTGACACATTCAGAATCATTACCACTGTTAGCATTTAACAGGCTGCTGTTAAAATCTACATATTTAAATGATCACATTAATATTGATTGTTAATATATGTTTCACAATTAGTTGAGTATTGGCTCGAATTAACTAGGAAATCAAGGACAGCCCTACACCAAAGCCATTTAACCTCCTAACTAGGTGATGATACTGCATATTTCTGCCATATTGTTAGAGTGGAAGATAACCTCTGAGTGGTTACGCATCAACGGTAATACTAGTGAGCATAGCCATGGGCAAAGTTTGACATTAATGCAAGCTACAGGCCAGTCTGCATTATCTCTAAATGTTCCATTTTAATGTAAGAAGTGCTATATGTCAGTGGAACAGCATGTGTTGTTTACCAAAGCAGTAGCATATGTCAGTGGGGAGTTGTATTTGCCAGTGGAACATGTGTGCCTCTCTGTTTTCATGTGCTATATGCCAGTGAGTGGATCTGCTGCGGCCTACAGATAGTCAACGATGACATAGCACTAGGGCTGCACAATTAATCAAAATATTATTAAAATTGCAGTATGGCCAAATGAAATATGCTAATGGCAGAAGCTACAGGTTTTTGTTAAAGGTAAACTGTGTGACATACAGCATTATAATGAAGTACTGTAGTGCTGCAGAGAGGCACTGGTCTACAAACCTTCTGAAAACATGAAAGCATGTGCCCTACTATGTGATGGGAATGTAAAAAGCCCTCTCTGTAGAACAATGTGCATTTATTTCCTCACTGGCCGAAATGGTAATTCACAATCATAACTCCAACAGTTAGCAGAGTAAAACCTTTGACCTGTGACTTTATAGATACATGAACAATGTGGTAGATTAAAACGTAATGTTTATTTGTGGCTGGTGGCAAATTAATATCAAATGTAAAGTCTTGAAGGACTAGAGATAGAAGATAGTCCATCCTTCCAACCCATCTCTTATTCTGTTGTGGGTCGCAGGGTGTTGGAACATGTCCCAGCACACATTGGACATGTTGCCAGTCTGTCGCAGAGCTACAGAAGATGCTGGAATATTATTTGGCACACCTCTTTTCACACTGGCTCAGTTGGAGAGGCTTTTCCTAGGGCTGGTAGATATTGATATTGTGATTATTATTATTTTTTAACATTCTTTTTATTTCAGTTCAATTTGGATGTTACATCTTGAACATATCTGAAATATTTTACATTGACTGTAGTAAATGACTTACAATAAAGGCACAAAAGACAAAAAGGAAAAGTAATAAGAGTATAAAGCATGATAAATGATCAAGAAGTGTAAGTGTACAAAAAAGGAGACAATAAGAAAAATAAATAAATAAATTAAAAAAAAATCACATTTAGGGGAGGGGTTGACCACGGATTAAAAGTTGTAGTAACCTTACGGTGACTGATGGCAACCTTATGCCGCGGAGTATATGTCTCTACTTAGTCTAAGGATAGTGTAATATGTGCCTTGACATAATCCAGAAAAGGTCCCCATATCTTATTGTAGTTTTTTGCTGATCCTTTCAGAGAGTATCTTATATTTTCAAGTTTGAGAAAGTAAAGTACTTCCTTGACCCAGTGTGTAAATGTTGGGGGTTTACAGTCCTTCCATTCGATCAAAATCAGCCGTCTGGCCAGCAGCGTGAGGAATGCAACACTACTTGATTGTGCCCTAGTTAGACCCAAATGATCAGGTGCAACCCCAAAAAACCCAACTAAAGGCCGTGGTGAAATTGGCTGTCCCAGGAAGCCTGACATTGTGTCAAACATGGATGCCCAGTAATGATCTAGCTTTGGGCAAGACCAGAACATGTGTGTATGTGATGCTGGATTGCATTTACATTGACCACATAACGGGTTTGCATCAGAAAACCGTTTAGACAGTCTGAGTTTAGTCCAATAGATGCGATGCAATGTCTTAAATTGTAGCAACCCGTGTCTTGCAAAGACTGATGAACTATGAACTCTGCTCAAGGCAGTCTCCCAAGATTCGTCACAAATGGGTTCCCCAAGTTCACCTTCCCATTGAGATTTTATGTCAGAAATGGATGAGGGTGAAAGTGCCGTCATCGCACTATAAGTGGTTGCTATAATACCCTTGAATGATAAAGGCTTATCTAATATGTGGTCATAGGAGGTGCAACAGGGTTGTCTTGGAAATATAGAGAACATATTCCTAATGAAGTTACGGATTTGAAGAAAGCGAAAAAAAACGAGTTCTAGGAATATTAAAGGTATCACACAAATATTTGAAGGAGACAAAAGTTCAATTGTGATATAAATCTCGAAATTGCTTTATGCCCGCATTGTACCGATATTGTGGTTATTTTGACAGATGTTGCAATATGATTAACAATTACTGTGGGATTGATTGTTTCTGCACAATTATTAATATAAATATTTTTTTTCACTAAAATTTAAAACTATTATGATTATTTAAAAGTGTGTGTAGTGTTATAAAGAAATGTAGTCCAGGATATCTCTTCAGAATACAGTACTTCATTATTCATTATACAGCTGTTTGGTTGCACCTTTTTCCTTTATCAAAAAAATTGCTGCTTCTGTGATTCTCATATTGCACTTGGCCATTTTGGGACTTTGATAATATGTCGTTTAATTATGCAGCCATAGTTTTTCCTAACGGTTTGGTACATTTGCTGCGGGTGTTTGAATTGTGGTCTACCTTAAAACATTTGTTCTGTTCTTCCAGCTCTACATTTCAAAATGATTCTCATGTGTGAAAACAAACCGGCACTAATTCCTACCATGGGTCTGTGCTATCTGGACCAATGTTTAACGTGCTTTGCAGCCCAATACCCAAGGACTGACTAACACCAGATTGTTCGTGGCTCTCTTTCCCCCTGTGTCATCTTCAGCTCATCACTATCATCTCCCTAAATTAAAAACCTTTTAGCTTTTGTTGATTAAATGTTTGTGTTTTCAGACAACCTAAGTGAAGCCCTGGAGAAGCTGAAGCTAGCGTCTACAGACAGCGCCACTGACAGCGTGGAGAGCTGCCTGGACTGCCTGCTGAAAGCACTCGCCAACAACAGTGAGTAGAGTCTGATTTAGTGTGTTTTATAATCATTACCTCCTTTTCTAAGGTTTCCAGAAAAGTCTCTCATTCTGCCCACTCTGGACCTAGTGGCATTTCTGTAATATTTTCTATTTGATTACTGTGGCCTGCTGTTTGATAAATCATATCTGAATTGCTCTCATATAAGAAATGTAAATATATACTAATGGGCCATTGACAGCTGTGGCTGCTGGTGTCTGCCTGAAGCTGGCCAGTGTGACAGTGTTTGTCAGACAGTCAGGTAATGACCTCTCACTGCTGAATGAGCAAATCTCCCCTAGCTGATCTGTTCTAAACTGCAGTCATTACTGTTTCTAAACCTGTGCCATTATATTGGCTCAGTCTAATAGTCATTTATTGTTTCATATCATGTTGAGAGTTTTTGATGGACAGCCCAGTAAATGCTTTCATACACTGTGTCATGTGGGGCAGTCGCTGACAATATTAGGGTGTGCCTTTGGGATGTCAATACACTATGGTGCCTGTAGGTTGTTGTGTTGTAAATGCTGAAGTTGTCATGCTAACATGCTAACATGCTCACAATCATAATACTAACATTCTGACATTTTAAAAGTATAATTAGCCTTGATGGTGAACAGTGAACCATGAGTATAGCATGTTAGCATGCTAACATTTCCTAATTAGCAACAAACAAAAAGTACAGCTGTGGGTGATGGGAATGTCATTCATTTTATATATTTAATATATATATATGTATCGTTTTCGATAATATCTTCGTCGTTTTGACGATGTGCAAATTTCCATTATGGAGTATTTAAATTACTTCGCCAAAAATATTGAAACGCACGCTGGAACTCCTCACATCCACTTAATACACGGTGCATTAACGCTCTCTATAGCATGGCAGGATTCAGTCACACCACTAGTGGGCCTACGTGATCACATGACGTGATCACATGACCTCTCGCTAGCATCCCCCTTGCAACAGTTTAGCAGCGCGTTGTGATGGTAGAGAGAAAATGCAAACACCTCCAGTCCCTGAAGCTACCGGTACTTCAGATGATTTAGTGCCGAGACGTGGGTCTACCTCTCTGGCATGGAAATGGTTTAGTTTCAAAAAGACTTTTTTAGCGCAGCGATCAGAGCGCTTCAAGTTGAAATCTGTTCAATTTTTAACACCGCTGGGCGCTCGGAAAATGAGTTTTTGAGCTCTCAGCGCTAAAATACGCGTTTGGTGGACACAAGCCCTAACTCAGACAATTCCAATCACATTTTAAAGGATATCGACTGATTATCGTTATCGCCAAAATCCCAAAAAATAACACCCACCCCTATTTACAGTGTACCACAGTGATTCAGGCATTCATTGCACAATCGTACATGCCTTTAGAATATATATTGTACTCTCTGAAGCAGATCGCAACCAAGATTTTATTAGACCCACCTTGCACATAAACCTGCAAGACTTTGTGACCATTACATTACTATTACATTACCATTGCAGATATATTGGTATTGGTAATTAGAATCCTTATTAAAAATGTTTGTTCCTGCGTTGATGTAGAAAAAGAAAAATTATCTGCTGATAGATTACAATCAGATTTTATTTAAATTCTCAATATTGGCTTAAAAAATTCAGTTTCAGTCGGACTGTACTGGATTCATTATATTTATGCATGTAAGAATGAACAAGTGCAGTGCAAGTGCATGGAGTCTTAAGTATTTGTTTAATGCATTAATTTACAATGAAAATAGGTACAATGGCATGTGTGAAAACTGTACTTAGTGATGTTAGCAGGTGACTTGAAGTAATGTCACATACTGTGATATTACATTGATTGATACTGAGAATATTTAGGCACTTTGTACTTGTACTCATGTTTCTGCTCCTGTGATTTAAAATCCTTTCTCTCCGGCAGACACCGAGGCCAGTATGAAGATCCAAGAGATGGGCGTCCTTCCCCTGCTCCCCACCCTGCTAAACCCCCAGTCTTCATGCACCCCTAAAGTAGCCAACATCATAGCTGAGGTGGCCAAAAATGGTGAGGTTCGGTTTCCAAGTCCATCCACCCAGGAACATCTTGACTTTCTGTTCCTCCATTCGTCAGTATTACATTTTTACACTTTCTTGCTCTCATCCTTTTTGTTTGTATGTTTTCTTCATGAGCACATTATAATTTCTATAATTAAAATATTTGAGGGATAAAGCAGCAACATGTAATATGATTGATAGGCCATTTCAGACTAGGGCTAGTGTTAACAGTCCTCCTTGGCATTTCAGAGTTAAGCTGTCACTGACTGTGAGGTTATTGTGTGAGGACTCAAAACCTTGCATAAGTGCAGTGTCAGAGAGCTTCCATTTTCCATAATGCCTCTGTGTGAGCACAGGAGAAGCTTTTAAAGTAGGAAAAAAGCAGACATGAATAGAACTTGGGGCAAGAAAAGGTTAGGATAATGAATGGGTTTTTAGCAGCTTGCAAGACTGCAGCTAATGATCACTCCCCAGCAGTTTGCCAAGCTTGGCAACAACCCGCTGGCATTTATCTGTCACTGCTTCCGGAAATGTCTGCGAGCAGCCAAGTGACTGCTGGGCTAAAGACAACTCCCTTTCTCGGTGACAGTTTGAACTGACTGGATTGTTTAAAGCTGCACCAGGCAAGATTTAATGTAAAAACATATTTGGCTAATTAACATAAATCACCACCACAACACAGAATAGTGTCTCATTAGCACTTAAACCCAGATGATCCAGTACGATTACAGCAGGGTCACTGGTGAGAACATGGTGACTCTGAGCTTAAGTGGGAACTGTAAACTGTCTCTTTGACAGCAGCGGGTAATCACTTAATTTTTTGTCTTCCTCATCCCTTCTGTAACGTTTGTTAAAAAGCATTACACATCAGCTGGGTGGGTTGTCTCTATAAAGAGATATCTACATATGAATGCTCAATCTGGAGGGAAGGGACAAGATTTTGGTATTGGAAACAGTCTGTTTTCCATTTCCATTGACCAATCATGCTTGAGCAAGCTTTAGTTGCATGCAGGTAAACGGTGCATGCTTCGGCTATTTGATTGTAGACCATGATGGTGCTCAGAAGATGAAGTCTTGGCCCAGATATCTGTTATCTTTCATCTGTTATCTGATGTGTTATTTGCTGGCTGCACAAGAAGCCCCAAAACATTGACCATTGCCCACAGAGGCTACAGTCAGATAGCTGATGGGTTCTGAGACTGTTGGGTGGGTAACTATCAAGATCAGGATGAGGTTATGTGAACTCAGGACAGACTTGAATCATAAATCTAGTGACTTTAGATGTTTATAGATGTTTGAGGAAAGTCTGAGTTATGTCAGATTTACTCCATGTTCCTTTTCACCTGTTTGTTTTCAAGCATGCTTAGGAGGAATAGATTATATTGATTGTTTCTTGATGTTTTTACTTGTTGATTTGCAGTTTCTTTGTTTTGTCAATGCACTGCATGTCTTGATCATGTAGGCCCCCTACATTTTCAACAGATTCTATCACTACAGTTGTAGGAAAAATGTGAGTAATGTAGCAAAGACACTCCTAACTTCCTTAAGTGAGTTTCGCTTAAGGAAGTTTTATACTGACCTGTTATCCAACAACTTTCCCTCTCTCAGAGTTCATGCGGAGTCCCTGCGTTGAAGCTGGCCTCATCCCTCCTCTAATTCAGCTGTTAAACTCCACCGACCAGGAGGTTTTACTGCAGACTGGCCGAGCTCTTGGCAACATCTGTTATGACAGCCGTAAGTAGGAGTTTGCTTTGCTTAGGGAACACTGAATCCCTCATGAGCCTTGTCATCACCACCACAGTGCCAATAGAAAGTAAGTCGTAAAAATGATGCAGCTTTTGGGCTACAGTAGACAAAGCTTTGATGTTTAACCATGTGTTTCATCTACCCAGACATTTAACAGGGTTATAGCATTGCATGCAGGGAAATACTGCATTCGCAGAGGACTCGACAGTTGCCTCGCTGTCTGTTATTGGGAACACTTGAGTTGAATTTCCTCTTACATTGAGGCTAATCGTTTATTTGGAACCACATTAGCTTCTGTATTAATGTAGTCCACATAAAAATACACACAGTGACAATACCATGCAATGCAAATCAACACCACTTAACACACAACTCACAATTATATTTTCACAATGACAATACAACATGCAATGCAGAGGCACAGATGAAATATTACTGTGCAAATGTGTTGCACATAATGAGTTCTTGTTCTAAACCTTCATGTACATGCTCATTTGCAGGTAAAAGGCTTCAAGTTGCATATGAGGTAACAATATAACTGGACATGGCTGATGGACCACCTACATTTATATATTTATTAATGCACGTAACACATGAATTTGCTTATTCTGTGATTGAAGTTGGAATAAAGGAAGGGGCTATGGTAAATGTACTCTTAATTTTAAGAATCATGTGTGATATGCAGCCTAAAAACTAAGATATCTGTTTATATGACAATAAAATTATTGTGTTTGAAAATGTGACACTTGGCACCTTGTAGACATGTGCTCTACAAAATTTCATTAGTGAATGTACCAGTGGAGTATTTGAGTACTGACCTCAGGGAAGAGCAGCCGAGTTTAAGCCTGATTTTTGCCGCCAGCTTTAGAGGCTTTAATCACAGCTGTCAGTTCTGGTGCATAGTTTCTCCTCTTGTTGAAAAGCTGGGCATCTGTGGAATCTAGTGGGATGTGACATTTGTTTGAGTGGAGGGGGGTCTCGGTAAGCTGGCATGGTTTTATGATAGACGCACTGGGAGAGTGCGGGGAAGCAGCTGCTCACCACCTTAAAGAAACACAATGTAATATGGGAGATGTTGGCTCAGGTGCTTTAATAAATAGGTGAGGAGGATCTATTGAAAACTGCTTCAACTGTACTGCTCTGTTATGTACAGTATGCTGGCTGAATAGCCACATTTGAAAGAGCTGTGATTTGTAGCATATGTCATTCCTTTGTAAAATATTAATATAATATGATGTTTTAATGATTCAAAGGCCTTATCATTCAGATCATTTTTTACATTTGATAACACGACAAAATACCAAACCAAAGTTATATTTATCTCACAATATTTGTAAAATGTTCTTTAAATATTTTGAAGTCTGAATCTTTAACGTAGTGTATATTCAGACATAATTTTTTTACATCATTATTAAGAAGAGGAGCCAACCATCATCCTCCTGACTGCATCCCACTGCCTCCCCAGTCTTCCTCTAGGAATAATTTTGCTTGTCTTTGTAGTCTTGATGCAATGAATGGTAGAAATGGGGATAACAGCGCACACTTAGGGACATTCTGTACTTGAAGATGGTGTCGCAGTCAACAATACACATTTAAAGGTATGGGAGTGGTTGTGTGATTGTCTGATTGTCCGTTTTATGACATTACAAAAATTGTCAGTCACAACCCCCCATGACCATAGTAGAGGTGAACCGAGAGCTTCACCTTCATGTTCAGCTTACTTTATAAACCTCACTTGTAAATAGGATCCCAAGATACTACAACTGTTTCACTTGGGACATCAGCTTGTTTTGGATTGCCAGAGTGAACAATCCACGTTTTTTTGGCAGAGTAGCATGGCCTCAGACTTAGGGGTGCTGACCTTCATCCAAGCCGTTTCACACTCAAACCGTCCCAGTACACCCTGTATTTCACAGGTTGATGCTGTCCTTTGCAGAGTCCAACAACCGCCAGACATTTTGAGTTACTTCAGAGAAAGTAAACCCAGCTCTTGCTCAGGTTGTACAATGACTTGATGGTTTTATCAACTGCCCCGGCACCCCACATTCCTGTATATGCCACCTGAGAGACACACACACGCACAGTCCACACTGTACATATAGACTGGATGGACAATTTTGGGCCAATGAATCGGTCAGGCTCTAGTCGAGATACTCAAGGGCACTGTTGTTATGGATAATTATATACCACACTGTAGTTATATGTCTGTTTGCCGATGTGTCCTCGCAACACAAACCCAACTCAAACTTTGACTTTTCAGTGTTTCTCTCAGACCTTCAAAACCAGAGAATTGGCCCTTGAATTAGTCAAACACATAAGTATGTTGTTCACTTTCCCCAAGGTCTTCTATCCCATGAACATAACTAACAGACATTAAGGCAGAAATAATATTGGTTAATGCCACTTTCCATTGGCGGTGCTGTTTTAACCTGTTGTGCCACAGATTATAGCAAGCAACTGTCACCTAGGCTAATAAGTTTGTGATAGCTAAGGACTAGTCATAGCTAAAATCTAACCCTTAAAGCTAGCACATCTTAGAACAAGCCACTCTACTCAAACTCCTGCTGGGACTGTCACCTGAATATCTCTTAAATCCTATTTCACAATCACTGCATTCACATTTCTGAGTCAGTATCAACAGCAGCTTCATGTGAACAGTACAGAAACAGGAAATATTATATGCGCATGGCACTGGCATGTTGCTGAGAGTTCAGGCGTGGCATGCTGCCACGAGTGAATGGAAGTAGCAAACGCACTGATACTGAGAAGGCTGACTCATGTAACGCTTCCTTTGGCAGCTTTTCTACCAGACAAAGCCCTCCCAGAGAGACAATCATCACTACTGTGCATTTATTGTTTCTCAAAGGTAAAGTGTACTGGTCTTCGAAGGCATGTCTGGAATTGGACACAAAGGCTTGATTATGCCAAACATATCCATTGTCAGTGGTCTGTGTATTCAAGCTTCTTTTCTGTTTTTGATTTTGCTCTTGTTGATTGTGTTGATCTTTAATTCTTGGCTGCAACAGAATAAATGTAATTAGTAAACTGTGCAGCAAAAGCTTTAGCTTTATTCTGTTGCCACACATGCTCTGGAAAGTAATTGTATGAGAAAAGGGATTAATTATGGCCAACAGTGTCAATTGTGGCATTGAAGAAATCCAACGAGGTTCTTTAATGGATTTGAATAATGAAAAGCCTTTATCAGATGGACTATGAACCATATGTGAATCCCTATTCACCACACACAGGACCTAAACTTGGATTTATTTTATGTCATATAGTTGTGGTCATAATTGTTTCCTTTACACTTTTATTCAGCTTTGTGACTGTTTTATAGCCTTAGTTTGAATTGATTTGTATGTTTTCTACTGCTTATTAACATTGCTTTCATATGTATTTTCCAGGTTGTGGTTATTTTTCTTTACTTTAGTTTTCTTTCTTTGCTTTGTGGTTGATTTGTGTCCTGGCCTCTTTGTTTTGCAGATGAGGGCAGGAGTGCAGTTGACCTGGCAGGAGGGGCTCAGATAGTAGCTGAACACATTAAATCCCTCTCCCAAAATACTGAGCCGGAAAATGAGAAGCTCTTGACTGTCTTTTGTGGCATGCTGATGAACTATAGCAATGATAATGGTAATGACCATCTTCCCCCAAGAACAACTGTTAACTAATCTCACCTAATGAGCGGATGTTCTATTTCTTATACACAGACGATGTCACGTTATTTTTTGTCAAGGGGATAGTAGTGTTGAACTGAACCAGAAGATTCTGTGCTTTTCTTTTTTGGCCTTACCTTTCTCTTGATCTTTCTACCATGCTCTCTTTTGCTTTTCCAACTTCACCTCTGAGGTAATCTGCAGTAACTCATATTTGCTAACAGGAAGCTTTCATAGTACCATTACCCTTTCTCCCTCTACCTGGCTATTGTAAGTTTGTATTGTTAATAGACTCAGCAGGTAGATCATATTCATTAGCTAGTTCCTCCCCTTGCTTTGAAGTCATACTAGTAACATAGCTCTAGGGTTGACAGCGTTGGTCTATTTGTCCTCCACCTTTGCCCAGACTCAAATACCTAAACTGTTGGATGTATTGCCATGAAATTTGGTTGAAACCTTCATTTTTCCTTCAGGATGAATTGACCCTTGTTAAGTCCCGGACCTTCTGCGCTTTACTACAATAACAGTTGAGCAAGCCTGGTTGCCAGTGGAACCTTGGTCCGAACCTTGGTCCGAACCTCAGTCAACTTCCTCCTTTCCTGTACTTAGATATGCTATATGCTAGGCTAATCTATGTTGAAAAGACAACCACATTCTGAAGATATTTAAAAATAAAAACAATATAGTTACATCTTAAGTTATAGCCAATGACAGGAGACAGGGTCATGGGGTGACCAAATCTCATTGATGCACGTGGGGAGTGAAGGCTGGCCCGTGTGGTCCGATCCAACAGACGAGCTACTGTAGCTCAAACTGCTGAAACAGTTAATGCTGGTTCTGATAGAAAGGGGTCAGAACACACAGTGCAGAGCAGTTTGTTGGTATGGAGCTGCAGAACATTGTGACCACCAGGGTGCCCAGGTGGTCACAATGTTATGGCTGATGGGGGAATGTATGTGTCACTTTTATCTTTTAACCTTCTTCAGAATGTGGTTGTCTTTTCAACATAGATTAGCCTAGCATATAGCATATCTAAGTACAGGAAAGGAGGAAGTTGACTGAGGCTTGCTCAACTGTTATTGGAGCACAGAGCAAAAAGGGGCGGGACTTACGACGGGTCATTGTAATAACTTTGGTGATCGTCTGACTCTTCATCTAGCCCCATCATCAGGTCATAATCTGTGTTTGTTCAATACTTTGGTTTATGACCAAATACCTGTAAAACCAATAACATTCCCATCAGACTCCTCTGTATTTTGTGTTTAGTGCTAATTAGCAAATGTTGCTGCCCACCCTAGTAAACATTATCTGCTAAACATGTTAGCATTGTCATTGAAAGAATGTCATCATTCTCAAGATGCCTTTAGCTCAAAGCACAGCTGTGCCCAAGTACAGCCTCAAAGATCTGCTAGCATGGCTGTATACTCTTAGTCTGGTTAGTTTCTGTTCATGTACAGATGAAACAAATGAGATGCTTAAAAGTGTTCAGTGGGTGTATTTCTGTACTTCTGATAGAGCCAGGCTAGCTGTTTTCCCACGGCTTCCACTATTTAAGCTAAGCTAGGCTAACCCCATCCTGACTCTAGCTCTGTACTTGTCACGCAGACATGAGGTTAATATCAGTCTTCTCGCTCTTGAAATGGAGTGAATATGTAATGAATGTTTGATTATGAAAATATATTTATACAACAATCTAGTAGGAAAAAGTAGTTGTAAAAAGTTATCCTTATCTCTTTAGCTTTGTACAGACAAACAAAAATATATCCCATTTTTTAAAGAGGACGATGAAAAACAAAAGGTTGTAGTTAATCCTGCTGTTATCCCAGTTTACATACAGTACGCTTTATCTTCCATATGTCTATCTTCATAATGTATCTCCATTATTGCCTAACTGTAAATGGACATGATGTGACATGACAGGTCTTTACCAGTTGAAAAAGGTGAATTTACCCTCCGCTGTGTCCCTTCATACATCTTTTTTCTGGACTATGCTGCAGTTTGTGTCTTTGTGATAACGAGGCTTTTTGAGAGCAGTGCGTATGTGATCTGACAGACTCAGACCTCCTGCCAAGGTGTCTTTTGGCAGTGGATGATGGTTTCATCTCTTTGGCTGGGTGATGGGAGCTTTCAGGTTGCGCTAACAGAATGGATGAATTTTTGTGGCTTTCTGCAGCTTTCAGCAGCTTTCAGCGTCTCGCTGACTCTTCATACCCATTTAATGTTGATACACCTCCCCACTTACTAACACTGAATCAGCTGCGTCAGTTAAAAGCAATCTCTTAAGAAAAAGACACAAGCATATTTAAGATATTCCTGTCACAACCATGGAATTCAAATATTTACAGTACACATATAATTCCTAATGAGGAGTCTTACATATATAGATATTGCTGAATTTAAAAAGGTACTGGTCATTATTTATATTTTATCATAAGAATTTTTGAATTGGATCTAATCATTTTCAGTAATAAATAAAGTCAAATCAGTTATGAGTTTGCCAGTGATGAAAATATATAGTTACTATCTAGCTACGTGGGATAATCCACTGTGGTGTATGAGGTTATAACAATATAGCTCAATTTTTTTGTTTATTTACTTATTTATTGATTTATTTTGATAACCACATGGCATGGATTGCTCCTTGTGTGCTAATAAAATCAACCATCGTGTTTTAATGATCATAGGGCTGGATTAATACACTAAAGTGACTCTGTTGATATTTGATAGTGTAAACATATATATATAATTGACAGATTAACAGTGATCCCTCACTACATATTGTAAACACTAGATCAGACCACACTTGAAATAATGAGTATTTTGCTCATGGTTTTTGCCCTCAAGTCAAGTTTGTTTGTGTAACCTAATAGCACATATCATTTCTCTTTATGTCAAGGTCCATAGAACAGCAAGTAGTTGTAGCATTTAGTAGAAATACATCAGTGGGATTAATTTCAAACAATGGGACAAAAAGTCGTCTGAGAAATGATGTAGTTGGCTAATAATGGCTTTTTTCCATCCCTTCGGCACCTGCCTTTCCAAAATACTTTGCACTGGAAGAACAGCACCTTTGTGTCATAAAGGCCCTTCATCAGGTTTTCCATTCTATGTGATTTCAGGGCACACAATGTAAAATTCTCTGTAGAAGCTAAATTATTGTACACATGTAGCTTCTGTTTTGTTGGCTTTTTCTACTTCTTACTTTTACTTTGCTTTAAGGTTGTAAGATTGTCCTGGTACGTTCTTAAGAATTTTAATCAGACTCTCTTCTTTTTGCTCCTGTTCTGCTCATCCACTTGTGTCTTCCTCCACCATTCATTCATTCAGTCTGGTTTTTGTATAAAATCTAAAATCTTTCTTTTTGCTCTCCAGGTGCGTCAATAGCTCTACCACTACTTGCCATCAAATGGCAAATGCATCTACACTTCTTTTAAGGTTTTGGGAATGTGGAATTTACTTGGCTGCTTCTAACACTCACTTCTGTCATAGAGAGGGCCTTGACACCAGGTTGTGGCTGAATTACTATTTAAAGCAGGTTTGTAAAACCTGCATTAAATAATAATTCACCATTTTAAGGGTTTAATTGTTGTTGCGATTGACCCAACCCCAGCCGTGTTGCATACTGTAAACATATACTCCTGTGTCAAGAATTGTTGTATCTGTATTAGTGTCCAGATACACTTAAGGCAGTGTGAATACCCAGTTTAAGCAGCCAAATTCTAATTACATGATAATGATGAATGCTAAACCTAGTGTAACTGTAGCACAAACCGAGAACAGACTGAATACTAATGTTTGCTAACATTAGCCACTATAAGCCACTGGTCCTAACAGACTAAGCAAAGGCCTGGTCACACCAGCGTTTTAAACGGCCTGAAATTTTGCAGCGATTTCGATTAATTCCAGTGGAATTACCGCGATTAGTGGATTCACTCATGGGGGCAAAGTATAACTGCTAATTTTTTATCATAAGCATGCTGAACTTTGGGTGGATGGAGAGCCAGGTAATCCAAAATGGAGGAAGCTGTCGTAGCTTATCAGCTAGTGGCTGGTTGTTTAGGAAGCGCTTGAGTTTCTTATGAGCTGAGCATTTTAAACAGACATGTCTTGGATGATCACATACGATTAATTATGCGAAGCCAAAATCGTGATTGCGATTAATGGTATAACTACATCTTTTGAAAAAAATGATGAAGGAGTCGAGGAGTAGACGGAACAGTGAAGATAAGAGAGAGAATCTCTGCATTTGGTCGCCAGATTAATGTTGCTGTACCACTCTATGGTGTGACCAGGCTTTAATGCTGTAGTTATTGTATTGTATTGATTAAAGGTTTGTTTTATTGCTAGTTAGTTATCTTTTCATTTTTAAGGGGAATAATGTGTTATTTCATAAGTGCCATCATCTCACTTTAATGTCCCTTAAAGGTATTAACTTTTCATGGAAGTGAGGGAAAGTGTTTTAAACTTTGATAATGAAAAATAAAATAAAATCAGATTTATACAAATTCTCACAGTTTAATTTAGTTTAGCAAATTGGCAAATGCCTCTCTTGATCTCCTCAGCTTATGTTTAAAACAACGGATCGACTGCCCGTCTTTCTGTGTGTTTGTTTTTTGCAGATTCCTTACAAGCCCAGCTGATCAATATGGGTGTGATTCCCACTCTGGTGAAGCTGCTAGGCATCCATTCCCACAACACTGCCCTGACAGAAATGTGTTTAATTGCCTTTGGGAATTTGGCTGAGCTCGGTGAGTATAACAAACCTACCAACCATGCCAAAATGGTGAGCAGTGTCATTAATGGCTTACCTAGAGCTGATCAACTTTATCTGCTGTTGTCAGTTTGGTCTGCCAGAATCAGCTCACCATGGTCTGTGTGGAAACGTGTGATTAAAACTGTTGGTTTAGTACAGTTGAATAGAAGTAACATAAATAAATGTAAAGTTTATATTTCTTTCTTATTTTATGTATGTTCGAATATGATATTATTATAGATTCCACTTTCAAAATGTAAAAAATATGGTTTATAATTTGAAAAGTTTGTTTTATGGATGTGTGATTTTGCAAGAAGGATCGAAAATGTTCACATAAAAGGATAAAATCTGAAACAACATACGGGGAAATAAAAGCACATATATTTTCAAAAAGAACAAGAAAGGGGACCAAAATAAATAAATGTCATAAGTCTTCTGGAGCAGGTTGACAAAATAGCAAAAATAACTTGGATGGATAAAAGCAATGAATTATTTTAAAAGACCCCTACTTGACTTTATTTGAAATAAAATATTTAGAAGGTAGACACCATATTTTCCTCCAGTCCAGGTCTGGTTAGAGGTCATTCCAGTAGAAAACTCTTTGGAACAGAGACCACCTCTTTCTGAAATAAGGCATGTACATCACAGTTACTCTGTTTAGAGAAGAAACAGATACAACCAATAGTAACAGCAGGATCCAGTAGTAGTACGACCACCATTCCAGGGTCAAACCAGTTTTCCAAGAATAATGATTTGTGTTTATATAGTCTCTATTGTTCCAGATGGAATATTATATCTCTTATATATCAGTTGTCATAACAGAATATTAGGCTTAAAGCTAAAATAAACAAAAAGAGATTTGACATCATACTGAAACAACAACAGCAGCTCTGCACACTGCACTGCTAACGTATATTTCAAATGTCAGTGAGCTTAGATGCCACATGCTAAATCTTCAACACAACTGTCACTAAACTCTTGTCTGTCTACAACAAACAAAATATGAATAGATTTGAGAATCATTGTGACACGAGTTTCGACTTAATTGTAATTTCAGGTGGACCAAATAAAATGAAACGTGGTTCACATTTCCTACTGCAGGGCCTAGAACGGCCTTCACCCATACGCAGACTAACTGTTAACCTAAATGGAATGCACATGGGATGTCTGTGTCGAGGAGAGGATTTCTTCTCTTTCATGGCATGCCTGTGATACTCCTCTGCTATTTTCAGAGTCCAGCAAAGAGCAGTTTGCCTCCACCAATATCGCAGAGGAGCTGGTGCGTCTATTCCAGAAGCAGACGGAGCACGAGAAGAAGGAAATGATTTTTGAGGTTCTAGCTCCACTGGCAGAAAATGGTAATTTTCCTTTGATCTTTTTTATTTAATTTTTTTACCGTTATTACGTTCTACAAAAGGCCATTATCCACTGTATGGGGCGTCTGAAGATTAAAACACAAAAGAGTGAGAGACTGCAGTGCTCTCATGCCTTTAGATGAAAATCATGTCCACCTACTCTGTAGTAAATTATCCTGAGTGTGAGTCATGCTTTCCAGGCTAGCTGCTAACTGCACAGTCATGGCAGACAGCTCCTGCATTTGCTCAGCTGCTCTTTTTCAAACGTGTGTGTGTGTGTGTGTGTGTGTGTGTGTGTGTGTGTGTGTGTGTGTGTGTGTGTGTGTGTGTGTGTGTGTGTGTGTGTGTGTGTGTGTGTGTGTGTGTGTGTGTGTGTGTGTGTGTGTGTGTGTGTGTGTGTGTGTGTGTGTGTGTGTGTGTGTGTGTGTGTCATCAGCAGAGAGAGCGTCTTACTGCCTGTTGTTATCACCATTCCAGGCACACTGGGTGCTCCTACATAGTCAGTCACCAGGACAACGTCCTACTTAACTCTTACTCTAGAGAAACCTTGCTCTCTCTCCATATCTTATATTTGTCACACTGCATGTTGTTCATTATGCTTCTAGACTGAACACTTATTCTGTGGTGTGGTGTTAAAACAGGGATAATACAGAAATGTAATGACAAATTTTAAGATTGTTGTTTTTACTTTTAGTGCTTCATTTTAGAGCAGTTTACGATGGAGTTCTTGCATCAAAGTGCTTTTTAAGAAAAACTGTAAAACAAATTCTAAAAACTTATATAGAACTGTATAACTGTCATCCCATTAAAGGTTTTCAGATCCAGTGTATTCAAATCTTAAAATGTCTCGTTTTGTCTGGCAAACATAAAAAAAAGAAAAAGATATTCACTCAACTCTTGCACAAGGCTAGGAAAAACAGATAATATTCACATATGACAATGTGTAACCAATGATTTAAAAAGAATGTGCCTAAAACCAATGATTGGTTATCATAATTGTTGCTGATGAATTTTCAGTTAAATCTTCACCTTGTTACTCCCTTCTGCAATGGTTTAATGGCACCTGACTGAATTTGCGCCACCAACTGTTTATCTCAATGTGTTCAAATTCTCATTCTGGCCTCACAGTAGTGGATGGAAGTTTGCATACATTTGGTTAAACGTCTACATTTGGATGGATAATGAGACTTTCTGAATAAATAAAACTGCACTAACTAACCAACACCCCATTGTTATGCTTCATTTGCTGTGCAGTCCAGTCAGTCCTGTGTGTTCTAACTGCATCCACATCACATGATGCACCACTGCATTGCAACAGCGGTGTGTTTTAGACTTGGCTGCTCGCTGTGGTCCTCTCTAACATCTCATCATTGCTTCCCCTGCCAGATGTGATTAAGCTGCAGCTGGTGGAGGCTGGCTTGGTGGAGTGTCTCCTGGATGTGGTGGCTCAGACCGTAGACGGAGAGAGAGAGGAGGACATCGCCCAGCTCAAGACTGCCTCTGACCTCATGGTTCTCCTGCTGCTGGGAGGTAAACACCTCAGGACTTGTCCAGTTCATGCTTTATTATGAATAATTATACCACAAACCTAATAACGTTGTTCTGTCATAAAAAATATTGAACAGTAAAATGTATTTTCAGATAGGGTTAGGATGGATAAGAGTTCAAAAACACACATTAATCCAGTTTCAGAGCAGACTGCATGCACAGGCGCCAATGTTCCAATTCCCTCTGAGTCTGAACTTAAAAAGGACCTTGTGTAACAGTAATTAAAAATTCATACTGTCTTCAAACTCTATCAGCACAGATCCTGCAGCCAAATGGGCTTCACTGGAGAAGATTATCCCCTAATTGACTTAATTTATGGACAGCAGATATAACCTGTGCTCATATGTGCACACTCTTCTGTCCGGTGCTGGTGTTGAGTATTAATAATTCAACCTTTTTATGTAAATATTTTATTGCAGTAGAATAGTGTGTGTTCTAAATATAAATAGTGGACTATATGCAGCCATTACGTCTTACCAGATGTTCATGCTCTTGATTCTTGTATGTGAAAGCAAGTTCAGTTCACGCTTCTAATGAGCGATTACGCAACGATTCGTCAGCATGTTCCTTTAGTGCTCGATAAATCAACTGGAAGATGGTAGATAACATTCTTTCTGTTCTCATCCTACAGACAGTACATTATATGTTTCTCTTTTTATAGTCACTGCGTCAGATTCTGGGATTATTAAATTCTTGTCCTGACTTGGCCAAGTAACATGTTGGACTACAATCACTCATAGTTTGCTGTCTTTAATGACTTGCATGACAAAGGCCAGCTTCACTGTGGACGAGTGTCTGTGCTGATCTGCAGAGGTGGCAAAAGTGTACACATTCTTTACTCAAGTAGAAGTACAGATACAATCAACATTAAAAATACTCTAGTAATCATTTTCTTTACTGAAATGTCCTCAAAGTAAAAAGTCCTCTGTTGGTTTCTCTGAAGGACATTTCTTCCAGCTGTTTCTGTGCAACGCTAACTGAAACTCCTAACAGGACCCAGTCTCCCTCTCTTCTCTGTTTCAACTTGTTACGTCTGTCAGGCGTGATATGCGCTTGGGAAGGCTTGCACTGATGCAAACAACAACAAACAAGACAGTTCCCCTCAAATGCATTCAAACTAAAGTAATGAGCCTGTTTTTAAAGTGTAAGGAGCAGAAAGGAAGATACCTGAAAAAAACTACTTAGATATTGTGATCTCAGGTAGGGCAGCACAATTAATAGAAATATAAGTGCAATATCCAAATCACAGTAGCTGCAGTATATTGACAGGTAAAATGTGACAAACAGCATTATAATGAAGTATTGTAGTGCTGCAGAGATGCCCTGGACTACAAATCTTGTTTTCCAGAGAAGAGAAAGGAGTAAGAAAACACATTGGTTTGGTGCAGACCCCCCTAAAATTCCACATAATCATGATTTTAATTGTTATTTCAATGGAAATTAAAATTGTGATCCAAAAATGATCATTCCCACTAAGCATGAATAATAACACACTATCTGTCCAAATAATAGTAATATGATATATGTACGTCAAAGTTCAAACTAACTATGTTCTAAATTGCCTATGTACATTTCTACCATCATAAATGATTGCATAGCGCAACAGTAAGAGTTCTGTTGTATTACAGGGGTGTTCAGATGTCACAGGGGGCTCAATGAAGTATCAGAATATATATATATATATATATATATATATATATATATATATATATATATATATATATATATATATATATATATATATATATATATTAGTACAAACAAAGAGAAATGCTATATAAGTCTTACCTTGTTAATACACTAACCCTACTAAAATGGTAGGTTCAGTTTTTAAGTTTGTGTTTGCATTTTTACCAATTTACCTTTCAGAAAAAGGACTCTGTTTCCAGCTCTGTCTCTGATGTCCAATTTTAGTGTCTTTATAGGAGAATATTAACTGTAAGTGAGAATGAGGCTGAATGATTTTTTTCTTTGCTGAAATACTCTAAAGCAGAGACGATAGCCCTCAGCCCTGAGTAGTGTCTGCAGTTTTCATCTCAGGCTGAATAGGGTATCAGTAAGCTCCAGCAGGAGATAGGGCTGCCTTATTCCCGCCTGAGAGGCTAAACACAGGGCAAAAGAGTCCACAAAGCCCTTGCTTCTTCTCAACAAGCTTATAACTGTGTGCATGCTGTAATTGTTGAAGTGAGTCAGATGAGCGCATCAACATTTTTATCAACAAAGGTATCTGTGAGGACCTGCTGTCACTGACATTGACTAGCATTGTCCATAACCTGTCTGTCTTCTGTTGTGTAGACGAGTCCATGCAGAAGCTGTTTGAGGGAGGGAAGGGCAGTGTCTTCCAGAGGGTCCTGTCCTGGATTCCATCTCACAACCATCAGCTGCAGCTCGCCGGGGCTCTGGCCATCGCTAATTTTGCTCGCAACGGTAAGCTTTACTGCACGTTGCGGTGAGAGGGAGTCCCAGTGGAAAGTTGTCGACCAAAATGTCTATCATCCCTGGTAGGAAAGTGGGACACTGCAGCAGCAAAATAACAGCTGTGTCTAACAACAGTACTGATACTTTTATATTTGTCTTGTCAAGAGAGGATGACAAAAATAAATCCACAGAGGGTGGACACATTTTGTATGATTTAAAAAGAATTTAGTATGTTTAAAATATCTGTAAAAGCGACTTATTGATAACATTACTATTACCGATAATATTCTGTGACAGTATTACAGGTGTCTGACACAACACTGTATGTACTTGTGTGTGTAGATGGGAACTGCATCCACATGGTGGACACTGGGATTGTGCAGAAGCTTCTGGAGCTGCTGGACCGGCACGTCGAGGAAGGCAACGTCACTGTTCAGCACGCAGCACTGAGCGCCCTGCGGAACCTGGCCATACCCGGTGAGCCATCATCACACCACACATGTTCCATTATAACATCAGATTGATCATACTGACAACAGATCATAATCAGATTAACATCTGTGTTCCCTGGCAATATTCAGAAACAAATGACATGTCAGCATACTTTACCATTAATGTCTACCTATTGGTAGAGCTTGTTTTATTTACTCACCACAAACAGGCCACATGCACCTGATGAAACAGTTAGTTGGGCCTAACACAGTTTAATAGTGTACGGCTCAATCAGGTTGAGTCAAAGAATACATTTTAACCAAACAGTTGAGGAGATCATTAAAGAGAGCTTTGCCTGCAGGCATAAAGTACATTCACAAACTACAATGAAAATCATGTGCTTTGCTGTTTTTCAGTCACAACAGCGTTTTAATCTGCCTTGTTTCCTCTCTGCAGTGGTAAACAAGTCCAAGATGCTGTCAGCTGGAGTAGCAGATGTGGTGTTAAAGTTTTTGCAATCAGAGATGCCTCCGGTCCAGTTTAAACTCCTGGGGACGTTACGCATGCTCATCGATACACAAGGTAGAGAGATCATCTGTCCCTTCTGTCTTTGCACCAGTCCATGAAAATCATCCTGACAACACGCTGTAGATCTGAATTCTAGAGTGCTCACACAGCAGTTCCTGTAAAAGATATTCCACTTTCCCCATCAGCTCTGTTTAAGCTTTGGTTAGATAATCAAGAGCTTCTTACAGCCTCTATTCTGACTCATAAAGACACACTAATATGGTTACTGCTGCCCAAGTGTTGACACAGGACAGATGGTTTCATACACAGAAAGTCTTCATAATCAGAGTGATTCAGCTAACTGCTGCTGTACCTTGTCTGTGTTTGCTTCTATTCTGTAACTTTCTTCTCAGCTCTTTGAAATAATGAGACTGAACATAATGTGCAGAAATCTTAAGCTTTTTGCTGAACTTTGGTGACAGCGGATTAATGGCTGTAATGTTGCGTGCTGCGTGTGTTGGTTCAGCTGAAGCCGCAGACCAGCTGGGAACCAACGGGAAGCTGGTGGAGAGGCTAGTGGAGTGGTGTGAAGCCAAAGATCACGCAGGAGTGATGGGCGAGTCCAACCGGCTTCTGTCGGCCCTCATTCGACACAGCAAGTCCAAGGTCAGACCCCACGCTGCGCATACAGTTCTCCTAACACTGTAAGGTCTTTATTAACAGGATGCACACAGGAAGAGACCAGATACACGTTTACTGTTTATCTGGAAGTACGTCTCAGGACGGGTTTGTTAAGTGATTTCTTTTTCTATGTGGATTTCAGGAAGTCGTCAGAACTGTGATCCAGGGAGGAGGCGTCAAACATTTAGTTACCATGGCAACCAGTGAGCATATGATCATGCAGAATGAAGCGCTGGTGGCTTTGGGTCTCATAGCAGGACTGGATTTGGGTAAGAGCAAGAATTATGATTGAGTTATTGTTTATTTGTATCTACAGTTTTACACTCTGAATTGTTTGTAGGTTCGTTATTTAACACAAACATTTTTTAATTGTGGTATTTTGAATCAAAATGGAGCAGTCAGGAGCAGGGAGATTTTCACAGCCTGACACAGGATCTGTAGATCTTTTTAATCTGGAATCCAGTTTAATGCACAACTATAAATGCCAGAGCCACATCAAAATGGAAGCCGCATGCATTATTTATTATATCCCAAAGTAAACCTCTCTTCTGCTCTGTAGCACATAGTGTAGAGAACCAGAACATGTCATTACATCCATCATGGTGATAACACACTGAGACTCTCTGGACTTCAGTTGCAGCTGAAAAGGACTTTGTCGGAGCCAGCCTGGTGTCGGTGCTCCACAAGCTGCTGTCGGACGAGAGGAGCGCACCGGAGATCAAGTACAACTCTATGATCCTCATCTGTGCTGTGATGGGCTCAGGTGAGGCCTGCAAATGCTTTAACCATATACACAATATTAGTAGTAGTTTTCCTATTTAATTACACTGCGTCTGAGTGCCTGTTTAAACCTGACAGTTTTAAATACAGTGTAAACGAGCACAGTGACCACAATGTTACCAGACTCCCTTAAAACAATCTCCCAATTTTGAGTAATTGAGTGAGGAGAAACTTTGTGAAAGGCTAAAACATAGTTATTTCCCAGCGTGTCGGCTAGACGGCGATACAACCTCCTACTGTCCTCCACTGTGAGTGAGTCTTGGGTTGACAGCCCCCCAGCAGCCTGGTGGCAAGAGAGACACGAGCAGGACACACTTTTTTTTCTCTGCCATTGATGGCTGTCTCCATCAGAATTCAAGTGTGTGTCCTGCTCATAAAGTTCAGTTAAAATCCCACAGTGTGTCTCCTGCAGGGCTGCTGACAGCGCAGGTAAAGTGACGGCCACTGTGCTGCTGAACAGGACAAAAGGACATTGACTGACCAATAGTGTTTATGCATATAGAGCTGGGAAGGTAGATCCAATTCCAAATCAGTAAGCAGGCCGGTAAAACACCTCAAACACGTCCGTTCCATTACAGTGAACTCAATAGACGATGCGTTTCTGTGTACTAGAGGATTTCAGTTGAGTGATGTCGCTGTCAGTTAAAGCCAAAATGAGAAACTGAGACTTTGTTTGCCTCCTCTCTTCAGAGCCTCTCCACAAAGAAGTCCAGAGCCTGGCGTTCATCGACGTGGTGTCCAAGCTGAGGGCTCACGAAAACAAAACGGTGTCACACCAGGCGTCGCTCACAGAGCAGCGATTAACTGCCCAGAGCTAAATGACTGTGTCCAACCCCCACCCACAACCCCCCACCCCACCCAATGCCTGCCTGACCACCTGATCACCCAATGACACCTCATGACTGCTCTCCAGTGCCCCATCGTCATGTGCCAAGGTACCATGTCGCGTTAACTGCCAGCCAGACATACCAGTCATGTCTCTCCCCCGACCCTCTGCCCCGCCCACCTCCACCAGGGTTACACTGATGTCAGTTCGCAAGACTTGTATACAGATCAGAAAATCTGAGCATTTTCTAATTGAAGTTTTATTTTAAATTACAAGAATTTGCCAATGGAATGCTTGTTAGGGTGGAAAAGCCTCTGAAACTAGTTTTAGACTACTGTGGGACACCAAAACTCTCTTCTGAAAGCCATAATAATGAGATTTATTTAGGTGGGTTAGCAGGTCCTTAAGGCAGGGTGAGGCAGCTTTCATTTCAGGCTTTACAGACCAACACCCCTTCAATGTGGAGACACCTTTTTTTTTTTTTTCTTATCTTAAACCAGCTACATCAGTCTAACCCTGGTCCCCACCTCTACTTGTGCATGCATCTTCTGCTACAAGTAGCTCCACAGGAGCTGAGGCGCCATAAACAGCCTAACGCAATAGATAAGAGATGACACTCTTCTACGACCATAGCTGTGATACCATCCGCCGGTAACCCACCAGTGAAAAATGTGCACAAAAGAACAAAAAAATACCTTCCTGTTGTGATTTTTCTTTCATTTCTAAGAAAAGCAGCCATCCATGATGTGCCCAGTTGTGTCCCATGTAGCTCGAGTATAAATTGACTAGAAACTGTGCATGTTTTAGTCCTGTTGAAGGTGTGACAGTGTTCATTTTACCTCTCTACCGCTCGCATACAAAGTACAGCCCGCCCTCCTCCACTGACACCTCCAGTCTTGTACACCCCTTTTTTTCGCACTTGTTCTTTAAGACTATACGATCTATAGATTTTATCAGATTTTTAATTCCACCTGCTCCAACAGCTGTACAGTAACGGTAGAGGCTCCACCCAATCACTGAGAGAATCAACCATAGTGGAGAGCAGGGCTGTAGCCAAGCCTACCTTTGTTAGTCGAGTCCAGTTCTGTGAGCCCCGCTGGCCCTGATCCAGGACATTATCATGGTCTTGTGCTGCCATCTCTCGGAAGTTGGACATTTCAGTCGCTGAGCAGCTCCTCAAAACGATTACAGGAAGATTGTTGTAAATAGAACCTCACCAAATGGTAAGCAACCTTTTTGACAACATGTAAGATGGAGGGACTCAATGGCAGGGGGGTAAAGTAACAAAAACAATGATTTTAATCTGAACTAGAAAGGTCTCCTCCATCAAAGTCAACAACAACAATGAGAAATCGAAGATGGCCCAAAATCTTTGATTTAACAAGGTTGGTATTGACTCCAGTTAAAGAGACCTTCTTGTTTCCTGTCTGGTAGTTTTGTCCCATCTTACAGGTTGCTAAGATTGCCTATTTAACACCAGTCCAATCAATGCATTACAGTTTGCCTAATCATTGTTTGACACTTTGCATACCCAGATCTCTACAGATACAGTTCTTGTGTGTTGCACTGTGGGTAAAACTCTAGAAAATATCAATAAAGGATTATTTCCTATTTTTGGATAGTCAGGAGATGGTACAGTAAACTGTGAAGAGCAGCCAAGAACAAGAGAAGTTAAAGCAGGCCCGAGACTAAGAATTGAGACTGAAGGGCTCCAGCCTAGGATCCAGATTCACTCCGTGGTCCCGTTAGAACACACAATTGTGCCCTAAAACCTCCCAACACTGGAGCCCTGCAGGGCTCTGTAAGGAAACCAGGGAGCGCCATTTTACAGTCCCAAATAAAGCAGCCACCATTCCTGCGTGTGTGTGCAGTATGTGTGTGTGTTGTGGATGTGCTCATTGGGGTAGGCAGTGAGAACGGGTAACTGAATGCAGACACACAACAGTCACTGCACCTACGCGCCCTCCAGAGGACAGCTCTCTATGTGCAACGGGTGGTTCTTCTAGTCAGAGGGATTCCTGCTAACATGCACACCTCAGCATGTCAGACACTGTACCCCCCCCGTTAACATGCCACGGTGTGTTCCTGCCCTGGGCCCACGCTTTTTTTTAAAAAGGTATGAATGGTTATTTATCAGATTTGTGCTCTTCTACAGACACATGCCAGTGGAGATGTATCCATAGTAACTGCGTAAAAATACTATAAACTTAAATGTTTGTTGTAAATGTCATGAGTTGTACATTTGGAGGATTGTAACTCAGCAGATAATTAAAAGATGATAGCTGGTGATGGCTGATGTCTTTATTCCGACGTGATTCACCATTAGAGTGGGAATGATCATCATCACAAATTTAATTTTCACTCAAAAAACTATTAAAATCATGATGTGACATTTGTCGGGGTCAGTAAACATTCTGGAGAACGAGATTCATCCTCTCTGCAGCACTACAGTAGCTCATTATCAATGAACTGCAGCCTCTGCAGTCTGCAGTCTGCCATATTGGGATTTTGATCATATTTTGATTAATTGTGCAGCACGAATCTCAGAAGTGTGGTACAATTTCAATCAAATGACAAATACCTGTCTTATTACAACATAAATAGAATGACATTATTTGCACCTAGGGCTGTCACTTTTTCAAATTATGTCTTAAGGATACGTAATACTAAATTCACTTGTCACACTGGAGAACCAGCATCTCAGACCAAAACAATAATAAATAAAATAAAACTGTCTTCTGTAGTCTTTCTACAGTCAACAACAATCACTCTGGTTTGGTCAAAATAAATCCTTCATTCAGAGAGCTGGCTCACATAGAGATTAACAGTTACAGATTGAATTTCCACACATTCTAATGGTAGTTTGTATGTTAAATAAACCGTGACAGTCTCATTTGCAGCTGGTCTTCATCTTTATGTCCACTTTATGAAACATGTCGTGTTCCACTGTTCGTTTCTGGAGCCCAGTCGTCTGGAATAAACAGAAACTGGACTAGTTTGTATCAGCGGCGACAGACACCAAAGATGTCCAGGAACACTGACAGACGATGTGTGGGAAGTGCAATGCATAAACAAATCAGTGAGCTTGGTGCCAAAAATATGGACAGAAAAAATAACACTTTCAATGTTTTTTTGTCACCTTTATTAATTAATTTTACTCGATATTAAAATCAGTCCAATTTCAACAGGACATGAACAGGGAAATTAGGAGGTAGTTACATTACAATGTTTGTGGGATATACTGTGACCATTTAAACAATCCTTGGAAGTGGTACAGGTAGTGATGAGTGAGAGATGCAGCTCATTAGAGCATTTTACAACCTCCTACACTTGGAACATAACCTCGATCTGTGGAGCCACTAATCGCCTTCAGCAGTGCTCAATGTTTGCTGTCCAATACACCAGGGAGGGTATAAAAACCAAATTAAATGTACAATAAATATTTAGTATCAAAAACAGTGTTGATCCCTTTTAAAGTAAAACTTCTCCGAATGTATCCCACAGGATCAGTCCCAGCAGACTGAGGAAACACTTCACTGATAAAACACTGCAAATACATCGCTACAAACCAAACCAGTGACGCATGCTTTCAGCAAAGAATCACTTTAAACCGTCAAAAGAAACACTGTAAAACATCGGAACACGTCAGAGTCTGAATCTCTGGGCTGGGTTTAAGGATTCTGTTCAGTCGATACTGTGTGTGTACTGATCAGATCTGCATCAAAAAACAAGTAGTGACAGGCATCATGGGATACATGTGCCAGATTTTCATTCAAGTAAGGGCAGAAATGTATGAAAACACTGAAAATGTTCAGAAAGTCTCCGACATCAGGGACTAATGACTTGCTCCTTGCTCGTGTTCCAACCACCAACCTTAGTGGGGAGTAAAACATGACCTGGTAAAGACAGTGGGGTTACGGCTACGTACATTTTGTAGTCATTTTTCAAGCCCATCTTAATGCTAGCTTGTACATTAATACAGTGACTGTCTGCTGTGAGCGTTCCTCCTGTCCATGCTGCTTGAGAAGAAATCACTTTGTTGCATGACTCCAGGTCAGAATCTACAGCAGTTCTGTACAGAAATGCATTTCAAAGTATAGCTGAAGCTAACGTGACAGTCAGTGTTAACTAAATCACATGTCGGGATTTGTATAGTTACTGGGGCAAAAGCCTCCTATTGGCTGCAGCTTGTGAAGCGGTTTTACACAGAACGAGGACCGTGGACTTTACGCTGCGAAGGGCCTGTTTATATTCCAGCACTGAGAGGAGGAATAATTACAGCAAACAATAACTGATTCACACACAGACAGCACTGGGTCATTAATTGTACTGAGAACCTATCTGTTAACAAAAGAAGCCAAAGTTCTTATTTTAAATGTTTAAACTCAAGCTGCAGCACGAGAATTTTAATAAATGTCTAAAATGGAAAAGAATTTTGATTTAATCAGTTAATATCTGACCAGTGCCAGGTTCGGTGCTTGATACTTTCAATCAATCCCAAGACATTGATACCTAGACCTACACACGGTGCCGTGGACGTCCAACAGTGGAGCTACAGTGCGAACAGAGTCTCCGTCAGTGATGGGAGAGTACGCTCTCTCACTAAATGAACTGATATCTCGGTGCTTTGGTTGAGCTGGAACTCATTATGCTCAATAGCTGAAGTCATTTGGAGTCTGAAGCATCACCTGCTGCTGTGTGACTGAACTGGAATCAGTTTATTGTTAGTGCAATAACAAGAGTTCTTGTTAAGGTTTGTAGATACATTTCATTATTCAGAGAGCAGAACTAATTCTTGTTATTGGTTTAGAGGGAATTTAACTAAAAGAGAACTAAAGCACTTCCTGCTTTCAGTTGAAAACTATTTCAGAGCTGCTGTACCTTTCAGAACTTTATACCACGGGCGCCTCAGACCTGGACCTGGTGGTGGAAATGTACATAAAGCAAGCACTGAACCTTAAAATAAGCAGATCCTCAGTTTCTTGTACACAACTATTTCACAGTCCTACATGATGGGTGTAGCAATGGAGCGTTATTTCCACAGTGAAAAATACCGATCTAATATCAAAAAGATGTATCAAAACTCCTACTCTCTACACGTAGCTATCAAAACTGGAGCATCGTGACAATCTGTACGTAGTGCATGTTTCACCATCCTCTCCATCGACCCTCTCTTTACAGTAGTCACACACAGTGTTATATACAGAGCATATCACATATTAGTGCCTTGAAAAAAGGTGCTGGTTCAGTGAACACAATGGTGCAGGTGATCGGTGAAGTCCTCTGAGGAGGCGCGTTCAAAGACCTGGAGCTGATGAAACAGACAGACACAATCTAATTAGCATTATTTTCCATTTTTATGTGATCCCGTTCAAATTTAATGTACACAGCGACATTTTATTCCATTAAAAGAACGGCCTACCTGTTAGACTTGAAATGCAGCTTCAGCATTAGGTAAAGAAACTGGAAAAGAGGAGACAGAAGGCTGATAAATCATCTGCGTATTAAACAACGCTGCAACACCCCCAACGTGGTTCAACACTAATACAGGTCAGGACAACAGGAAGCAGAGCGGTTGAGGGTTGGGTTGGGAATGCTTGGAGAACAGTTTACTGCCAAGGATCAGCGGGGTGAACTAAAGGCTGCAGAGAGACGACTCGGGATTACTAGTTGAGACGGAGAGAAGACAGAAAGAGAAAAAATGTCTTCAGTAGGACAAAGTCACAGTGAAAGGACAGTGGAAGAAAGAAAGGATTGTTGTCTAAGTCACAAGACTCCACAGCTTGTTAATGCAAACCACCCCGGCTCTACAGCTCAGTGGGAACATGGTCAACATGCAGTCACACTGTCTTTCATTAAGTCCATCGACACAGTCCAAATTTCACAGAGGTTCAGATTTTGATTTAAATGAGCTGACTGGAACTACGAGGTTTCCTATGTAACCAATCCTGATGAGTCTGAGACCTGCTGGAAACGTACTGGAGTCAGACATTCTGTGCATCAGTGTCCTGCTGTCTGTTGCTGAGCTTTTAAAGCATGAAGGCGTATTGACATTACAGCAGGACTTTGCATCCTTTGTTGGCCGGTGCAGTATTTACTACTCCAGAACTCCTGGCGCCACCTTAACGCTTACAATGGGCTCGTTCGAGATGAGGCGGGCTGACAACGATAACCTCATGAGATCGAGGCGGCCACAGTTTTTAGAGCCAGGCGCTGCAGTTGCTCTTCACGGACCGCGAGACCCAGGGAATTATGGGAAACGCTTGGCTGTTGCCTGATCGAAGAGCTGATTGGCTTAGTTTTCACGTTTTCCTGATTTTCTGTGACTTTTGAATTGAACTGTAGATAGCAGCTGCTTCATCTCATGTTGTGGAATAACAGTTTAATCTGTTAACATATCTCGTGTGGTTGATGATAAAGTTTATTTATAGAGCCGAACAGGATGGAAACGTTTTGTGACTTCCTGTATATTCTTTGAAGGCTGGAATGGTCCGACTTGACTGCAGCTTTTTGTGATCCCCTCCTCCTCCTCCTCCTCCTCGTTGTCCTCCTCCTCCTGCTGCTGCTGCTGCTGCTGCCTGATCTCATCCACTTTAAATACAGCTGAGGCACAGTTCATCTGGATCGAGCCTAATGCTAATGTTACTAGAAGTAGATTGCTACAATGTGGGTACCATTTTCATCTGGTCTTCATATGAGGCTACTTTGTTATTGTACAGTTCTGGAGAACTCGGGTCAAAGTTCAACAAATGAGAAATTTCAGTGCGTCCCGTTATGCTCAGCGCACCGCAGACATCCAGAGGAGCTGCATGCAAAAGCCTTTTTCCTGCAATAGTGTCAACACGCCTTAAACTACGGAATCATATTTGTGTCTAAATTATGAGTGTGCGATGGGACACTTTGAGCACAGAACTGTAATTATCCTGTGGTCGGGATACAAAAAAGGCAACTGTAATCCATTACAGAAAAAGGATTACAATTACATTTAGTAAAAATGGGGATTATTGTTCTAAAAAGGATTGTTTCCATTTTCCTTTTAAAGGTGACATTGTTCTGTTTTATAGAAAACACTACACAAAACTTATTATTGATATTTTTCTTCTATTGTTACGTTAGTAACCTAATGCAAGTATCACAATATTAAAGCAATGTAACAGACTCCATTTTATGACAGGGAATTCCATTTCTACAGTCTCAACCCTGATCATCAGTAAGTGGTCATACAAAAAGGTTCAAAGGAGAATCCAGCATGTGTAGATGGACCAGGAAAGTGTCACTGACACAACGGC